CGTAGGAAAGGATGATCATCTCTGACAAATTTATGACAGGCACAACACCCTTCATCCTTGCTCAGGGTAGCAAATTGGACATTCGATTGATACAGTCGTTCCACTATCACTTTACTGCACAGTAGCAAAAGTTGACTAAAAACACACAGGGCCAGGGAAAAAAACTCATCATTTTCTATGAATGTGATGTGACTACTCAGAATTCTATAATGATGTGCACGTTTTTGTGTGGTTACATTATTGATAGGCTTGGGCTGCTGCAACTCCTCGCCCACAGCAGTGATTTCTGGTTTCAGTTGGCCGACCATACGTGCCTACACCACGTCTTATGAAACAAAGTCAATGTTTGATCAATAATTTAAAAGTGGTCGTTGTTGGGCGAAATGGTAGCTGCGCGGCTAATTATTCAGTGATTGAAATTAATTTAGATGTGGTTTTGAGTGATGATATGCACGCGCAAGAAGCAGTAGCCATGTGCTCACGGTGATCTTTGACGGTTGGGCAAGACATTGGAAACTAGAAGCGAGTCGCTAATCAAATCAATAACAACCATTGACTGTTGCGGCTTCTGACGATTACGACCATGCATTTACGATTTGTGCGAAAAGTTGCTGAGGGCAAAGTGCACGACTTGTCATGATTATTGCCAACAAGTCCTGATGTGTAAACAAATCATGTGAATGTCGTTTAGCGTCATTAGCATTGACCACATTTCTGGTACACAAGTTATTTCAGTGGCACCTCACTCACGGGCCACTCACTAACCTTTGCAGATTAAAAGTTGTATTTCATATGAGGTTAATAATTAAGTTATAAATTTCGAGGGGTGGATTAGTTACCGTTCATTATTCTGCTAAATTGTTGCAAAGAAATCATATTAATTGCTAATTTGTTTTTTCATGTAAAGTCATGTGCTGTAGCGATGGATGGAACATTTTCATGTAAACATTTATTATTTATTTTATGTTGTTGTGTTTCTTTATTTACTGTTGGCCACCCTATTTTAAGCTCCAAATTGAAAGTATGTAATTCCAACCCAAAGTGGAATTAATGTGAAATGAAATTGAGTGCCAAAAGTGCCATCATCATAACTTGCTAGAGAGAGAGATATGTGGCAGATGAGGTGCTGAAGGCTGCCCCAGTTAAGACTAGGGCTTTGTACACCTTGTAATTAATAAATAGCACTCTTGTGTACACTCTCCACAAAAATCGCTCTTGGCCGTTGGATGACATTACCTGACAAATTTTAATTTTTATCATGTTGTCCTGTAATTGATTGGTCATGGCTGCTCTCTGTGCACTGCCAACATACGTAATAACGAGCGGATACATTTGAGGAAACCCAAAATGGACGCGACATTTGGCAAGCAGTTAAACTTTAATTTCTCGCTTGGCACACTTGACCACGAATGTTGAGCCGCCGCATCTCGTGCATATTTATTTACATACGTCATGAATGTGTGTCACCTGCGAGTGTGCTGATCAAGAGCGAAATAAATCTGCACACTCGTCACTCTTAATGAGTTGTTTACATACTGAATCATGCACTTGTTGCTGGTGTTTCATTTCTTGCCATAAATACATTTCGCTTGACTTTTACTTGACTTTAGCCAGTATTGTTTTTCATAGAATGCAAATTTTAACATTGTAACATTTAAGAAAAGGCAAAAAATCTACATTTAGCCGAGTAGAGCAAAAACTATGTGCGAGTGAGCAACATGCTCATAAATAAACCTGTGTCTGTCAACGGTGTCATTTTTTAATGGCATGTTTTTGGCTTAAATTGCACAGCAGGATGTTTTTGTAATGCATTACGACCAATTTCTTATCAGCGGAATGTTTGCCTTTTCCACGAACAGCATCCGGCGATTATCATTATTATTATTGCTCCAGTGGCATGTTATTCAGTCTTCATCGACAGAATGAAACTGGTTTTCCTCAAGATGATGGTCATTGCATGCGTAGGTTCCTCTCCTCAATTTGTCCAATTAAACCCGTGCTCATCAAAGCAGTGATTTACCAGAAAATGCCATGATTTAGGGATAATCAAGTCATTTAGATAATCCTCAACACGAGGATGTTACCACATGTTTAACTACCTAACTGTTTATTTACTACGTGCGTACATGTCTCTATCCACCTATGCATTTCCTTGACCATGCAAATATCTGTAATTACTTAAGAACTCAAGTCGGATATCCTGTGAAGTTGGGAAGACGTGGCCAAGAAGAAGAAGAAATCAATGTATTCATCGTCATCAAGAAGTAATTAAATAAACAAACACTGGAATTAATCCAATCATCAGGCGGAAAACGATCCAAAATCTGGCATGAGAATAAAAGCAAACAAGAGTCACGTGGGTGTGTTATCATGTGTGTAAATTGCCAAGTCTTCTTTGAATGTCAAGTCCATACTCAAAATTATGCAGCTTCAAATTGTGCGTCGTAATCAAGACCGGAAGGAAGAGAGCGGCTTCAGTGGTTGCATACAATGGCTGCAAGTGTTGTGTGTGAGCAGCGAAATTTTGGCAAGTCGACACTAAATTCCGTTGCAAGGAACGAGCAAGAAAAATGTAAATACGTATGAACTTTATTTATGAACTTTATTTATGAAAAGAATGTCACTGGCACACAATTTTTATAAAATATAAACTCGATGGGCCAATGGCAGGGTTTACACACACGAAATTATTCGATTACAGAGAGTTCGAATAGATAAAGTTGTACGGAGGACGCAACGATTGTCTAATATTGCTCAGTGTACAAATTGAGCATGTGTATGTATGTATTTAGCTAATTATTGTCACTTATTAAATAGTTTTGTAAAGCAGACTGGGAGATCATGTGTGAAACGTAGCATGCATAGAGAAGAGAACCAGGAAGGCTAAACTAGATTATATTTGATTCAAATGATGCAAATTGTCTGAAATGCTTGCAACATTTTCAAAGTGAATGTGAAATATACAAATCTGTGTGTAATGTAACCTGACATGCACCCACCGCATTACGTGGTCAGCTACTTTTTCTGCTAATATCTGATCATGACTATTGCAAAACTTGGAAGAACATCAAATTGTAGACTGCAGCGTGTTTTGCTATGTGGTCATCCATGCCGCGATTAGCGCTTCAGAACAAGGGCGAGCGACATTGAATGATTGAGAGGTGGTCAAGTTAGCGTTAATTCAATTCATTACGCAACTGCAGACATTGGCAGATTTAACAACTATCTATCCGTGCACATGAGTTGTATAGAGCAGCAACACGACCAGTGCATCCTCATGCTAACCTGAGCATGCATACGTATTGTGCAAATACAATCATGTGCCTACTTCCGCCCATGTTTCGACCCCTCTCCATTCCTCGTCGGTCAGGAAAGGTCAAGAAAATAACATGCGAATCATCTCGATGCTCATCCTTCAATTGTTCTTTCGAACGTTGCATTCATTTCGTGTTGACTAGTCCAATTGATGTCCAATAGATTAGTCAGAGTTGCGCAACAATGGCTACACCATCCAGCAGTAGTGTAGTACCGCAGTAGTCCTATGGACCTCTGGCTCCTGTTAATCTGCTGAGCACAGGAGAGGGAGTACTTGTACTTGAATGCTGACGTGTTTTTTATGGACGTTGAGGGCAGAATTCAAGCGAATATCCCATCGGTCATGAGATAAATGGTTTGGTTGGGATTGGGAAGGAAGTCAATCACTCATGTCTTCATCCACCACATTTTTAACACATTTGCATCATGTATGTAGATGACTTTATGACTTTGACTCTCGCTTCCCCTCATTCATTCTTAATTGTAATTAAATAAATAATTGAGAATTTTTAAGTAAAAGTAAGACAAATGAGGTACACGAAGGTCATTCAATGTCGAGATAAAGTACACAAAACGAGAGGGACGAGTAGAGAAATTGGTTGTTTCGTTGGAAAGAGGCGAGCGAGGGATAACCTTCACCGGGACTTAGCTTTGGTTGGCAGTAGATCGGAATCACTGTCACGCGTGGAGGGAGGAATATGTAGAAGCGCGTCAAATGATAATCTTGACGAATGGCCAGTCGAATTTACCTAAACGCAACTGAGATTTACGTCAAGGTCCTGCTGACCACGAAGCTATGTAGCTGACAATGGAGGTCTCCCATCGTATGCTCACAGATTTGGACCAAACTAGTGTCAATCGAGTACAAATTTAATTAGTATGGAATTTGCAAATAACACTATCTGCCGGTGCGCATGCTTGGCAGAGATATTTGCGTAAAGAGAGAATAAAATACGCCCCAAAGTCGACAAATGTTACACTTTTCAAATTTGTTGCGCGTTTTCTCCTCTTCCGATGCAATTATCTCCGCCATTGAGCACTGGCAGATAGTGTCATTTGCAAGTTTCAGACTAATTTAGTTTGTAATTGATTGGCACCAGTTTCATCAAAATCTTACATTGGGAGACCTCAATTGTGAGTAGAAACCATTCACACACTATTTCATACCCCGAAAGGACTGCAGCTCATCCCCTGTTGGCAAAATCAATTATCGTCAACTCAGATTGCACCGTGTGGCTCGGAAGACAACAAAGAAATGCTGTCACAGTTCAACAACGACGATGCCATGAATTTATGTCAGCGGTAAGCACATTGCTGTGGACTCAAGTTTGCTTTACTTCGAATGTAAACCTTAAATTACGTATATTATGTACTACTCATTTTCATAAATTACTGCTTAAGCACTAGGAAGATGGCAACGGGAAACTTTGTTTTGTCTCCATCAATTATTACCGAGTACACAAACGCGTTAGATCATCAAACGTGTTGTAAATATATCAAGTAAATTCTACTTAACAATGTTTATCAACACCACGACTGCTACGTTTTCGTTCACCACCTGGATGGGCTGATGACATATGCGATCAAAGTTTCAAACAACAGAAATGCCCAGAATTGTAAGTTATGTTTATTGTTAGTCATATTATAAATATAATATAAAAAACTATCAGTCTGCCTCGATTGTGTCAGCAGTTCCGCAATTTATCCCTCCGATTAATTGATCCATGCCATTGGAGGGTGCACATCATACACGACATGTGTTAATCTGAGGCCAGCGAGACTGGCACATTCTCGATAAGTGAGAGAAATATCGGGCCGTTTTAAAGCTGACATGCCGATTGTGAGACAAAGTTGAGATGCAGTGTTAACTGAAGGAAAGTGAAATGAGATTTGAGCGAGGAGTTGATGAATATGAGGTGCTAATGCAGCTGGAACCATCGCCTCATCTCATCCACATACACACGTACGTATTTATCTAAATACGTAGGCTGATGCTGCTGCTCCTTTGAGGAGCCCTTTAACAGGTTCTGTTGTTACGAGGGGTCTTGTTGTGTATGAGCATCTTGTCATGAGCAGCAAAGGCCTGGGTGTCCACCACCAAGGGACGACTCCTCCACTTGACCATTTCAGTTGCTGGCTGCACGATGAGAGGAAAATTGCACATGCATGGCTAGAATTAGCGATGACTACACGAAGCAATTTCCAGATGAAGATTGGTTGATGGGTGGAGATGACATGCAACGTTCCCCTTGTGCCACCTACTACCTATCGACTCCATCCACAGCAGAAAGGGGCCAGTGGTCATATTCATGCACACTCATAATATATATACGATCCAATCCTGCATTTCCTTTTCATTCTCCTCCACCAAGCCACGGCTTTTGGTCAAGCTTTGTTACGCGACGAGGTTTAGTCCACACGTCCCAAATTCAGAGGAAACCTGCCTCCATCGACGGAGAGCTTGTCCAGCAGCGACAATTTCACAAAGTTCACTAACCACACAGGCGTCGTGAATCAGTCGTTCCAATCCAATCGAGTGACACAAAGTTTGATTTGAACCCTTGTCTCATCGATTCAGTGGAAGGAGTTGTAGAAAACTACTAGAAAACTAGCTCCCAAAGTGAGACAAGTATAATTTCTGGTGAATCCGCAAATAGAGATTGCGAGCCCTCGTCCATCGTAAGTAAACAGGTTTTAATGAGACGGGCGACCGTCCGAGCCGGTCGAATTCCAAGATTTTGGTGTATGGAATTCCCTCAATCAGCTCTGAGACGCTGTTCGCCTGGGAGGGAGAGATCGTGGCAGGAGGAGAGCTGCTACTTCCAACCTCGTCTGCACGAGTAACTGGCAAGAGGTGCTCTTGACTCGAATTAACGGGAGTCCAGGAGGAAAGAAAGTTGGATCTGGTATAAATCTGGCCCACGGACGGCCACCACCGCCTCAGTTTTGGCAAAGCCATCAAGATGAACACAACGTTCGCCAACAGCAGCAACTCGGCCTCGTCCTTCCTGGGGACGTACGGTCGGAGTTACTTTGAGAACCCGAACAGCCCCCTGCGAGGGGACGAGTACAAGTGGTTTGTGGAGGTGTCCCCCGTCAACGACCCCTCCTACCTCACCGTCTACACCTGGGAACACTTTGAGCTCACGCGATGGAGGCTCTGGATGGGGCGCAACTGGGCCTGGAGCCTCTACGCCTCCGCCATCTACGTCCTCGCCATTTTCAGTGTACAAAGACTCATGAAGAATCGACAGCCCTTCCAGCTCAGGGGGGCCCTCACCTGCTGGAACCTCATGCTCGCCGCCTTCTCCATCATGGGCTTCCTCAGAACCGCCCCAGAACTCTTCCACGTCCTCAAAAATGAGTCCGGCTTCTACAAGTCCATCTGTGTCAGGTAACCCACCTTTTGCCCCCTTTTTAACCCGCATCTCACCAAAAACGTTCAGCTCATGCTGGACCCATAACAAGCGCGCACAAATTTGCATGTTATCATCAAGGACCACCACCACCACCAACGAGTGGTTGCCATTGCTTCGCAGTGTCGCGTGACGGTCAAGTGTGTGATGACATAATAAGGATTCAAAGGGCTCATTAGTTCAGAGTGGATCAAGTTTTATAAGAACTTGATTTCAGATGTGACAATTGTCGTAATCATTCTTATCTCCATACGTTCGTAGGTTACGTACGTGTGTATATTTAGAAGGGTTGCGTGCAAACCACTTTTTATGCACGCTGTTGGTGGTGCAACGCAATACGAGGAAGGCATCAAGTCCACATGCAGCACTCACAAAGTGTAGCTATTATTTAATTACTGATCATGTCGCAGTTTGTTTCTGTAATCTCATTCTTCGTACCTTTTTATAATCGACTCAGCAACTACACTCACACTTTAAGTGCACATCTAGATATTGGCGAACTATGTATGTAGCTATTCTCCCAAACCACTGACTGCATATGAAAACGGGTCACAAGAAGAAGTGGTAGCAGGAGGTACAGATTTAGATTATTATTAAATTTAGGTTGCCACTTTGGTGTTTCATCATTTTTTAGTGTTTCGCATCTGCGGTGGCAGAGTGAGGGTGGTTGTTGATAGGTTTGTGGAAAAGCAAATCAAGCAAATAGGCAGTTATGTAGATACTTATACCATTTTACCAATTACGATTACCAAGTTGCGCTGGTTCATTTGAACATAATCCGACAAACTGTAATCTGACATTATTATACAAATTAGTGCATCATCCCATTCGTGCCTGATTTGTTGGCACATAGGGAAGCGCAATAAATAATATGAATGGATGATGCTTATCATCACTGGGATAACAACAATTCAACGCGTTTCTTAAGGTTGCTCATTTTTTCAAATCGAATCATTATTATGCATTCATCGTATCGCACTCGGTCCCATGCGATTCGACCAAAAAAAGAGTTGTTTGTAAGTAAAGGGCAACGCATCTTGTTCATCTTTTCATCTGAGGAGAGACGGCAATTCATCTTGTGAGTGAAGTAACACTAATAATGATCACTGTACGATGAAGGAAGTGAAAAGTAACATAGTTGACCGACCGGCTTGTCAATAATAAGCTGTCTGTGATCCCAATTTATCTTGTGAAACATATTGGCTCCTCACTTGGAGCTCATTGTCTTGACCAACCACATTTCCAGCCCCTTGGTTTCTGCAAAGTAGAAGAAAGTAAAAATGGGGCGACGAGTGTTCTTGGACGTGACCTAACTACGAGACCCTCTTGCACCAAATGTCCCCTCTCAACATGTCCCCACACACACGCACACTTCTTTCGACTCCATTTCTCCACTTTGCTTGCACCAATGGCTTGATCCAATATTATTGAAACTAAATATAGCCCAATTTTAAGTTATTTTGACTTTTTCTGTCTTATCTTACTTGTTTCAGTCTTGTGCTTAATTTAATCCGTCGTCTCTTTGTTTGCTTTGCAGAGAGGAGCACAATGCAGCAACAGGTAAATATCGGACCTAGTCCAATCCTCCATGTCCATATGCATGTAGGCAGAGCCGCCTAATCTACCTAGCCAGTGGAAAATATCGCTTAATTGTCTCTTGAAAGGGTGTCATGTAAATGGTCGTCGTAAGTGTGCATGCAATTTGTCGACCTGGCACTTTGACCATCATGCGAATCCAGAGTCCTTGTAACCTTAAGTCCGGAGACGAGCTTGCCTATTTCGCAACACGGCGAAAAGACAGGAGATTAATGACTTGTTGAATTTGCAGCATTTTGGGGATGGTTGATGGCCCTGTCAAAGATGGTCGAGTTGGGAGACACCGCCTTCATCGTACTCAGAAAACAGCCGCTTATCTTTCTGCATTGGTAAGTCCGCGCTAATTCACTCTGAGCAATTATTCGACAATTAGTGACCACGGCTCTGGTCAAGCACACACTCGAGTCCTCAAACACAATCGACTCCTCTACTCACACAAATTATCTGCGCAAAGTAAACTCAAGCCAAAATTCGTTTAAAATTGATGATGGTAAATGGTTTCGAAATGACGAGAGTTGAGGTGCAGGATGCAGTTCGGACACGGTCGTTGGGCGACCTGCACATAAGTACTTGAACCAGTTCATCATAATTAGTTGCAGAGGTGGTGGACGCAAATTGGTGGCCGTCTGAGCAGCATCTGATCTCTTGTAAGCTTTTTAAACCCTAGACTTGGTTTTTTTGTGGTAATATTTTCCTCCTTTCATCGCACTCTAGCCAGAAATTCTTGCTCCTTGACGAGAGCTGCTCATTGTCAGCCTTTCTCTTTCGTTGGGGTTGTGAAATGGGCCCTTGTGAAGGGATTTGGTAAATAGGTTACCGGAACTAGGTTGGGTGACACTGGTGGAAGTCCACTCCACTTCCACCAGTGAGTCGTCAGCAACGGGACTAATAAATATTTTCTCGTTTCATAGAAACAAATAAACGTACGCTGCACCCTTTTCCACCTCAGAATCCTACTTTTCTTCTGGACATGAATGTGGCACACACACACCTTCGCCTAACCCTAAGCATTATTAGAATTCCATCTTCACGACTTTGTGAAGGTAACAAACAAAGGGATTTGTCCACATATAAGGTGAACTTGGCATCTGCGTCGTGTACTTTTCATGCAAATTTATTCACCGGACCACAATTTGGCATTGAATTTGCCAGTCTGTCTGTGAGCACTCAATAAATTCCATGATCTCCTACAATCCAGGATGTTAATGCCCAAAATTACTACCCATTCCCATTAAGGAGTACGTACAGCAAAGTGTTGGGCATTCTTCTTGCTGCTAAGAGAGCCCAATGTGGGAATAGGAAGTGGAACCCACGGTCGCTGCTGGCTCATCTTATCGTCAATGCAACAAGAGTTTATATAAGGACTCACTGGACAAACTAGTTTGGGGGCGAGTATTTCTTCCTCCTCCACAAATGCTCGCCAAACTCCATGCTTACGACCGTCTAGCTGTGTAACAACGTAACAGATAACTTTGGGTGCAGCCAGTTTGTGCTTAAGAATTAATTAATTTGTACTTTGAGATTATCGTAAATACACTTTTGTTACTCACGTCATGTTCGACCAGCGACAAATCTCAGTCACACGTACAACACAGTTACATATTTACGACGACGACTTAATTTTGTGGACATAGGACGACGATGACGCGGTAGGTGGGCAGCTAGGTCAATGTCGACGATTAGTCCTAATGTTGAGAGAGTGGCAAAAACTTATTTTGATTTTTAATCAAGTATTTTATCACCATAAGTTGGGCATCGTGTCATCATGTGACTTCAACTCCTAAATAACCAAAAGTGTGCAAAAAGACTGCTGCTGAAGATTTCGCGATGAAGCAGGTGGTGGCAATTAAGACAAAGATTCAGCAGCATTACTTATTTGCATGCAAGTCTTTTAGGAGACGTGAAATGAGCTGGTCTGTTGGCATGCATGGAAATGTGTTCTCTCTCTGTCCACGTCCAAGTGGTTGAGACGATCAGTTCTGGGATCAAGGAATCAGATCAAAATCTGAGTTAAACGCCAAATTAAGCTCCTTCAAAACGTGGAGTGGATGCGTGTGAGAATTGCCACGTGAGCATAAATTTCGTGGACTGTTTCCTTTTCCAAAACGACAATTAAAATGGATTCAAGGTTGCTCAGATATTATGTGATCTTGCCCAACTCTTCATTATTAACCTGCCACGGCTTGGCGTGGCGTGGCGTGGTGGAGTTAAGAATAATGAATGAGACAAAGTGGTATGCAAATCCTCGCAGATTTATGTATGTATGTCTGCTGGGAAAACCATTCCGTCGTCGTCAATGAACCCTTGTCGTGATAAGTCGTATTAAATATTAGCAGATTTTTGCAATATTTCACCGACTTATACACATGTGCCAGGGTTGGTCTGCACGTAAATATTATGCGGGTCAACTGGTAAATTTGTGGAAATTACCATGTGCTGAAGATGAAGTAGAATGATACTAATTGCTCTTGTCCCTCAGGTATCATCATATCACCGTCCTCGCCTACACGTGGTACACTTACGAAGCTTATGAACCGCCGCTGAGATACTTCATGACCATGAACATGTTCGTACATGCCGTGAGTCCAGTCTTCCACTCATTCCTCAACAATTCCCCAATGAATCCATAATGTGACATGTTTTTAATTCACTAATTACAGTTGATGTATTCCTACTACGCCTTGAAGGTAGTCGCAATTTTTATGCTCTCCAGATTTTTTTGCTTCATTCCTCCCCACTGCTTAATCATTTTTAACGAGATATGGGTTTTCAGATAGTCCCAAAGCCATATCATTGAATATTTAGCTGCTGAATGTAATTGGTGTGATGGGCACTGCTTATGCACATTATGGCGATGCTGAATGCTCACGTTTTTCAAGTATTCCAATGAGTGATTAGTGCATATGGCGGAACACAGGAGTTGATCTCAACGCGCGCGGGCCAAGGTGTCCAACTTCCTAGAGAAATGGAGCCCTTCATTTCGCTGTTGGTCGTCAGCATGCCTGCCTCGTCGCGTCGTCAGGTGACGGGACTTGAGGTGGCAACACACACTCAAACCGGACATCCTCCAACGACGACCAAGTTGTTGCTACGAAGAAGCAGGACGACAATAACTCGCGAGTATCAATTTATTCTGCTTCCTATCGCACTCATTAGTTTTGAGGCTAGGCAGCAGGTTGTCCTTCGTTGAGACATCGATTGGGCATGATGAGCTTCATCACCTTTAAATTCATGGAAGGATTGTTGTTCTTTTTTTCGCCAAGGCAGACCCCAATTACTTCTGCATGTGAATAGGCTACAAAATAATTTAATGAATGTGTTCGCTGCTCATTGTGCAATCTGGGCAAAATTCGGCTGACTTTTGATCGATTGCACAACACTGCATTGTTGGATCTGGATTTGTTTGCTGCTTTTATTTAGTAACTACTTTTTATTAGGAATTTCAATCACAACGCAAAACCTGTCGAGAATTTGGATTGATTTAAGACTGCAAGATTTATAATGATTTATTTGCTTGTGTGCACATACACATGCTCAAGCTGTGCAAGTGCTTAAAACCATTGCTTTTAAAACCAGTCTAATCGACTGAACACTTGAATAAAGGTAAATTGGATTGCTTGCTGATTAAAGAATTGAGTGCTAAAAACAGTCCATTTTTTTCAGTCGCTGAAGGTGCAAATTCCTCGGAATTGGGCTATGATGATAACTTTCCTTCAAATTAGCCAAATGGTACGTATTGTCTGGTCGTAGTTTAATGCCATGAAATTGCTTGTATTTAATTAACATTTAAATTATTTGGTTCCTGCAGGTCGTCGGGGTCACGATCAACATTTACTCGTTGTATGTCAAAGGTGAGGTTTGAGTCTGACCTATGTCATTTTCCCCCGAAACTGGAGATAATACTTATCTCAGAAATTGTCCAACTGCGTGCGTGGCATTACATATAAGCCGACCAAGTTGTAGCCTGTAGCTCGAGAGGACTACTGAATTTCAGATCCAGAATTTCTTCAGTGCCGACTTTTTAAGAAACCTTATAGAGTCGGGCAGGACAATTATCGTGGAATAATCTCCAGTTTTAATTCAGACAGCGTCTGAAGTCTTACGACGTGGTTGAGTCAAAGATAACTTTTTGCCTTACCTTACAACACATTCTCGCAAACTCGTTAATTTTGCAGAATGTTGCAAAACCGTTTTTTTGTGTTTTGTCTTTCCATTTCACAATGACACGTGAGGATGGTTATGTAGCTGTCCATCAGCATAAACCTTGACATAATATGTAGCCACAATTTTGTCACCCTTGAAATCGAGGGAAAAAGTCGTGTTCATCATCCTCATGTCGTACGTGTGCAGTTGTGTACGTATGAGTATGCACTCTGATGAGCCTGTCGTACAAGATGGTTGGTGACCAAATGCATTTATGCAAATCCCGAGTTATTATGACACAGGCGTTGTAAATGAGATGGTTTCCTACGATTAATTAACTGCCTGCCTCGCCAGAAGCATACGTAAACCTCATTATTATTGTTGTTATTGTGCGTGCTGCAGTTTTTGATTTTTACCAAGTTTTTCTTGTGCCTTTTTTCAGCCATGAATGTGCCATGTACTCTGGGCTGGGAGAACATGAACATTGCCCTCACGATGTACGCCTCCTACTTCGTCCTATTCGCCAACTTCTTCCACAGGTCCTACATGAAGGCAAAGCTGGCTTAACGTGACAACGTCGTCCCAAACTCTGCAGCACGGAGATGCCCCCTTCCTCCTCGCCTCCACTCATCAACCTACAGAGTTCTTCACGCCTTCTAATTACCTAGATTTACTTAATTACTTCTTAATTGTGATGTTTGATTGTTGCTCGAATCTTACGACGATATGTTCCCCTTTGTATTCCCCTCGATATCCCCCCACGAGTTCTTGTGCCGAATGATGTTGAAGTGTACAATATTGGGATGCGACTGAGGAGGACAACCCTTCACCGACAGAATCACCGATCTTGATGCCCTTTGGATATATTGTGGTACTAGGTGAGTCTAGCAAAAGTGAAGGAGGATTTCATTCCATGGCCCCATTTGCGCCCGCCACACCCACTCAAAGGTGCGAAAAACACGAAAAATACCCTGTTTTCGTTCACTAAAAAAATCACCAAAAATCCTATTTTGATCGGATTTTCATAATTTATACGTTTTTGTGATCATAGATAGTTGCTTTATCACATCCAATAGCAAACTCAATTTTTTCAATTTTTTGAGTATTTTCGAAAATTTCCTGACCAGGGGTATGCCTTCGAAAAAAATCAAAATTTCAAAAAAATTGAGTTTGCTATTGGATATGATAAAGCAACTATCTATGATCACAAAAACGTATAAATTATGAAAATCCGATCAAAATAGGATTTTTGGTGATTTTTTTAGTGAACGAAAACAGGGTATTTTTCGTGTTTTTCGCACCTTTGAGTGGGTGTGGCGGGCGCAAATGGGGCCATGGAATGAAATCCTCCTTCACTTTTGCTAGACTCACCTAGTACCACAATATATCCAAAGGGCATCAAGATCGGTGATTCTGTCGGTGAAGGGTTGTCCTCCTGAGCATGCTTCGAGGGCAGGGGACGAATGCTTACATAATTTTACATTACTTTTGTTGTTACTGTGTTGTTGTCTACTGCCAGGAGAAAAACTGTAACTCAAAATCTGCCCACATCCAACATTAGTTAACGTAATTTGGCCTGCAATTTTTGCAATTTGCAATGTAATATAGGGAACTTTTGGATACCGCCATTACAATTTTTGAGTTTTGCATAAGACTGACAATCAATTCTGGTTTGCACCGTTGACTTGAATGCACAGGTTGCCATTATATTTTAGTTAATTCCACATATCTGTAATGCTAAATAATATTATAATTAGTATAGTAGTGTATTTGGCAGAAAAAATGGTCCCTGCACTCTACATGCATACACTCATTTCCTCCAATAATATGCAAATATATAAAAACGACGCGGATGGAAATGAGTGAAATGACACTGGAGACATGTAAATACTGATTTGCTTCAGCGATACGTATTTACTCACGCTGGTTTGCCCGAGGTCCGTGGTTATGCTATGCTGTGTCCGAGAATAGCATAGAATAATCCATCTGATCTAACATCACCGTATGGATATTTAGACAATAATTATGTATATACGTTACGTGTACATTTTGCAAAATTAGTCAGATTGTTGTAATTAAGTAATAAGTAAGTTAATTCTTAAGCCATAAGTCGTACATAGATATTTCTGTGAATTGTCACAGGATTTCAGCCGAGGTTCACATTATTTCGAATCTGTCTGCAATTCCGACCAAGGAAAAGAAGCATGCGTCACAGGTGCTTAAATACCGTTCATTTTTCAAACTTTGTAACTAATTGCTATTGTATAACTTTAATGCTGACGGTTTAGAAATAAAGAAGGGATCGGTGTGTGAGACACGATGACAATAATTTTCCATGAAAAACCCACAACTCAGAACTTTACTATTCTATCCTTGACATAGTTGTAGCATCTCCAAAATCAGAACTTGTCATTTGCATCGGAACATTCGTAATCGTGATAAACACCGAATCCCACTTGATCACTCCAATCAGACCACGAGCGTTGAACATAATACAAGCAGACGTATTTGCTTATAGCGTTGACGTAGCAAAAGTTGCGTAAGTTTTCCAGTATAAAAACTTGTGCATGTTTTTATGTGAGCGAGAAGGAAGAGAACTGCATGGCTCACGCGAAATTGAGAGGGGTCTAATCTTATCGGTGTTACCGGCTGTAATATAAATACGAGAGCCATGTTTCACCTTTCCAGCCAACTCTGTACGTACAGCGAGACGCCAGGGTAATGGATTCCCTTATCAATTCCATGATACGTACACCCTGTTTGCAGGAGACGGAAAATGTGATGAGGACAAGTACCGACTGGGTTCAGACTCCTCTACATCCGATTGGGTAATCGGGTATTGAGCTACATATTTATGTTTTTGGAAGGGTGCCTACATTTGGTGTCCTTATGCCTTATAGGAAATTGGGTGGAGAAGGGATGGGGCGCAAAAAAGCTGCCGTAAAGACCATACGCATTTATCCGCCAATAACCACCACCGACCTTATTGTTCTGCGTGCTTCGGGTGCAGCGACTGCCTTCTGACTTGCATCCGCCCATCCATCGATTCATTCTCATTTCAACGTCTGCAAACCACCATTAATCATCATCGTTTAGGCACTCAGGACGGATTAAAACTGCAGCATCAATCCTCACCAATGACCACGGGAACACGGCACGAGTGGATGAATTATCATGCGAGCCAGTTAAAAAAGGCCGCTGAAGTAAAGAGTCATCATAATTCATGCACAAAGCACCATGATGATGCGTGTCCACTTTGCAATATTAAGAAAGAGGTCAATACAAATACTTGGAAAGTCCTTGGCATGTCCTCTTGAGGGCCTAATAATAACACCACCACTCGTCCCCACACTTTCGCTGCGGACGTGCATTTTATAATATCGAGAGTGAGAATAGGCGAGCTTCTGCATTAACCGCGACACGACAGAACTCTGCCGACGGGTGTAAACGGCAGTGGTGAATGTGTCCAACCTGAATTAACCAGTGCGTTTTTCCTGGCTGGACAAGAAATAAGTCTGTCTGCTACTGACAACGAGGTCTGGTGTGGGCATTAAATATTTGTACGTCTACGTGTAAAGTGCATGAAATCCTCATGAAATGGGAGAATGACGTGCGTGTTGAGGTAACTTGGCCGTCGACACACACAATCCACACGGTCCCCTCGTACACACATACGATGACACATACCTACGTATACGTACTGCTCGGAAGGAAGGGTACCAGGCTGGGTGGCAAAACCATGCAACGCTAATTCCAGTAAACAACACTGCAAGGTTAACTAAACAACTCGCTGGATTTCATATCTAGGAGGCAGACGGGTAGGCAGTCATTTCCAGCCTTTGTTAAAGCTGCCTCACGTTCGGCATACCCGGGTAACTGACACTGGACAGCTACATACATATATGGCCGGTATGAGTACATAGATATGCAAACAGGAGGAGAAAGCCAGGGGCCGTCAATACAGGGCTGTTGCGAATGGATATGCACTTTCGGTTTACAGGTCGAGATAATTCCAGAGTTCGCGTCAGTAGTGCCACAAAAGTTTTGCTGTAGTGTTTTTCAGACATTGAAACCTCGCACATTTTTTTAGAAGGCAGTTGAAGACTGAGCCAGGCAGATCTGATAAACGGGCTGCTGGTGAGAGTGATCCGGTTAAATGTGTACTGAAGTGTACTTACTCCGAGAGTAGCCTGCACACGTTGGTGGCGAGGGAGACCTACTGTCCCGGAGTGAGTTCCAAGTGAACGCTCCTGAAAAGTGAGTCGTTTTTTGGGGAGTGAAGTAGGAATTCATGAAAGAAGCCGATTCGGGTTCGGGCGAATTTGAGCATCAGTAAATGTCGCTGACTGATCCCGAGTGCTCAGCTGAATTTCGGAGTTCTTGTGTCAGAGGACCACACAAATCGCATCCCAGTGAGTGCCGTGCCCATTTCATTGCTCTCACCATCCAAGGCTTGAGAGCCGACTTATTACTGATAACTCCAACTATTTCCCCCCCCCCCGTCCCCGTCTTCAGCTCATCCAAACATTAGTTCGTAATTTCGAAAGGGTTCCTGTTCCTCGAAAATCAGGGGAAACCTTGCTCCCGTCAACCTACATATGTACACACGCCGTACAGCCCTGCTTGTTTGTGAGCAGAATTTGGAGAGGTTGTTGAGACCGGCTTGAATAATTCAGGAGGAAGTGAAAGGGAATGACGATGATTAAGTCACATGACTACGCGTCGGACTAAATTACTCTGCTGCTGAAACAATTTGGACGTGTCAGTCGTTGGAGGGCGAGGAAGATGAGCAGGACGCAATTTCCCTGTCATCAGTCTTTTCTGCCTCACTCAGGAGCCTACCTGACCAGTAATAATCCCAACAAGTCGCCTCCTCAGCCACGACCACGAAAGAGTTCCACTAACAATCAACCTTTGTTGTGACAAACTCCAAAAGTGCGAGGACAGCAATCGGTCAGTTTTCTAGTATCAAACAAGTGTAAACATGTTCACCCAAAAATACCACAATTTTCTCCTCAGTTTGTGACACTTGTTCCACCGCTATTTTCCTATTGCTCCCAGGTAACTCTACTTTCACTTAAATGATTTAAGTCAATCTTGAGCATTTGCATATCTCTGGTAAAAAAAAACTTCATGCACAAACCAGACAATTGATGGGTGTGTGTGTGTTATATTTATGTCCACGTTTCCATCGCGTGGATTGTCTCATCTCATCCCCATGGACCAAGAATGAGGAGTTGCATTTCGCAGGATGAGCAGATATTGGCAAAAGCGTCGTTCCATCGCCTTAGCACTGCAGCCATTTGAATCGAATGGTGGTAGCTCAAAGAGAGGTGTGAATGTTTCAAAATTATGTGAGCACACAATTAATGCGCTCCACTCCACGTTGTGCTAATAAATGGCTGGTAACTAAATAGCTCAATGTGTTTACTTGAGGACGAGGAGGCAGAGACGGCCGGCTGTGTGTGAGACAATGAGCTGCATATTTGAATACAATATCATCAGTAAGTGTCGTTGGCTAATATTCCACCGTCTACGGTACAGGGTGCGCTACCACGTTTACTCATTCGCTAAAACTGTGTGACTGTAACGAAATTGCTGATGAGGTAGTAGATCAAATCTGGGTGCACTCGGCAGCAGAGCATAAATATGCACCTACTAATAGTGAGAATGGAATACTAAAATGTTGACGTATTACTCCGTACTTACGGGTTGGCCATTCGTAAAACAATGTTCAGTTGCCCGTGATTAGGTCCACAGAAATATTGGACAGTTGTTAGTTATCCCATCTCTGGAGGAGTTACGGGCTCATTCCACTCGCTCAGTGCCATTTGGTACTCTTTATGGAATAGCAATCCTTAACAGATCGCTCATATCTGGATACTCTTCTGACGTATCTGCATTGGAAATGGCAAGTGAGTTGCACACCCACAAAATTCCAACCTCGGACTATTAAATCACTCGACTATTAAATTTCATGCAAATTAATATGCAACATAAAAAAGCTCCAGTTATCTATGTGTCTCATTTTGCGTTTCGTATACACATCTCTGGTTCATTTAGTACAAATATTAAGGGAATGCACGTGCCGATTCCTTGCAGATATCTTACCATTTTATATGCGGTCTAGCACCTAATTTAAATTGAAAACCAACTTCAGTATAGCGAGTTGCAAGAATGTTTCGGATTTTATTTAGTTGTGCGAGTGGGGGTTCCGATAACACTTCATGTTCAGCTGCATGACTGTCCTACATGCAAATATTCTGCAATGTTCCAACCACTACTTTGTTCTCCCGTGCAAAATTCAGATTTTTTACAAGCACTGCACAATTGCATTGAACATGTATGTAATAATAATGGTGCAAAAATGCCACCACGATCCAGCGCCAATGAAAGGGATTGTAAATGGGCTTTTTGTTTACAAAATGGCAGGCGTGTCATATCCACCACTTTGCTCGTAGCAGGAGTTGCAGGAGTAATTTCCTGGAGAATTGCAAAAGTGGTACGTGTCCGTAGACTGGCTTACTATTTGGCAGAGCGTTGTTTAATTCCACGGGCACTGACTTATTTGTAGCCTTGCATTTGTCGTTCATATGAACGGTATACAAATATTGCCGTAATTAAGCCACTCCATCCACTCAGAGCAAGTCTCTTCCGAACTGATTCAGTTTCAGTGCATGGCGTGCAGTACAGCAGATTCCTGGTGCCGAGCTCTCATTATGTGGGTTCATATTTTTCTTGGGATGAGACAGGGAGAAGATACACATGCATGGAGAGGTGTATGTATATGTACGTGTTATGTGCAGGTGGTGTGGGTGGCAGAGTTACGAACTCTGATAGATATTCTAATCTATGTACCGGATTCCAATGTTGATACAAGATAAATTGACTCATTCAGTCCTTTCGTTCACCATTCCAGGTGCAGTCCGAGAACATTGCTGGCCAAAGTAGACCAGCATTCACTCTGCGACCTACTACAACTCCCAACTTGCCTTTGGTCCTAAGTTCACTGGTCTCCTGCCACCGGTTTTTTCTCACATTTTCATACGTCCACCCCAAGAAAGCCCCCTCATTGACACTCCACCACCAATGAAGATTTGACAGGAGGGTGGACAAGTTGTTTGTTGGTGCGGCCCGGTGACTCAAAAAGTGCGAACATGGCGGCGTCGCTGAATGTGAGCGAGGGGAGCGACACGTTTGTGGAGGTGTTTCCCATAATTTCGCCGGGATACTTGACTGTGTACGACTGGGAGGTGGTGGAGCTCACGGACCTGCGGCGCTGGGTGGGTCAGAACTGGAAGGTGTCAATCTACGCCTCTGTGATTTATGTCATTCTCATCTACCTCGGCCAAAGCTGGATGAAGAATCGGCCTGCGTACAATCTCCGGTCGTGGCTCACCTCGTGGAACATCGTCCTCGCCCTCTTCTCCCTCATCGGCTTCGCCAGGACCTTCCCAGAAATCTGGCATGTCATCAATGAACCCCATGGATTCTACATTTCAGTCTGCACAAGACAAGAGCACAACGCGGCCACGGGTACCTAGACCACTCAAATCACTATTCTATATTCCTCCTTTTTCTGCCATGCGAAATTATAATCATTTGCACAATTTGCATTTCAGCCTGCTGGGGATTTCTTATGACAATGTCGAAATTAATTGAGTTAGGAGACACTGCATTTATCGTACTGAGGAAGCAACCACTGCGGTTTCTCCACTGGTGAGTACTCGCATTATAATTTACCCATCCTGTCCCCTCTTCCTTGATGGAAACAATATCAACTGGTGCCCACCTTTGCCAGCCACAAGCTATTTATTTATCTCCCGATGTATGTAGAAAAAATGTATCAGTCAAGTGAAACGAAAGTCATGCTTTGGAATTCGGTATGTATGTACATACTCCTCGCTTGGTGCTTGGTGGCGGTGACGAATGGAGTAGATAAAGAGAAAGTTTGTTGGACTCAGGGAACATTTAGGCATGAATAATTTAGGACGTTTGAAAGAAACCGATAATTTAGGAACGGGATGAGTCATTTTTTATTCCTGGCCCGGCATGAATGGTGCAATGTCTCACTCTGATTATCTCGTCCAACGAGCGAGTGAAGTACCTGGGATAAATGGCAATCTCGAGTGCAGAGACGAGTACTCAATATGTGTGTTATCATGCACATGTCCTGGCCTTCCATGTGATGACAGTTGCTGACACCTGCTGACGGTTGATAACCATTCAAATCGACCGAAATAGTACCTGACCTGGAGGTCCAAATCCAATGTTCTAAATAAATTGCGCATAGCTCCAGCACAATTAACTATTTGTAGCATTACTCACGGTGTCAGGGGGCATATTTAATATTAACTTGATATTTTATTTGCAAGCTTTCGTTAGCACACGGCATAGCTTCTTCAGGCAAGCATCGGTTTTAGGAAAAGTTTGTGCACAAGTTTATTTTATTTTTTTATATAGTTAGGATTTATTTTAATTGTGGTGATTATATTAAAAAATGTATTTAATTAGAATTAATTATCGAATTCCTAGAAGTATTTATTACTTGGGCTGCTGAAGTGGTGTGGAGAAATGGCACACGAGATGCGGCTTTCTGTTTAGTGAATGGGCTGCGTTGCGTTGGCTCGATAATTAGCACATTCCTTCTAACTGGCTGAGATTGCAAAGAGTGAAAATCACACCACTTTCGCCCTCTCCTCTCGTGCCTCTGCCTCCTCCTTGATACATATGTTGCAGAGTGCAAGGGAATGATAACCATATCTCGCTAAGTGCAGACGTGTAGGGAAATATCTCACAGGTCGCATCGACGTCATATGATGACCCATTTATTGTTCTATTTCAACCCTTAAATGTTTTTGCATGTTGATGGCTGGGCTAATTTATTCCCGTGTGTTCTTATTGCAGGTATCACCACATAACAGGTAGGTTATTAGGGAGCAGTGTTACACATTTGTCCTTACATGTTCTCAGCAGGTTAACAGGTGTTGTCCTTTGTCACAGTTTTTATATACACGTGGTCAACCTACGAAGACTATGAGCCATCCCTCCGGTGGTTTATGACGGTAAGAGCTCGTAAAAGTACATAAGCTCGACTTGTCTCAATTTCTTACTTTGCTGATATCTCTTTGATTGCGTCCTTTCAGATGAACATGGCCGTACACGCCGTAAGTCTCACTTGAACAAATATTTGAAATATTATGTGGTCATTTTTGTGAAGGAGTGGTCGTGTTGCAGTTGATGTACACCTATTACACGCTCCGTGCCATGCGAGTGAGAGTCCCCCGACAGTTCGCCATGATTGTCACGTGCTTGCAAATTAGCCAGATGATCTTTGGCGTCTTCATTAACTTGTACACCGTCTGGGTCAAACGTAAGATGGGCATTTCACAAGTTCATTTTCATGCGCTTCGTGGATGGGTGGATGAAATTGAAAATTATGCAAATTATTTATTCAGGAAACGGGCATGACTGTGTTCGTCGGGACGAGGTTATCCAACTCGCCCTCCTGATGTACGTGTCCTACTTCATCCTATTCGCCAACTTTTTCTACCAATCTTATCTCAAGTCCTCGCCAAAGTCGCTTAAACAGAAACAAAAGTAAAATAAAGACAAAAAATCCCTTTCTTCAGTTCCGTCTGTTCTCTCCCCAGTCATTTCATGTTCAGTTCTTTATTCGGTGCATTTCTTTCAATTCCAACACCAAATTTACCCCTCGGAATATGTTTAATACACACACATATTTTATAAGAAGTTTGTACAAATGTGACATTTTTTTACACGACCTCAAGATCAAAAGGAAATATTTTAACAAACTCACAAATCCCGACCCTATAAGCATTAAGGGTGAACAAACAATCAGGTAGCAATTTTTCATGGTTGTAAAACTAACCTGATTCCATTGGGCATTAAACCGATTGCATTGTGAGACGAATCAGTGTTGATTTTGCAAACATGAGAGAAACTCCATGCCAAAGAATTTTTGAATTGATCCCCGAAATTCATTTTCTATATTACTAGTTCCTTAATTAATATATATTTGGTTGCTTTTTGGTGGGGGGAAATTGGATTATCGTAATTATGAATTATATAAATATGTATGTAGCTTGTTACTCAATCACCAATATTATTATGAGTGTGTCGTTCGAGATTAATAGTCACTGGTCGCTTTGCTGCAAAGGGCAAAGTTTTTAAGAAATTTTAGAGTATCCTTGTGATGTTTAGTATTTACTTATTGATGAGATATGTAGTGAAGTGAGCTACTACATACACGACGATCTCCATGAACAATATTATGTCGAGGTGTTTTTTGAAAGAACATTAATTTTGTATGGAATTTTATTTTATTTTTTTTCGTGGTGATGACGAATACGTTTTAAAACATTGATGTTGTACAATAATGCAGATTATGTTACAAATTACAAAAACCTTACATACTTATTTACTTGTGACGAGTTTATTGTCGTCATAAAATGAAGCCGAAGTGTGTATGTACATACGTACCTCGATCCTGCTGAACCTATCAAGTTTTGCTTCAGCAGAGTATAGATGCCTTCAGAAATTTCAACATTAGAATAAAAATAAATCGTTTTAAAGCTGAATTTCTTTACACAAGTGTTTCATTTCGCATGATTTTAGTCAAGGTAAAAATAATTCATCATCCACTAACAAGCTCAAAGCTCAAATTGACATAAAACCGGTGCTATTAAAACTAAAGTAACGTTTGCATTTTAAGATTATCGTCAAAAGTATTTGACACTTTATCAATCTGTAAGGTTACGACAAATGGCCGAGTTACAAAACAAATTTCATTTTTAACAACCTAAAAACTGCTGGAAATTTGTAGAAATTTTACCGTTTAGGGAGACTATCGTTACCTTAAATATCAAGCAATCGTGGGTAATCGTACTTACCAATGTTGCTTGACTTTAATAACGAATTCGCTACTTACAATGCTAGCGTTCCTAAGATACCTAAAGTCAAGCAATCGTGCGTACTTACCACGATGCCACTAGGGAATTCGTTACTAAAGTCAAGCAATATTGCGTACTTACATCAAGCAACCTGCAATTTTTTAAGCTAAGAAATTACGCCAAGCACACCATTAATGATTTAATTAAGGGGTGAATTATATATCATATCAATGTTTATGTTAATAATAAATAATACCAAATATAAAATTTAATTAAGGATTCCAAACTTAAATTAGCACGGGAAAATGTCTGCATCTTTGTTCCGACCTTTTCATTCGTCGCTGCTGGCAAGTTCTTTCTGGAGGCGGGCGAGGAGTTTCAGTTCTTCAGCAGGACGACGAAATAGATCCGAACCAGACCGATACGTTATCGAAGGCCGGCCGCTGGATGCCGTTCGTGGTGTGGCCATTCAAGACTACATTTTCGAAAATCTCTCCAAATATGAGGACCGACCACTTTTTGTAACCGCATAAATTCCTTCATTCCCATTCCAATTGCTCTTACTGAAGCTTCTCTCTCTTTGTGTTTGACCCAGACGTGCGGACTGACTCAAAGGTCATACAATGGGAAGATGATGAATGACATGGCCCGCGGCTTCGGAGCAGCTTTGTTGCACCACGGGGTGAAAAAGGGCGACATCGTCTGCGTCCTCCTGCCAAACCTTCCAGAGTATCCCATCGTTATGCTGGGGATTTGGTTGGCTGGTGGAATCGTGTCCCCAGTGAGCTCCTCGTCCACGCCAGGTTTGACCTCGTGGCATCATGTACATGCAGTTTTGCCGCGTCAGTATCGCATCGGCCCATTTCATAGTTAACTTTGTGTGTTTGTAGATGAACTGACGCGACAGTGCAGCATCACGCAATCAAAAATAATCGTGACGATGCCCTTCTTCGTGAACTTGGTGAAGAGTGTGCTGCCCACGGTGCCCTCGTTGAAGTCCGTGATAGACGTCGACCCCTTCGAGGACACTGTGGCTCCAGATACGCACTCTTTTTTCGAAATGACAAAATCAAGTGCGGCTGGCGTCGAGTTTTTTACCTCGTCCAAAGTGGACACAAATAACGATATTGCGATCTTGCCATTTTCTTCAGGCACAACTGGAAAGCCGAAGGGTTAATTTCTTTGCAACGCATCTCACCCTCATTCGTATTGACGTGTAGTCGTGACATGTCGTGGTATGAATTTTCAGCCGTGATGCTGACCCACACCGGCTTGTGTTCCAACGCTCTGCAGTACCTCCAGCCTGGGATTGGACTTCGAGAAACGCCCGAGAGATATATCGGACTCCTGCCGTTTTATCATTGTTTTGGCTTCTGTGCTCTGGCCTTGATGCCGATGAGAACGGGCAGCCATGTTTGCACCCTCCCCAACTTTGATCCCCTCAGTTTCGTGGCAGCCATTAAAAATCACAAGGTAGCCGTCATTTCTCTCTTGACATCTCTGGCCTACTTAACTAAATAGCAGCCATGCCTTTAGCCCACGGTGCTTAACGTGGTCACCCCCCTGGTCCAGTTCATCGTCGCATTCCCAGAGTTGGGGAAAAAAGAGTTTGAATCTGTTCACAGTAAGTGAGGCAAAATGGGGGGAGGAGTTAATAAAGGATTGATCATTTCTTCTGTTGTTGGTGCACAGCGGTTGTGAGTGGAGCTGCTCCAGTAGGGCCGCTTCTCACCCAGGCGTTACTCAAGAAGGCCGACAATGACCTGTTCTTCCAGGAGGGGTTCGTCACTCCCAAACCAACTCTTGACAACAATTAGGTAGTTCAATTCGAATACAAAAAAAATAATGGAGAAAACGATGGATATTTTCAGCTACGGGATGACGGAGGCTACCTGCTTCACACACATTTCTCGTGAGCGGTGGAAGAACACAAAGTTGGGTTCCATAGGCTGCGTCATCCCGGGGACCAAGTGCAAAGTGGTCGACATCGACACTGGGGAAGCCCTTCCTCAGGGGAAGGCTGGGGAGTTGTGGATCAAGGGACCTCAACTTATGAAGGTACACAGCCTGCCTTGACTTGAGTGAAGCAGAAGCTTGTCATTGTGATGATGACCTTGCATTTACATATTTACATTTCGTGTGCAAGGGCTACTACAAAAATGAGACTGCGACCAGAGACACCATTACGCCTGACGGATGGCTAAAAACAGGCGACGTGGCCAAGTACGACGAAGACCTCTGCTTCTACATCGTGGACAGGTAGGTACACATGGATCCATACATCCGTCCGTTGACAACTAATCCATGGGTTTGTTTAGGATAAAAGAGCTCATCAAAGTGAAGGGGCTTCAGGTCGGCACAACTACGAATATGAATAGGCGTTTGTTGGGATTAATGGTCATTTCCCACTTTCACGGCGCATTCATTTGACGTTGCAGGTTTCGCCTTCGGAGTTGGAAGACTTGTTGAGGACGCATCCCGACATTGCGGACGTTGCCGTGGTGGGCGTGAACCACGAGAGATTTGGAGAGGCTCCGAGGGCGTACGTCGTCAAGAAAAACGACAGCCTCACTGCCACCAAGGTTCACGACTTTCTCGACAAGAAAGTCGCCCCACACAAGAAATTGGCTGGTGGGGTGGAGTTCATCGATGCTATTCCTCGAGCCCCGTCAGGGAAAATTTTGCGTAGGGTCCTCCTCGCCAACTACTTGAGTGGGAAACATTAGATAAAAATATCCTCTGCATAATCCACTTTTACGACTTTTACGAAACGAAATTATAAATATTTCTTGGGCCAAATGAGAAGATAAATCGTATCATTTATTACTAGAAATGGTTGATAAAATTCCTTCATTTTTGCATGATGAAGTATGTGGAGTGTCATACATAATTGTTTTGTATGGTTAAGGAATACGCACTCGAGGGATATGTATTGACTGACCATGACTATGTATGCATGCTGCTATGATGCTCATCCCAATGCATACACAAGAATTTGCAAGAGTGCATCAAAAATATGTATGGTGTCAAAGTCCAGCTTGTATAATAGGAGTTTTTTGGTGCAATAAATATATTTTGTGTTTATACATCTGCATACAACCATGCATGTGAGCGTCGAGGTGGACACAGGTCTCATCATAACCTTCACATGCTGAGTTGCTAGAAAGATGCACAACAACATGCATGTGTTATCACTTGAAAAGTATAATCAGTCACTGGCTAACAGCCAGCACAGACAGGTTTGTTTTCATCGCCTCAGTTGCCTATCAGTCGTCACTGTTATTCCCTGATAGCTCGTATTCATTCCTCGGTGTCAAAATGGTCCTCATAATCTTGGGAACAAACACTCCCAGAAACATTGTCCGTTCAGCGTTAAAGTGTAAAACTGACCTGCGTGGTTTGTCGAGACGGAGCCATGCAACCTCCAACGTTCCTTCGTCAGCTTCCTCGGTGGCCTTCAAGAAGAACAAGTGGATAAGACCAAGTGACACCAATCCGTGCGTGATATCCTCCGTTTTGGATATTGAGCCAACTTCCAGTGTCACCATCCCAGAGTTTTTGAGAAGTAATCTCCACAAGTGGGAAAATGCGCCTGCTTTCGTATGACAACCTAATGTTGCATAAGTCTGTTATTCTAATGTAGAAATTTTCGAAATAATGTGTCCACACGCAGGAATGCGCCGTGACTGGGAGAACGTATACACACGGCCAAGTTCACAGGAAAAGCCAGAGTTTCGCTGCAGCCTTGAAGCAACACGGACTTGGGCGGAGAGAAGCCGTCTGCATCTTGCTTCCCAACATTCCCGAGTATCCGATTGTGGCTCTAGGTATGGGTCCCCTCATTATTACAGTGACCCTCTGACCCTCGACCCCAGACTTTCCATCATGAAGTTGAGGATGACAAATTTGATAATCCCAGCTTATTGCAGATATGGATATGTATGTAGATGTGTATGTGCATACGTAGGTGGTTCGGCGTTATTTAAAGTATTATCCTCATGAAATTTTACCAGAAATGCGAAGGTTGAAAGCATTTGTACTGACAATAACAACTGTCAGTTTTTAGTCGAGTTTTATTGTACTCTAAACGACGCGAGAAAAATTAATTGTAAAAATATTGTATATATGGGTATTAAAGGAAAGAATATTTTTTAGGGATTTGGGACGCAGGATTGGTTGTTTCGCCAATAAATCCAGCTTATACAGTGGGTGAGTGCTTATCTGTCTATATAAATAAGTAGTATAAAAGACGGCAAGCGCTGCGAATCCTGACAAGCTTGGTAATGTTGAATGCAGCGGAAATAGGGAAGCAAGTGGCCGACTGCGGGGGAAAAGTGATGGTGACCATTGCTCAGCTCCTTCCAGCCGTGGAGAAAGTGCTGGAGGGGAGTCCCACGCTCAAAAGTGTGGTCGTGGTGGGCGAGGCTGGAGGTCACCACTCCTTCTTCGACATGCTCAATACGGACGTTTCCAGCGCCACATTCCTCCGCGGATCCGACATCAACACTCTGAGAGAAACCGCAGTCCTGCCCTATTCCAGCGGAACCACGGTGACTTCAATATTTAATACAAAACTATGCAACCTATTGCATAGTTTTGTCTAATATTGTCCTAATATTAATATCCTAATATTGAACCTGTGCCCCTAATCCGCAGGGAACGCCGAAGGGAGTGGAGTTGACGCACAGTACTTACACTACAAATCTAATGCAAATCACTCATCCCGGATATCGCCTCACCCAGTTTTTTGACGGAGGAAGCCCACAAGAACGACTGTTTGCCCTCCCCCCATTCTTCCACATCTACGGGTTGCAAGTCATCCTGGGCAGCACTTTGCACCAAGGCGGACACACTCTCTGCTTCCCCTCATTTGAGCCTGCATCCTTCATCAAGGGCATCAAACAACATCGGCCAACCGTCCTCCACCTGGTCACCCCACTCATCTCCTTCCTCTGCCAGTCCCCTGAGATCACTCCGGACGACTTGAAGCACACGAGGGGCACGGTTGCGGGTGCTGCTCCCATTGGGAAAACCCTCATCGAGCGCTTCATCACCAAGTTTGACCAGTACATGTTTTTCCAAGAAGGTGACTTGCGTTGATTTGTTTTCCTTCCCGTGCCCACTCACTCACAATCAGTTTCACATTTTCGTGTTTTTACATTTTCAGGTTTTGGAATGACGGAGCTGGGCGTGAGTCACTTGATTCCCCCAGAAATGAAAAACTCTCGAGCCGGCTCCTGCGGAATTCTGGTCACGGGAACAACCTCCAAGATTGTTGACAACGAGTTGGGGAGAGTTGTGGGTCCGCATCATCCGGGAGAAATATGCGTCCGAGGTCCACAGGCGATGAAAGGCTACTTCCAAAATGAAAAGGCCACTCTGGACACCATCGACTCGGAAGGGTTCATAAAAACTGGAGACATTGGATACTACGACGAGGAGGGATTTCTTTACATTGTTGACAGGTGGGAAACTATTTTTTTAATAGTTCTGTAGGCATCTGATGATAATTTATATGAATACATTGAGTTGCAGATTGAAGGAGCTCATCAAGGTGAAGGGTCTTCAGGTAAACTACGAATGGGCTTACTGATACACTCGTGAGCAATGGCATGAAGTCGTCGTCGCTATCTTTTAGGTCGCACCGGCAGAGCTGGAGAACGTGCTACGGCAACACCCAGATATTGCGGATGTTGCCGTGATTGGAGTTCCACATGAGCGATGGGGCGAAGTTCCGCGTGCTTATGTCGTCCCAAAGTCTAAGAGGTTGAGGGAATCCTCAGTGAACTCATTTTTGAAAGACAAAGTCGCCGAGCATAAAAGACTTGTCGGCGGGGTCGAATTTATTGATGTGATCCCGAAAGCGGCGTCGGGAAAAATATTGCGAAGAGTTCTCAAGAGCAGGTTCGAGTGACGAAAATGCCCATCAGGTATTTGTGTCGTTGTAAATAGTATCATTTTTACTATTGCAAGAACTGTTTTGACAGGTGGGGTCAGTGTTTTAGTTCTGTTCGTATTTTATTGTCGTCCTTTGTCTTGAAATAATCAGCCAGTTTCGCCACTCGGTGAGTGTGCTCAATGACGCCATAAGAACAGCGGCACTGAACCCACATTTTCCAGCACTGCACTAAATAAATATGACTTACTCATTACCAATGTCAACCAATATTAAATTATTCTGTTGAAATGTGATATGATTACGTTCGCGATAACAATCGTGACAGCCATGCAAATGGATCTCATCGATAAGAAGGACAGCCTTGCATTGCATAATTAAACATGTGTGCAGCACTACATTTGTGACTTGAGTCGGTGTAAATGTTTATTGCATATTAAGTTTCAGACTTGGCAGGAAGCATCACGTATGCATGCACGTTCACGTTCACTCCAGAAACTGCTGGAATCTAATAGAAACGAACTTGTTTTATAATTTTATAACTCATTTAAACGCGATTTTATGCGGTGTCAGGCTCATATTACGAATATTACAATCATAAGCACACGTTTTGCAGTCTCATGCAATTGGTGTAACTATAACCCGTTTGTGCTCATGTTTAGCTAGCTGTTGAAGAGTCCAATTGAAGTGAGAAGTATTGCGTGGCTTATTATTCTGTTAAAGTGCATCGGCAGAGAAGATTTTCAAGGGTGGACCCGATAAAAGAGAGGAGAAAAGCTTGTTCATGTGGAGAAGGGTTGAAAACCGGGTAGCATCTTCTCTCTCCTCCCACAAAGATGATGTTGAGCAACGAGAACTCGCTTTCCCCATTTCACCAGCCTCGTAGTCGGCCTGTGTAGTTGAGGAGAGATTCTTCAGGAAAATCAATAAACAGCCTCCGGAAAGGTGACAATCTTCTGCCCAGTGTTATTTTACTAGTGGAGCCCGGTGCTGGGCTGTCTAATTGCATATCGAATGCACCACTTCTCAAAATAATAATCTCAACCACTCGCCATATTTATACTGGACACTCCCACTCTTTCGACGTGAGCACTTGAAATTCTGCCAGCCAATTCATTCCGGGGTGCGTTCACTTTCATCTGTGCCACAGATGAAACTGATGAAGTTGTGTTATCATAATGGTTCGCATAATTGGGCACACGGACCGAGGACTTCTCCACACAAATCCCAGCAGCAGCAGCAACAGCAGAGGAGGAATCCACTTCACTCTGACAGAGTTCCAAGACAAGAGGAACGCTGTTCGGGTGGAAAGGCAGTTCAATTTTGGCCCCTGCCCTCGGGCGGAGGAGGATGCGGCCCAAGAAGTCAAGGCAGAAGTCAGCCACGTCTCCCTCCAACCACTCAACGCTCAAAACTTTCGAGATGACCAGAGTTCAAAACAGAAGAGTTCCCCAATACGGGACGACCCCTTGTTTCTCATCGCACTGGTGTCCAGGATTAAGGCTGGGAGCCATCATGCCGATACGTACTCCGCATCCCTGTATTTAGTGAGAGCCTCGGAAGGGAACGTCAGTTCCGGGGTGGAGGTGGACGAGGTGCTGGCTCGAGTGGGGGTGGTTGAGGGGAGAGACTCAGAAGTGCGGGTCCACTTTCTCCCACAATGCGTCAAGGCGAGGCAGGGTGGCGAGGAGGTTGAGGTTGACACAACGGAAGAGGAAGAACAGGAAGCCACAAATTTCTCGTGCACGTCCAGACTTCTTGTCCTCAGTCTGGAGGAAAGTAAGCGTTCGAGGGATGGTGGTTAGGTTAATTAGATTAATATGCATATTAATATCTATGTATTGATGTGTAGGCATAATTCTCTATGATGTGGAATCCTCAATTAGCACTGGGAAATCAGCCCAGCTTCAAGTGGTGGGTTCGGAGATGGTGGCGAAACGCTTTTGGTGGGCTCAATGGTTACCTCTTCAGGAAGCCGTGGCCTTTGCTCACTTTCGCAAACCACGACAATCCAGTTTCGACGATGAGGAGGTTTCTGCTCAAGCTCCAAAGTGCTTCCTCTCCGTCGTGCAATTTCATAAAGATTTCCCCAGAGAGTCCGTCGTGAGTCAAATATTTGCACTCTGTTATTAGCTCGCCCTGCGTAGCACGGGAGCTATTGAATTCCTCTTGTCCGTCCGTCCGTCCGTCTGTATGTTAACGACCTTTTTGCATCAATTGATGCTAATTAAACAGCCCCTTGACCATTATTGGATACGTTAGGCGCACCATTGGTACTAAACAAACCGAATCAAATTTTTTAACAAGTTAATAGGACCATTGATATCTAACAATCGGGAACACAAAATGATGCGAAATAATTGGAGGCACGGACGCAAAACGCACCAATAATGCAGAATATCCGGGAGAAATGATCATACAATTTTGACATAAATTTTTCAAAATTTTCGTTGCTCGTTGGTAGGTAATTCTGCACCAGTGATGCACAATTTTTGGACTCTTCTCGATGCATAATAATTATTGATCTATTTTGTTTAATTTTTCTGCACCATTGGTGCAACATTGCATAAAAATTATTGATCCACTTTGTTGGATTTTTCTGCACCATTGGTGCATAATTGCAAAAAATTATGTATCTATTTTGTTGCATTTTTCTGCACCTTTGGAGCAAGTTATAACCAAATCATTATTACAGGGTGAGCTACTTCTAACGTTACTACGGTTTCTAACATTTGGTATCTAACATTTGGTAGCACAAATTGATGCGAAATAATTGGGGGACCCGATGTACAACGCACCAATAGTGCAGAATCTCCGGGAGAACAACTCATACAATTTTGACAAAAAGTTTCCAAAATTATGTGGCGCAGTTGGTCGCTAATGTTGCACAGGTGGTGCAACCTACTTCGGCCACTTCTCCTTTTTGTCCTTTATATTGCACCATTAGTGCATGCATATATCAAAATTTGGATCTATTTTGTCTTTTTTATTCGTTTTTTCTGCACCATTAATGCAAACTCTAATCAAAATCATGACACTTTGTGAATTATTAAATTGAATTTTAAATTATTAAACGCGAATATGCAAGTATATCGTTTGACTCATTCTGTCATACACTGTAAGAATAAATAACCCCACACGGAGTAAAATTCTATCCATGCCAGAGTTAATAGTGTATGCACTCTCTATGGTGTACGTGGGAGCTTAAAAGCAAAAGAGTTACGCATTTTACTCCGGTTGAATACAGCGTTACTCCCAGCGGAGTAACGCTTCCAGCCAGGGCACTGCGCATTGGTAACCCTCATAGGGGTACTGCTTACTCGGTACCGGGGTCTTTCTGTGAGAGCGGTATATGCAAATAATTTGAAATCTACTTAATTGTCCTTACATAATTTCAATACAAGATTTTATTAATTAATTATCAATTTTAAAATTTCATCCCCCCCCCTTTCGATGGCTCTAGTAATTCGTCATCTGCAATATGGTGATCTGAAAATAAGACGGAAAATTCGAATCAAATTTATGAGAATACAATTTATTGTATGATTTGAAAGAATTTCTTAATTATTTATTTACCCTCGATTTTTTACGTATTCCTGTAATCCAAATTGCTGTAGAAGTCCTTGCACTACTTGTGTTGCAATTTTCAAGTGGGGGTGGTTAGAATTAAACGGGGGTCAGAAAATAAATAAAATTCCACTGCCAAAATTACACTCGCAGCGTATGCGGAAGGCGGTTGAGTGGGAACTGAGCTACTTTGTGGCTTCAGCCAATCTCCCCGCCCAACTCGATAACTCTGCCACGGGTAAGATATGCATTGCCAACTCTTTCTGGGGTAAACGCAAGTAAAGTGGCCTAAACAGAGTAAAGTTTGGGCAAACTCGGTGAAGGGTTGGTCACTTTACCCTGTGTAGATTTATCAATACCCCGTACAGTGTATGCAGGCAAGTAACTCAGCGCTAAGTTAGACACATTTCTAAGAGTGTAGTATTACAAGGCGAGCTACTTCCAACGTTACTACGGTTTACTAACTCTTCACCAATTTGCATAATGGTTTTAAATATCTTATAATTAGCTGAACATGCCTTTGTCGGATGCTTCCATGTCGTCAGGTCATTCAAGGTCAGGAGAGGGCGTGACCTCACCATCACCTTCTTTAAAGCTGGCTTACGATCCCACCGTTCTCACGTCTTCCTCTGTTCAGCTGAAACTTCTCGCTCACTTGTCCGGGGCCGCTTATCTTTTTCGCCTGTGCCCCACGTCCACCCCGAAATATTCCGTGAGCATGTTGCATCATAATAAAACGCTGGACGTCGACGTGAGTGTGGAGACAATTCAAGGAGGCGATGAACCTTGCGACACTCAGCTTCACCTGGACGTTGGTTTGTACTCGAAAGGTAAGAATCGAGTGGGCGGACATTGTTGTCTCGATGGCGTGGTAGTCACTGGTAGTGATGGTTGCCTTCTGCTTTCTCTGCACAGATCAGTATCTCGTGGTTGTGGGGTGGCCTTATTTTGTCCACTTTCTCGACGTTGGCTCCAGTCACGAGCCCAGCCATCACTTGGACTTTTCGTGGGACATGTTGGGACTGAGGACGACGAATCCGAGCCCCCCCTTCCTCTGCCTGTTCAACGTCCTCAATGCTGACAACGGCAAGAGTGCTGCTGCTCAATGTGATGAGAAGACAGATCTGAGCCCCAAGTTCTCAACGACGACCAACCTCGTGTTTCAAGACTTGGCTCACACCCCCGTCGAACTCACCTCGTCCTTACTCCTGCCCCTCATGGAGAAACGGAAAACGGACACCCAGTTCAAACTGGCCGTGTTACACCATTTCCTTGTGCACGTGGGAGACATCAACGTTGCCAAAAGGGTATGCACTCCTCGAATCCCCATTTATACCCGCTTTCATGCTTTGAATACTTTTGAGGTTATTCCGTGTAAAAAATTGAGGATAATTGAGGTAATATGCGTGCAGATTATTTATGACGAGGGCAAGATGTTGGGGAATCTCGGTCTGAAGCAGATTTATCAAGAATTTCTGATTGGTCATGCTCATCTCCAGGCAAAGAAGCAAATTTTGCCCAACATGGACTCATTTCTTTACTTGATCCCATACTCCGCCGACCCGGAATCAAACAGCTCAATTGTAAGCTCTATATAGCTAAATTCAAAACGCTGCTTCCGATATTATCCAACCATTTAGTCAGCAAACGCGCCACACGTCATGTACCCCATCCTACAATGGTAAAATATCATTGTGGGGCACGTGACTTGTGGCGAGTTCGCGGACCAAGCGGTTGGAGAGTATTATGTACGAGTTATGCATATCTATCTAGACGACACCATCCTTGAGGATTACGACGCAAGGGTCGAAAGATGTGTCGATCATGCTGCTGTCCCCGAGCCAGAGGGTGTTCCCTCATAATGTGACCGACTGCTGGACTTGTTTGTGGCAACTGAACCGCAACTACTCGCGGAGCAAGAGGTTCAACCACAAGGACATTTCAGAAAAGTTGATCTTGTCGCTCCAGTGTTACAAGCCGGAAGCATTGTCCAGAGCCAGCACTCCTGGTCCAATGTCTCCCTCCTCCCCAATGATCTGCACTTCTCTTGGCGACATTGTCGGAATGTTTGGACGACGGGCGACTGAACTCCAACTGCCTTTTGTCGAGCAAGAATCCTGCACTGCGAACAAGCAAGAGTACATTTTCTCCATTGTAAGAACACCAACTCCTCGCTTACAAACCCTACTTTACAACTTTGAACTCTTTCACAGAATCTGCGTGAAATAAGCATGCATCTCTTAAAGGAGAGGAAAGAGTGGCCTCTCCATGGCCACACGGTCGCAGGAAAGTATGTGTGCGCTTTGGGCGACACGGCGCGACTGCTTTGTCACCTCCTCTGCCTCACGGCCCACTTGCAACCCACCAAGAACAGGGACAAAGGTTTCAAGCTCATGTATGCACACACCGTTCCCTTCTTTGTGATGATGACTTGGAAATTTTTGTGACTCTTGGAAACTACAGAGACGCGTTGGAATGGGATGTGCGGCTCAAACTCTTCATGTTGATGGAACACTACACGTTGGCATTGAGTACGCTGGCCTGTCCCCTCCCGCAAGGCTTCACCCCCTTCTTCGCATATTTGGGATACCGAGTCTTCAAGTTTGACCAGTTCTTGTGGCATGTCAGAGCCGGCACGTTCGATCTCCAGATCGACCTCGTCAAAACCATCATGACAGGTTCATTTAAACCATTGAAGCTTATTTGCATGTACGCGTATTTGCATACCTACACGGGGTGCATAATGCTTGGCGCGATTGCATCTCTAGACATTAAGGAGGACAAGGAGGAGAACGTGACACGGAAGCTGCAACTCCTTTCACTCCTGCCAAAGACCAGAGCAAGCCGCATACTGAATGCTTGGCCCCACAAAATGTCCGTCTCTCTCAGAGCTCGTCAACATGCCAGCGATCTGCTGAGCGGATCTGTTTCACAAAACAGGAAACGGATGATGACCTTGGCTGGAGATAAAAAGAAGAAAGGTATGGCCACAAATCTATAAGGCGTTTGTCAGTTCTGCCGCAGTTGTGAAAATGTTCTTGTTCAGGTGACGTGTCAGTGACGAAAGAAAAGCTGAATCCATTGGACACATTTTTTCAGCTACTAACTGCCAAAGGTAACACATTTTTTGTATCCTTTTGTGGCATTGGCACTTACCTTTCTGTTTACCACACAGCAAACTCGTCGGAAATTGACCTGGGCCTGTTGACCGAAGCAACGCTGGTGTCAATGGAAGGGAGCGATCACCATCAGAGCGTCAGTGCGGAGTAGCCCTCCAACCCTCTCAAGCCAATCATCGTCGTCGTCTTAACTAATTAATTATTATTACTCATCAAATATATGCAAATTAGTTACTGCTACGAATAATGTACTACCCACCAGAAAACAATATATACTCCTTGAACTCATGTAGTCATTTTAATGCTGCGACAGTCAAACGTGATCAATTATAACTTTTGTTACAAAAATATTATCTTGTTGCTGAGATTTTTAAAGTCCGTCTTCTCGCGTCGTGGTGAAATATGTATGAAACTAGAGCAGGCTATAATTTATCTACGATATCTTTGGCTACCAGCATGAAATCCTCCCTGATTAACTGGAATGTGGAGTAGCAGGTACAGCTCACAGAGTCCCCGTGGTCATTATCACATTCTGTTGCAGACATCGCCTCATTCCGACTCTTCTGCACTTTCCCCAACTTGTCGACTAGAATATTTTTTATTTGCATGCGTTGACTCGGAGATATGCACTCGGCCAAGTCGAACCCCTGGTTTTCATGCGAGATCAACAAGTTCCAGATGACTTGGCAAGTTATTAGGGAGACCATCATGTCCTCAATTCTGTCCAACACGCGCGTCACTCTGAAATGAAATGAGAGAATTACCGAGACGTGAGATAATGGAAGCAGCGGTCTTTTTCGTGCCACCCATTTACCGGTCAAGTCCCCCGTGCAGGAGGAACTGGGCCTTCACTCGCTCCTCAATCACGACGTTGATGAGAACTCCGCAGGTTGCACAGAGGAGTTCCACCGAGGCTTGGGCCTCATCCAAACTCAGTAAAATATTCTCCATGTCTGGAACAATGAGTTGTAGCCATGCATTATCGCACTATTCACCAGTGCCCATAAAACTAAACTACGTATTATATATAAATATGTATTAAATACATTCGGCGGCCATCAGCCGGACATCAGCATTGCGGGTCAAGTTTCCCAAGACTTTCACCGTTTCCTCCCTCACCTCCAACCCCTGAGACCCCAAATTCTGAAACAGGTCTGCAAATAAAATTCCTTTTGTAAATCCTCACACACGGTGGCAAAAAAACGAGTAGTTAATTTAAGCGCTTCACTGTACATTCGGCTGTTTTCATCGTGCCGCTGTCCAGCTCGGTGTAGTTGATGTAAAAGCTGGTGTTGTTGAGGGCGCACATCACACAAAGTACCAGTTCCTGAGAGGACCTCCCGTTTTGCAGAGTATCAAACAACGCGTTGGACAGGGACGGGTCGTCGCAGATTTCAGAACCCACGAACGGATTCAGAATCCAGTTGGCCATGACACGCGTTGTCTGTGAGTACAGGAAATACTTAATGAGCAGAAGGGGCAACCTCCAAGGGTACGAAATAAATGGGTCAACAGCGTGCAATCGGCTGAAATCTCAGCTGAAGCATGGCTCACCTTGATCAAAATGTCGACGGAGGGTGGACTGTTTGGTGATTTGTCGAGATAGTGCAACATCACTTTTAAAATGGAAGGGAACGAGTCTGGCTCCTCGAAAAGCTGGACAAAGGAGAGGAGAGAAAAATTACTATTGACTCGCGAAACAAAGTTATTTGCCAACGTGGTCTTTGTTGGTAATGTTGGGCAGTATTTATTCCCTTTGTCGAGTCAGCTCGGAAGAAGGGAAGGAAAGATTGATTACAAAAACGGTGCGAGGCCGGAACATCGCCAACTTTGCTCCATTGTCCTCCAGGATTGTGTAAGTAAGGAGTGATGTTATTAGCTAAATTGTGTACTCACGTTCACTCGCATGTCGTCCGCATTGGCCAAGAGATTCCCAAGACAGTACATCGTCCTCACCATGACATCGTCCTTGTCGTACCACTGTTTGAACAGGCGAACCACGGTGGGGCAGAATCCCTCATTGTTGTACATTACTTGACAGCACACCCCATCCATGGACACCACGCTGTCCCCCCACCATGTAAAACAAAACAAATGCTGTAAAAAAGGGTGTGAAAAGGATATGAAAACTGGCAGGCTGAAAGGAACGGCTAACGTCCAAGCAGCCAGTCATGGGTGTGAGGCTTAAGCCAGACACGCGGATAATAATGGGCACAATCAATTCAATCCGCACGACGGTACCCGCTGTTCCGACGAGCTTCCTCGCTTTGCTATTACTCAAAATGCTACGAAAACAATCAGTCTGGACCCACACTGGCAACGTAATCAAAGGAAAGAGGCGTCAAAACGTTAGTTCGCAGTTTAGCAGACTGATGGAGAAATTGCTTATTGGGCTGCTGTTATTATGATGATGACAACTGAATTGTGCAAGGATAATCAGGGTTGCGCAATAGTAAATTTGTCTCCCAAGGGGTGACCTTTGTCATTACGCTGCACCACTACAGGTAAAGCAGTAAGTAAAATAGTCGTGATATGCACAAACTCACCTCAGAATCCTGACGATGTTTGTGAGGACATCGATGTCCCCCAAGGCCCATGGCAGCGTGGTGCAGAGCTCATCCATAAGTCCGCTCTGCACCACCGCGATGAGGGCTCGACTCTCCCCAACGACACTAGTGAGAAACAATCAGGAGTGAAACACGAGCAGACTTTGGACGACCTTTCTTATTCGAGTAAAATAATAATTATTGGAAATACTTTCGAAGGATGGACGTCAATTGGAATGTTCCGTTGAAAATCCCTTCGGGCACTCGACCTCCCTCCTGACACAGCTCGATCTACGTATATACACAGAGCAAATAAAACTAATGACGGCGATAGGGAGAGAGAGAGCAGTAATGGAGCACATTTTCTAAATTAGCATGAGAAAGTTGGCCAAGTCAACAAGAAACAGGCTGAGACCGAAAGGAAAGGGGAGAGCGGAACAGCAATTAACTTGGATCAGGAGAACGCAGAGAGGATTATTGGAAATCATTGGGAACATGGTGAAAAAGTCCTTGAAGAGAAATTGATAAGAAAAGCAGAAAGAAATTATGCTTACCTCACAATTCAGAATTTTGAGATGCAATGCCATAATCGGAATTAGGTCCAGGTCAATTACTCGATTTAGCACCGAGTTGTCGCCACAAAGAAATTTTAGAGTTCCGTATCCTGAATGAGAAAAGGCATGAAGTTGTGTAATAAATTAGCATAGACAAAAATTTCTGAAAAAAAATTCAATACCGTATATCATAGACTCAGTCTGGGTTTTTGGACAAATTTGGCTAAACGACTTCATTAAAACGTCTGAAATTGATTGGATTTGATAAATATTTATTAGAAATACGAGTGAGGATCAGGCTGTGTCACCTATATATGAGAGAACTTTGACTTGAGCAAAAGGCCGGATCATGTAAAAAGAACCACGTACGGTTGCCTCGAGAAGTTACAATCGTTGCTTACCACTGTTACAGAGGCGACCGTACGTCGTTTCTTTTTAGATGATCCGGCCCTTTCCTCAAGTCAAAGTTATCTCATATATAGGTGACACAGCCTGATGAGGATGAAATGATGTATCGAAATGGTACCTAAATATTCCGTGTCCAGAATCACGTCTTTGTAGCCCTTGGATTTACTCGACTTGAAGACCATTTTGAACAAGGTGGTGAGATTGTTCCCAATGATGTTGCACTGCAAGAGGGACGCCCATCAATCAAGACAAGGTTTTACCTTGGGGCGAGTCACATGGGAATTAAGGAAGGAGAGTGGCTTACATGGAGCAGAACGAACGAAGACCAGAACAAAATGTTGTCATCGTTGGGATTTCTCTCTACCAATTTGAAGATGAGTTCCAACAACTGTTTCCTCAGTTTGGAAGTGAGGCCATCCTGGAAGCTGGAACCGGTTGACAGCGCCTGGCGAATTTTCTTCAGGATGGAAATGACCTCTGCTTTCGGAGGTTTATCTACGTTCCAGATAAGATAATTATGCCAATAAACACATAAAATCTATTCTTGGCCGGCTGGAAGCTAATTTATTCAGCAGGTTTACCTGATGTCACATACTCCTTGACAAAGGAGCTGAGGTAGTTGACGGCTAGTTCTAAATTATGGATGTGTTGACTCTGCTGCTGCTCCTCCTCCGGGTCGACAGGTCTCCCAGGCATGTCCACTCTCTTGTTGTGACCATTCTCAAGTCCAGGTCGGGACGACACAAATCTGCTGTCCCCTCCTCCTCCCTTGGCACCAGCTTCTCCGACCACATCACCCCGGCCCGAGTGTCGAGCCTTCTTGTTGGAAAAATGAGAAGTGGCATCAGCCTCGCAGTCCTCACAATCTTTGATCGTTTCACCTGGAGACACGACACGACAATAATTTATATTTACACAATTTACTCCCACCACTGATCCCCACCAGTGACGGACCATGCCCATCTTCAAGCAACTCATCCCGTGAGATATGAATTTGAACAAGTTCATCCGATAGCATGTCACAGACAGACGGACGGACACGACATGTCCTGGCTCGGGCTAAGAACAAGTGATACAGCGGCATTTGGAGAGATAAGAAAATTACGTATGGAGATGGTTACCTAAGGGAGATATGTAACTGGTCAATACTCACCAGCCTGGCAATTAATAAAACTCATAAAAGTAAAGTGGTTTTCCACATCGCCGTCCTCATTACTCGTCCTTCTCATATACGTACTTCCATACAAGGATGGAGCATCGATGGAGTGACAAAAGTAGTATACGCAGCCGGACGATGCTTATTGGTATTATTGCTACTTGTGATTCCCAAATGGGGAGGAAGGACTGGTGGGTGTCACTCAGACATGAAAAGCTTATTGATTTGCAATGACTCTCAAAGTGCAAGCCTTGTTTGGCGTACGTACATAGAACTGCATTTTCCCCATCTTTAGACGTGGCCATAAAAGTGCTCGAGCATGGAGGCAGGAGAAACTGAAAGTGCAGTGAAGGAGTGGAGTGGAGTCTACGTACGTATAAATACATGCACCGAGTAATTTGGCCCATCCGATTAGTGCAAAAATGTGAACTCTGTCTCGGAGAAAGTGTCACGCATCGCAATATTTTATTGAACTCTTCTCTTTTTGCTAAATTGAAGGGCTATTGCTTTTATTGCCGACGTGGCTTCCAACCATCGTCCCACCACACACAATCATCCGGTACGGACGGACGATTATTCTGCTATTGACTAAACTATTGACGATTTCCGAGTATTGGAGGATTTTTGGATAAATCGGACAAGAGAAATACGCTTCAGCCGCTTCGTTGCTCGGAAGCAGACCCAAAAATAATGAATAATTAGATGAATGGAATCGACCAAATAGTGTTTAACTATTTAGGCAAGGAAGGCCACATATATGTACAAAAGCGAACGAGGTCTCAACTTTCTCTGCCTGGCTGCCTGCCTGTATCCATGTCAAGTTTCGCGAGTTTGCTCTCTTTCTGCCACCAAATCTGCCAATTACTTATTATTTCCCGTAGGTATGTTCTCCTATCGAGTTGGCTGGTTGGTTGGGTCATGAGCTATATATCCAGATTAAAAACATTGCCCTCATCCAGTCTGGTTCAAGTGCCGGGGGATTGGAACTTAGTACCTGGGAAACGTCACCCAAAAGTTCCGATCCCCTGGACATTTTAGTTATGCAAGTTACAGGGAAACGGAACCCACTTGTCGCAGGATTTAGCGGGCTTCGATTCCCCGGTACCCTCTTACGCAAAAGTTACGATTCCCCGGAACCCAACATTTTTCTTTAATTTTCCATAAATTGGATATATTTCCAAGAAAAAATTTTATTGTCTCAAATTAACCTCCCACCAATGAAGAACATTCGATAAAAAAATTAGAATTTTTTATAGTGGCGTTTTTCCTAAAATCGCAAATATTTGACAAATTTTAGGAGCGGCAAGTCCAAAAAGGTACGGGGAATCGTCACCCAGCAATTATTTTCAAGGAAAAATACAATTATTTTACAGTTATTGTTACAATTATTACGCTATAATTGTGTTACAATTATTTTTTTCTCAAAATAATTGTATTTTTCCTTGAAAATAATTGCTGGGTGACGATTCCCCGTACCTTTTTGGACTTGCCGCTCCTAAAATTTGTCAAATATTTGCGATTTTAGGAAAAACGCCACTATAAAAAATTCTAATTTTTTTATCGAATGTTCTTCATTGGTGGGAGGTTAATTTGAGACAATAAAATTTTTTCTTGGAAATATATCCAATTTATGGAAAATTAAAGAAAAATGTTGGGTTCCGGGGAATCGTAACTTTTGCGTAAGAGGGTACCGGGGAATCGAAGCCCGCTAAATCCTGCGACAAGTGGGTTCCGTTTCCCTGTAACTTGCATAACTAAAATGTCCAGGGGATCGGAACTTTTGGGTGACGTTTCCCAGGTACTAAGTTCCAATCCCCCGGCACTTGAACCAGACTGTCATCACGAATTCAAAACTATGGCGTCTAAGAAGATAAAATCAATAATACGGTGTATTTGTTTTTAGAAACCCACCACCACCACCACCACCACCAACATGTTATGAAAATTGAATCCGAATATTTAATGGAGGCCCAGTGAGCACAATGTGTGTACAAGCTCCGTGCATGACCTTGGTCGTTGCAAAATCCAGAGCACAATCACATTACTACGTTTCCCCTCAGCAAATGCATGACGAGGCGATAGAACAATAGAGAACATGAAATTAGGTCCTCACCATTTTGCAGTGAAAGTGACTTCATTTGGAGTCTCGTTTTTTCCACGTTTCCGACGCCCACAGACGATCTCCCATTGTTCAACCCGTCCCCACACACGAGGTCGTCAACCTCACCCTCCGCGATCCCAGCCAGAGACCCACTCAAGCTCCCCAAACTACTTTTTGGCTCTGGACCTCGGTCGATTCGTCCCCCAGAGGAAAATCTGCCCCCTCCTCCTCCCGAGGGACTGATGCTGCCAAAAGTATTGCTCAAAGTCGAACTAGTCGAGCTGCCACTGCTTGATGCGGACCAAGTGGTGGTCGATTCTTCGCTGTCTTCAATCGGAACAGAGAGTCGAGACAACCTGTGTGCGTATGAGTTTGTTTGTTAAAATTACTTGACCAACCGACCATTATGTAAGTCGAACCCCGTAATTTAACCAATTTCTCTCCGATAGCAATTTGTTGATAACAAAGGAGGAAAGTGAAACCCAACAAAAAAGTGTGGGTCCATGTAATGACCCGTTGTTTGGAGTAATGCGGTACTTACGTGATGGCACTGGGCGGGCGTTTCCGTGCCGAAACTCCCCACAAACTAGCACTGTTATCTCGTGGCGTGAAAGGTCGCTGAGTATTTACAGGTCTCACACCGACCTGACCTCCATAGCCGGCGGCCGGTCTCATGTGGACATCACTGTCGTCTCCGTCGTAGCCGTTGACGTCCTTGGCGAGGAGCGGGGACACGTCACCCACACCAACGTCGCGTGGGGCAGGCATCCTTCTCGAGTACTTGAGTTGAAGTCGCGTCTCCTGAATTATTTGAGAGCAGGGTTTGACATGGGAGGGGAGCTCGTAGAAGGGTCTGCTCCTCCCCGACCCACTCCCCTTCTTCTCCATCCAGATACTTAATTGGCAGGCAGACGACCACAACAAGTCCACTCGTATTCGCTGCAAGGCTGATTAAGATTCGTAGCAGCAGAAAACGTATGCACCTCCACCATTCGTCGCAGCGGAGCGTGTGTGGCGACGGAGAAAGGCTGCAACGGACTGACACGGTGGGCAGAAGAGAAGTCGCTTATAATGAGTAAATATGGATAAATTGTCCAAAGTTGACCGTGGTCTTCCTTCCTTCTGGAGAGGGCAGAAGAAGGAGCAAGAAAAGTCTGTCTTCGTGACGTTTCAAACTCTGTATTTACCCCGAATATATGTAGGCGCCTGTGTGCAGCTTGGCAACGTGTGGCCCAACAGATTTCATTGATTTGCCAGCATTCTGAACCATGCTGGGCCTGTCGCCCTTGCAGCATTACCGTCTTTCTTGCCTCCTTTATCCTCATTCCTCGCCCTCGTCTTGGAGGAGTCAGTCAGACTGTGGAGACTCGTACAAAATGGCTCATCAGGGCAACTGGAAAATGCAAGGAATGATTAGCGTAAATGGTTGGACAAAGGGTACAAGAAGCGTTTTTGTGCTCCAATCGTCTCCTGTCACGAATCATAAAATGACACGAATCCCGTTTCCAGCACCTGCACCCGCTTGATAACGCGAATGGAGGGAGGGAGAAAAATAAAAGAAGGCAAACTTCGAGCACATATTTACTTCAAAGGGAAGTGTGTAAACAATGGGAAGCAAAACTTTGTCCCATGCAAACCTAGGACGACGTCGAGTACGTAAGTAGCTCAATAAAGGGAGTTGTGAGGTGATTCCTCTTTCTTCGTCGTTCACAAGTTTCGCCCACGTCCTTTGTCAGCCCGGAGGAAGCCCGAGAAAAGAGTTACAATTACAACGGCATTTTTCTCCTTTTTTCTATCCACCATGTTACTTGCTTATTATTGGCTGATTGGGCATTGTGTGCCAATGATATTGATCAGTGGAGTGAAGTTGTGGTTATGCATGTGTTTACCAGACCCCAAGAATATGATGAAAATGATGTCTGACTAGCACAGCAGGAAACGTTACACGAGGTGAAAATACCGCATGAAGTAAGGAACCTGTCTTAATCCATGGAGTGAAATTTTACATATTTTTGACATTTAATGGAATGCGGAAAATGCGGAGGGTGAAGTTTCCTTACTTTCGACAACATGTAATTTCCATTTGAGAAGACATACATCATCTGCCAAAATAATTACTCCAATTTAGCGATGGGAAGGACGAGTTATGTACTGGAAGCTCAATCCGTTTTAAATAACTTCAGTTTACTTATCCTTGAGCCCAATACCGTAAACGGAGTTAGAACTCTCTACTTGCGCTTACAAAGTTTGAGAGATTGGTGTGAACTGTGATGTTTTCACAGAGTATAATTTGTAGTAAATAATAATTTGGGCCTAATTTTGTAGACCATGAGACCCCATTGGTCATTTCTCCATTGCACGTCTCAGTCTCTTGTCAAAATAAATGTCTAAGAAAATTACATACAGGTTTAGACGATAGCTTTGCGTTTTTGCTTGATTTTATTTGCTTTTGTTTGCTATTACTACGAGTAGTATCCACCAAAGTCACTGATCCTCTGTCAAAGATCTGTGAAAATGATGTTCGTCCAATTTGAATTTTTTATTCAAGTAGAGACGATGAGCATCGTTTCTTGTGTATCCAGAGTCCAGGGACACTCCCTCGCAGTCGAGTTCCTTGGCGATTTCTGCAGCACGGTCCAGCAGTGCCCCGCCGTAACCTTTGCCCCGAGTGGAAGGGAGCGTGCAAAAGTCGTCAATGTACATGGTTTTTCCTGACCAAAGAAAGTTGAGGACACGAAAACCGAGAATGGCACACACGCCGAGAGCGTCTTGGCGGATGTAGAGGAGTCGGTAGCCTTCTTCTTTTTGCTGTTGCGTCACACGGTCCACGAATGTGGATTCCACGACGTGCGGACGTAGAACTTGGATCACTGGCCGACAGGTTGCAATTTCCTCGTGCGTTTTTGCTTCCATAATTTTCACGGATGACATTTTGGCTAATGATACAAATTGCAAAGAGTGATGCAAACACGTTTCAAAATATGATAGGTAAAATGTACAATGTTCACCTTTCAATTCAGTTGATGAAATGTGCATATCAAGAGAAAATGTGGCCCGCAGAAAAATATTTACCAGTTTGCGACTGGTGCTTCAGTGCATGTCTCACATCATTGGTTCAAGTTGTGTGGTGTCATTATCATTATTTGCAACATGCTGATAGTGCAATAAATCCAATCATATTTTTAATCAAAGTCTGAATCTGTCGGTTTTCAACTTGGTCAAACCCAGTAGGTGCGAATAGTTCTGACGTCGTGGGTTACGTATATATGGATGCAACAATAGCATTGTCAACATATTTTCCTGTCACGTTCATTTATTTGAAATCAAGCAATATTAGAAAAGTAGACAGGCATTACTTCAAGTTTCTGTGAAAATGGTGGCTGGCGAGTTGGAATTTTTTGTTCAGGTAGAGACGATGAGCATCGTTTCTTGTGTACCCAGAGTCCAGGGACACTCCCTCGCAGTCGAGTTCCTTGGCGATTTCTGCAGCACGGTCCAGCAGTGCCCCGCCGTAACCTTTGCCCCGAGTGGAAGGGAGCGTGCAAAAGTCGTCAATGTACATGGTTTTTCCTGACCAAAGAAAGTTGAGGACACGAAAACCGAGAATGGCACACACGCCGAGATCATCTTGGCGAATGTAGAGGAGTCGGTAGCCTTCCTCCTTTTGCTGCTGCGTCACACGGTCCACGAGCGTCGACTCCACGACGTGCGGCCGTAGAACTTGGATCACTGGCCAACATGCCGCGATTTCCTGTGGAGAAGTTGCCTCGTCAATCTTGACCGACATTTTCACTCCTCCCTCTCTCGATTGCCTGACATTTACATATCGTATCATATAAATAAACCCATCAATTGAAAGAGTTACAAAATGATGAATGCGATTCTCACCTGAGTCAAGGTTTATTGAGGTTTTTGAGATTTATTTGTGCCCTGGTGGAGTAAATATGCAGTATCTTTTGCAAACACAATTTTCGCAACCAGGAGAAGATTGGAGTCGTAACAGTGCTGCTGAGCAATGAAGAGTGCTATATATCTATAGATATGGTTGACCTTCACCCAAATGAATAGACTACACATTTACATACTGGAAAGCACTGCTGAACGTGCGATTAGTTTGACAGCGTTATCGTCATCAGGACGATTCTCGGTTTAATTGCGCCCATTTTGCACAATATGCCAGATTTAAGAAACACATTGCAAATATTTACTATGGTTTATTGATACCTGCATGCAGCAATGAAACTTCCATTATGTAAGTATATATCTATGCAAATGAGACTATGCATTGCATGGATTTGGAAGAAATTACACAACAGACACAGCACTCAGGTTGTTTGGGTTTTGAAATACTAATAATAACTTTTAAATAGGTACATATTTCCGGGTTTACATTACATAAATCAAAACACTAATAATCGGAATTGGTCGTTCACGATTGTAAACTTTGGAATTGCGTCGTACAAGTACAAGTACATACTAGTGCATACTACGGTATGATGAACTGAGGAGGTGTCTGTTCACAGTTCATTCATAATAATAGCAAATTGGGGATGCTCCTTTGAGTACCCAGCGTTGAAGGACCCCGTGGTCACACTGCGTGCGAGTGAAGACATAAAACATCCGTTGATTTGAAAAGTGTCCACACTGTCAATTTTCACGTATACTTAGGCGTTACTGGACTCCACAAGGCCTGACGATGACCCAAAGCCACAGGCTGCCCGTCTTCTCAACGTTACTTTTTGTCCTCATAGTGGGACAAGTTCGTCATGGGGACTGTTCCTGTTGCTCTGGCGTGTATGGAGGGACGTCAGAGAAGTGCAATGACTGGCCCACGCCCTTGTCCTTTGGCATTTGCTGTCACGGGAAGGTCTACGACTGCGACATTTTTTGCTGCAGCTGTAACACCCCCTGTCAGATTTCTTAGTCTATGCTATCAACCTCGATAGTTTTAAAGGTCGCAAGTGATTGGGTGGTTACAAATTGAATTGTTCCCTTAAGATCATCTTTATAAGTATTTAGTTTAGAGGATGATTATGGTGTAATGCAATCTATTTTTTGTGTGCGTGAGGAATATCAAGGCTGTCCGTTCATTTAAGCGGCGGTAGCAAAAAATGCGAATAAAACGATACATTATCCTCGTTGAGCAGGTTTAACAAAATATGTACAAGTCGTATGCAATGTAGGTAGGTATATTATGCAACTAATGCAACTCGTCCAATGCCAACGAGACCCATGATTCTCCGGCTATGTGTTCATGACTGTTTTATAATGGGTTGTTTGGAGTGGGGCATCAAATCCGATATCTAAATACGTACATAGGTGGTGAATACTGGTGAATGGTGAATGGGTTGAGACTCTTAACAAAACAAACATAGGCCAACAAATAGTTAAAACACTGGCTACTTTTCCTTCTTCTCCTTAAAACCACAGCTGGAATTTGGACCGTGAAACGTGCCAAATCTGCTGCACGACACACGACATACAGTAGTGAAGGAAGATCATATCATTTGTAATCAGCAAGTATCTTGCCAGCCTTACATCTGTGCTTAGTTGACACAAAAAATGTCACACATTTTTATAAGGCAACGAGGAATTTCTAAATTCGTGCGACAAATATTTCAAAGAAATGTTCAAACAACGAGTTTTTTCTCCAAAGACGACCGATTTTGCGTGGTTCCATCAGCGCACAATCTCGACCCCGTTGTGGGTGTCACCATTCCAGAATTCTTTTGGTCCAATTTGCACAAATGGGGAAATGCCACTGCTTTCGTATGCAACCTCACGAAACACATATTTACGACACCATTGTTTGATTGAGTATTTTTTACTTGATTTTTTTCTGAATCCAGGAGTGCGGGGTTTCTGGGAGGAAGTATACGCATGACCAAGTTTACAAGCAAAGTCGAAGTTTTGCAGCCGCACTGAAGCAACACGGTTTAAAAGAGAACGATGTCGTTGCGATTTTACTGCCAAATGTCCCTGAATATGCTGCAATTTTATTGGGAATACTCGAAGCTGGGGTCACAGCGTCCCCCTTCAATCCAACCTACACCGCTCGTAAGCAATTCAACGTGACGATTTTCCATGATGATAAATAATTACTATTTACTAAGATCAAGTACTCAAATGACAATGATTGATTAATGTTTCCATATTTAGATGAAATAGCCACACAGCTCAATAATTGCGAGGCCAAGGCAATCGTTACGCTGCCAATGTTTCTTCCACAAGTGCAGGAGGCAAAAGCACAGTGTCCCTTGCTCAAGTCGGTCGTCGTCGTGGGCGAGGCGCAACCGGGATGTCACTCCTACTTCGAAATGGCCAAGGTCAACTCGGATGGGGTGGAGTTCTTAAAGGGGAGTAAAATCGACACTGTGAATCATACAGCAATCTTGCCTTGGTCGTCTGGCACTACGGGTACGTAGGATAAGTATGAATAGATACATATGTGTTACATATGTAAGTACGTGTGCAAATGTGTAATTACTTTTGTCGCATATCGCTCATAATATGATAATATGTTCCCAATGGAAATTATTAGGGCCACCGAAGGGCGTGATGTTGACCCACTCCAATATCAACACGAACCTGTTGCAGGTCACTCAACCAGGCTACTTGGCCACCAAGCCCTTCACTGGGGGCAACGAGCAGGACAAATTTATTGGAATCCTTCCGTTCTTTCACATCTACGGATTTCTCCTCGTCATGGCCAAAACCTTGTACCATGGTGCACACACGATGACCTTGCCTAAGTTTGAACCAAAATCTTTCATAGACTCGGTCCGAAGTCACCAGGCATGTGCATTTCATAAGAACGAGTGGTCCTATACCCTGCAGAAAACAAATTAATAATTTTATATGTAAAACAGCCCAACTTTCTTCACCTGGTTCCACCGTTGATTTCATTCATGGCTAACTCTCCCGACGTGAAAACTGAAGACTTGAAGTCTATCGCTTGCATAATGGGAGGTGCAGCTCCGTAGGAAACTTTATTTACTAATGTTTACATATGCGCTAATTAGTTACGAGTCTGAATAGGGAATATTTTTAGAATTGGACCAGTCATTATCAACCGAGTTTTGGAAAAAGCAGGCAAACACTTTTTGTTCACCGAGGGCTACGGGATGACGGAGGTATTTTATCTCCTGACTAATTTATCTTATTTTAATCTCTACACTAATTTAATTATGAACAATTCTCAAAACTCCTATTTAGCTCAGTCCAGGTATTTAAAAGACGATTCGTTTGCATATTGAGATAATGGGAACGATAAACGCCTACATCTAAAGTATCCAGAATATCTATAAAGATGTGCTCATTTTTTTACCAGTGTCACATGTATCTCCGGTGGCCACTAACAATAAGAAAATCGGTACAGTAATACAAATCGTTTCAACCTACCGAATATAAAATTAAATTTACATAAAATTAAAATTAATGCAAAGATGAGTACCGTACAAGGAGGTGATAATGTCAACTTTGACGGGCTGAAACTACCAGAAGCGAGCATTACGTTTCTTAGCTTTTTTGCCATAAAATCAGTCATATCCTCATCTGTACGTGTGCAAAAAAGCTAAGAAACGTAATGCTCGCTTCTGGTAGTTTCAGCCCGTCAAAGTGGTGTGGGTTTTGAAAATTTTGCAAAATATTTGGGAAAAATTATAAAAAGACCAAGGAGACTGTCGTCATGCGACCCCGTGGTCAACAAAACTCTGCTGTTTTCTTGAAAGTTAGTTTTTAGCCCGAGTCTGGGCTTATGGAACCCTCATGTCCGTCTGTTCGCCCGTCCGGCCCATCTACACGATAGAACCAAAACGGCCTAACAGATTGACTTGGAATTTTCACCATATGCATATTGGGCAAAACTTTGCAAAGTTAGGAATGGAGTTCGAAGATAAGCGAAATCGGTCAAGTGGTTGACCGGTGGGGGTCATCGGAGTGGGTGGGAATTATGCACCAAAATTTTAAAATTGTCATAGAAAGCTGAAATTTGGTACAGAGATTGCTAATGGCTTCTAATGAAAGAATGTGAAGTGAAATTGGAAAATTTTACAACTGGAGGTACCCTAGGGGGTGACCCATACCGATTTTTCAAAGTCGTCATATCGAGGTGAAATTTTGCATTGAAGTTGCTTATGGCTCTTAAGGGAAGAGTATAAATTGAAATTAGAAAATTTTTCCTCCGGAGGGACCCTATGGGGTCACCCCCTCCGATTTTCAGAAATTAACTTGAATAGCTTAAATTAGGAATTAGTCCTTAGTGCTTTCTCATGAAATAAACGAAAATATTAACAAAAAGTAACCAGAGTGGCAGTAGGGGGTAACCCAAATCGATTTGTAAAAGTTGATATAATCAGTTGAAATTTAGAATGGAATCAAAAAATAACTTATGATTAGCATGTAGGAGGCTTGAATTTCGAAATTTTTACAGGAGCGACCTCCACTGGTCATGGGAAGTAGTCATGAGGAAGGGATAGCAATATTTTAATTAAAAATATTATTTTTAGAACTTGATCCAATACGAGGAATTGATACTAATGTTCATTCAAAATTAATATGCAGTAAAAAATCTGAAAGGTTATCTGGCGAAATATTCTTTTTCCATGACTTGAGTTTGTTTAAAAATACATTATTTTCCAACTTTCACAGTAATTTTACTGCATATTAATTTTGAACCAACAGTAGTTAATTCAAGATTCATTACGAAATAGTAGCACATAATTTTACAGAAAACTATTGACAAACATGGGTTTATGTACTAACCAATCCTGGTTCGGGCTAAGCCAAGCTGTACTGATAGGTTTTTTTTAAAATTATTCAATCGAGATGAAACTTCGTACATAGTTTACTAATGATCCCAAATGGAAGAAGATGAAGTAAAATTGAGTAAAATTTTCACATCCGGGTAACCCATACCGATTTTCATAACTTGTCTCAAAAAGCTGAAATTCGGAACGGTGATACTTAATGGCTTCTCATGAAATTATATGAAGTCAATGATGAACAAAAAATAACCAGATGGGCAATAAGGAAGGGGTGCCGATACCGATTTCTAGATTTCTAAGAATTAATATATTGAGCTAAAATTTAGTGTGGAGTTGAAAAATAACTTAGGGTTGAATTTCGAAATTTTATAGGACAGCCTCCACTGTTTTTGGTATTTGGTGCCAATTAATACTACCAACTGACGTTAGTTAATGCAAGAATTAGTGAAAAATAGTAAAACATTCTGACAAACATGGGTTTACTAATCCATCCTGGTTCGGGCTTAGCAAAGCTGTACTGCTAGGTTTTCAAAAAATAATTCATTTGTCGTCACGTTATTTCTCCCTTTTTGAAATTGGTAAAAAATGAATTTTTCATGCTCGATAAATGTGACAATTAGTGAGAATATTATGTCGGGTGTAGGCAATTTGCGCCGAGAAAACGATAAGATAGATATAACCAGCGTCGTTGAATTAAGAATAATACAAATATTTTGGTGGAAATCGTCAGGAAATCGTCGTTGGACAAAAATTTAGAACCGGACTCTGACCCTGTCTCGGGCTAAATGAAGTTCTTTGCATTTTTGTTGCCAACGGCGTTGTTATTTTTAATTGTTTAAAAATAATTTTTCGCTCAGGCCGTAAAAACCCCCTTGAACGGTTCTCTCCTTTAAAAAAATAAATTGCGAACGTATTTTAAGCAAAATTAAGTTTTGTTTATATTTAGGATCGTGCGGAGTTCCAGTTCCAGGTTCACTCTGTAAAGTAGTAGACGTCGAAACGGGGGAAGCGCTGGGACCCAATCAACCTGGAGAATTGTGCATAAAAGTGAGTAGCTTTCCAGATTAAATGATGTTTAAATGTTTAATATTCTATAAGGCTGATTTTATTGTAGGGTCCACAGGTAATACCGCTTACACCGACACTTGATTCGTGCAATTTTCTAACCATGGTCGACTGCCAAATTAAAAATCACCTTGAAACCACAATGACTCTAAATAATATGCATTATCCTACGCAATTCAGCTGATGAAGGGATACTACAAGAATGAAAAGGCGACCAATGAAACGATTGATGCCAAGGGTTGGCTCCACACGGGTGACATCGGCTTGTACGACGAGGACAAGTACTTTTTCATCGTGGACCGACTGAAGGAGCTGATCAAAGTTCGAGGCTTCCAAGTGGCCCCCAGTGAGTTGGAAGACCTCTTAAGAAAGCATCCCGAGGTGACGGACGTGGCTGTGATAGGTGCACAAATTAGCCCATATCTTCCCAGCTAAAAAATGCATTTGTCAGCAACTCTGATTATATTTGTCAGGCGTCCCGGATGAGCGTGCAGGCGAACTTCCTCGAGCCTACATTGTTAGTAAAAGTTCAAAACCGTCCGAGGAGTCCATCCACAAGTACTTGGAGACGAAGGTTTCGCCGAATAAGAAGCTGAAGGGTGGCGTCGAGTTTGTCCAAGCCATTCCCAAAGCGGCCAGTGGCAAGATCTTGAGGAGGGAGCTCAAGAAAGACTACTTATCCAAACATGCCAAGTGATATCTACAAGAGAAACTTTAACACAAATTTGGCTATTCTTTCATAATTCTCTGACTTTTATTTCCCATAACTTTTATTGTTTTTATGATCATTCCTGGACATTTCTTTTACTTGTTTTTATTTTGTATGAATTTTACAGCCGCGTACTTATTCATCAGAATGTGGGTTTATAAAATGGTGTAAAAATTTTATACCCATATTTATTACTCGCCACTATTTTCCTTTAACTAATAAAGAAAAGTCAATTAAATTTTACGTCGTATTTGCTTATGGCATCTTCCATGTGCATCACACGACCATGAGTCAAAGTCCATGTTATTATCCATCCTCCTGACTGATAATGAACCCGAGCACATGGAAATTTACCCGGATTCGGGAACACAATCGATCCGCCGAAAAGCTGACGTTGATATTTTTAACTTGAGAACGTAGTAGTAATAATAAGGTGAAGGACGATTTCGGACGGGGGATGATCAGCACATATTCAAGATAGAAGCAGAACAAAACTACATGGTAGAAATGGTAGAAATTGAGAATCCAAGTAATTGTCAATGTGATACCCAAAACCAAACATTACATGCACACATTTTCTAAGAACTGAGTACGATAAAATTCTCCGACGTCGTAATAAGTATAAAAACCAACTTGGACTCTAGCTACAAATACATACATAGCTCAGGCAGCGGATTGAATGGCAGTATTATTATTTTAAGTTAGTAGTGTTTCGTTAAGTCAAATTTACTTTAACATGTGTGTCTATAGCATAGACATAAACCAGTGAACACATTCGTAATATGACGTCGCCACCACCACAATCATCAAGACGAGCAGCATAACCCCCGGTTTATCGCAGTATCGTATTTAATAGTCTCCTTATTAACGTTAATGCTCGTTGTATTGCAATCTGCAGTTAAATACCTGCGTTTGCTACATACTGACTTTGTGGTTGAAGAGCGAGAAGGATCAAGAAACCTGAGAAAACAAGTTGTTGGTTGAAAAGAGACAAGTGCAATAATCTAAAGTTGGTCCGTTCGTGTGGTTGAGCTGGTTGCTTCTCATCTTCGTCGTCTTCGGATTAAAAACTTTGAACAACGGGATTTTTTAAGGAAGATCAAACTTGAAGAATCACGGCACCCACTTCGCACACCTCTCCTCCCCGTACCTACTATTACAATGGGTATGAATTCGCAATGAACAATTCGCTACCTGGGCGCAGTGTGGTCTCATCAGTCAAATTCATGCCCAGCAAGGAATAAGGACTCAACTTTCTGGTCGCTACTTTGCATATAATCTCCTCGCCTGTTTATTATCGACCCGAGATAGATCGAGCAATTCAGTGTTGAAAAATATCGTTTGGAACATGTTTGGAACATAGTCTGTTATCTTAGAAATATTGTGTTTGTGATTAGCTGGAGCAGAAATTGTGCCACAAAAGGAGCCGTTGCGATGGAGGATATGGCAGTGGCAGTAATTGCCAAATCCATGTTATCAGGAGGTAGGCAGTGATTCCAAGTACTACTTGCTAAATTATTTAAATACCTAAATATAATCTGCACATATGTAAATAGTAAATACACGCGTTCATGACTATAAAATTTCCTCTTAATGAAATTCAAAATAACAAATATTTCTGACTTATTTTCCTTTGGTATGAAACCATTTGCCACGGCCGAGAGAGGATAGTCTGAAATAATGAATCATACGTGAATATTAGCATGTGAGGAGTTGATGATTAAACTGTTAGGCATTGATGTGAATGGACTCTTGTCAGCTCCGGTTGGTAAATATGTGTGTCAAGCCAAAACGGCACAAGAGCACGTAAACAAAATAAATGCACACGGACGGAATGTGTCTATTACATGTATGCAGCACGAGTAATTCAACTTTAGTAATATTGTGCGTTGCATATATGTACATATGCCTTGGTTTTTTTGTGGTAACGCATGAATTGGGTACGCATCAAAGCCCCAAGTGAAAGTTTCAATTCCAAATGGAGCAATGTGCATCGCTGCAAATAAAGAGTGCACACTCTTTTGGAGGAGCGAGACAGCGAGTATTATTCCTAACTTTTTGGCAAGCTTATGTAGCACGTTTGATAATTTTATTAAAATGAAAAATGCATGATTTTTTTTGTGTGGAACAGGCGTTGCGGGAATGTGTGCAAAAACAGCGGTGGCCCCCTTGGATCGGATGAAGATTTTGCTGCAAGCCCATTCCAGGCATTACTCACACTTGGGAGTGTTCAGCGGATTAAAAGGCATTGTGGAGAAGGAGCGGTTCATTGCGCTCTACAAAGGTACGCCATTCTTCTGGGAAGATACCAAATAACGATGTCGAATGTGCACTCTCACAACTTTCTCACTTGTACATTTTTTGTACTATTCACAGGCAATGGGGCCCAAATGGTCAGGATATTCCCCTACGCCGCCTTGCAGTTCACATCCTTTGAAATGTACAAAAAAATGTTTGGAGAATCGCACATTGGGCGATTTTCTGCAGGGTCGGCTGCGGGCGTGACGGCTGTAGCTTTCACCTACCCGCTGGATACGATCCGAGCACGATTAGCATTCCAGGTAATGATTTAAACGGTAGTCGCATAGCACAAACTGAAGTATTTTCAACGTTCGTTAACTGAATATCTAGGTGCATGGGGAGCACTTGTACAACGGGATTTACCAGTGTGCGAGCCATATATTTCGAGAGGAGGGTGGGATCAGAGCCTTGTACCGAGGCTTCACTCCCACGATATTTGGCATGATTCCCTACGCTGGACTCTCCTTCTACTGCTTCGAGTCCTTCAAATACCTCTGCATGAAATACTTGCCTGGTGTGTACTTAAAGATGCCGAACAAGCGGACTTGGTGGCTGGAGTAGCAACTAACTAAACTTATCTTCCTGTTGCAGATTGGACCTGTAAAAGCTGTTCGGCGAATACTGGGGGCTTGGTGTTAATGGTTCCTTACAAATTGTTGTGCGGGGGAGTGGCCGGAGCGGTCGCCCAGACGTTTTCCTATCCTCTCGACGTCACAAGAAGACGAATGCAACTCGCCATGACGAGTGAGCACACCAAGAAGTTTGGGTAAGCAAAGTATATACACATTGCTCTACATATTCACTTGGATTACTTTCTCCAAGCAAGTATGAGACTAAAAGTGCTGGGTTTGGTGTACGGTGTATTGTTTTCAAAAATTGGTGCTGGGTTCTATTTGGTGATACTTTTGGTGAATGCAACAAAACAGGAGGTTCGTCTTCTCTTCATCTTTTCTCTCTCGAATTACTCATTGCATGAATAATCCATAAAAAGTAATTATAAATATGAAAGTGACTTGTCTGAACTTGCAGCATGGGGATGATTCCAACGCTGAAGATCATATATGAGGAGAACGGGGTCATGCGTGGATTGTACCGGGGAATGAGCATTAACTGTGAGTGGATAACCCCTTCTTATCATTTTGATTGATGGATGACGGGACCAGATGGACTATGACAAGTACGGCAATTATAATGTTTGTATTTTCAGATTTACGTGCAATTCCAATGGTCGCTGTCAGTTTTTCCACGTATGAGTTGGTGAAACAAATGTTGCAGCTGGACACTGGAATACCGATAAAGACTGGTTGAACCAGAGGCAAAATATTCCAAGGTATTGCACGGATGACATCATGAAAAAGTGGCACGTGATAGCCTACGTTTGTTATCTTTTGTCGGTGATTAACTTCACTCCCAGATCGTATGGGAGTCAAGATCAATAAAACTTAAGCTGATAATTTTGTAATTTACCGGAAACAGTTAATATTTATCTGAAAATGTTGCGCATTATCGTTGACCAATAAAAGTTGTTAATTTTTGTATCAATTTATCTGCCTGTCTGTCAATTTCATTATGCGAGTAGTAAAGAAGAGATATTTTGTACATGTACATCTCTGCGATGAGTTCTTGCATTTCACACTTTCATATCAATTAATTATCATCATTTTGCAAGTTTCGGGAAAAAATTAAAGCAATGCAAATTAAAGATTTATGTAGTCTCCTACTGCTCAAGTCTTCTCCCTCAGAATGTAACGCAGAAGGAAGTGCCTCCCGGCCAGATTAATGGCTGAATGCTTATGAGTAATCACAGGACAGTGGAAATAAGAAGTAATTATAATTTTTTTTGCGAACGGATGACAAAGATTTTACAGGATTTTACGATCGAGTAGTGCAAGTTGTGAGGAATTGGGTCGCTCGCAGTCACCGTGTTACAAGGTTTTGGGCTTGGACTTGTGAATACTTTTGAGGAGGAGGTGTCCAAAGAAGAAGAGGAGGGAGACGTGCGGGATGAGCGACCACTTGACGCTGTTCATCGTTCTCGCACAGTCTCTCCCTTTGACTACAAAAATTTGAATTAGGACAGAGTCACCCAAAATTCACCTCCCCTTCTGGGTTATTTATGTTGACAGAGAGACTCACTAATTTCTCGGGCCGTATAGACTTGAACCACTGCTCCAAGCATCATTTCCAGAACGTGGAGAATGGCAATGACGAGTCCAGCTCGGCGTGGCAGTTTAATGTGCATCCCCTACTCATCAGTCACAAATTGAACAGTACATTATGACAAACTTTTTTGTCACTTGTCCTTCATTTGACTAATGTGTTACCTTTAGAGCAAAGTAGGAGTACATGCAGAACAAAACAAAGAAGTTTGAGCCCCCGATGTGTCTGCATATCGGTTCGGAGTCTGGAAATATCATCTGCAAATGCATAATTCAAATATATATATATATATGTACATAAATTTATAAATAAATAACAAATGTATTTGTTATTGATTCCAAATTGCGCACATAAATAGAGGAGCACAAACTATGCGGAGAGAGACCTACCCAAGGAACGATGATTGCGATGGCGTGGTGATACCAGTAGATGAAGAGAAGTGGTTTCTTGGTTAGGACAATGAGAATGGTGTCACCCAAAAATAAATACTTTGAGAGGCAGAAGAAAAGTCCCCAAAATGCTGCAAGAGTAAAAAAAACATGTCAATTTAGGGAATCCTCCGTCCGTGTTCCTTGATGGAGTACCCGTAGGCAAATTGAGTTCTTCTCGAATGCAGAGAGATCTGTGAAATCCGTCGGGTTTGGCCAGAATGGGAACCAGCTCTTGCATCTGTCTCACGAAGCCAAAGAGGTTCAAAAGGGCCATCGTGACATTCCAGCAGACGAGGAAGCGTTTGAGCTTGAAGGGCGTCCTCCCTCTCATCCATCCCTCCATCCCAAACACCGTGGTCAAGTAGACGACGCACACAACGAAGGGGAATTGCCAGTAATCCACCATCACATTTTGCCACCACACGAGATCCGCCACTTCAAAGAAGAAGGGAAAATGCTTTGGAGGGTTTTCGTAAATCCAGTCCTTCGCCCGGTCATAAGTGGCGTTGTAGTTGTACAAGAAGGACGTCAGGTCACGAACCATGGTGCAGAAACACCTACGCAATTCAAGAGCACGTGACAATTGAAAGATTTTGATGGGTTTGACGAAATATTTCCAAACTGCTCACCAGGACAATGTTCAAATGTCTTTCGTTCTTGGATGTTGACCCCGAGAGAGGTGGGACATTCAGACAAAGCTGCTCTCCACAAATGTGTATGTATTTATCGAGCTGATTTATGGGTACGTTTTAACATGCCGTTAGCCAGAACACACCAGGACTTGGCATTTGTGAGGCTGATTGAGGGAAGAAGAGAGATTTCAAAATGCTGCTGATTTACCTGCGACTAATACCAGTTTTCCATCACCACCACCGTCGTCGTCTCTACCAACTATCACACTGAGTGGACGTGAGTCTGGTGTCGGCAGTTCATGGCAATCAATACTACGCACATGCATAAGACAGAGATTTCAAATTTCAAAAGTTGGGTGAGAGTGAAGCGAAAGGGAGATTCACTTCACATGCATAATCATCACTCGCGATGAGGTTTAGTTTAAGGGACAGAATCCTTCGATGCACCTCCACCAATTTCACTTGTGCCAAAAACAACGTCTTATTCATCTACTCAAGTATTGCTTAAGTGCGGAAGCAAAAAATGCACTTTCATGAAAAACGACTTGTTGTGCCCAAATGTCGAGATTGTGCTCGCTTGTGACGGTGATTTGGTTTGAAACGGACTGACTCAAACTTTGAAACAGCACGCAGATTAAATCTGCTTCTGCCGAGGAGCACATGAATAATAATTGTCTGCATGCATACTCGACACCTCTTCATTTTGCACTGCATTGTGCAGGTGTTCCTCCATTTAATGCTGTCTATCTTCACTCATGCTCATATGTAAGCCATGCATTCAAAATAGCCGACATTCAGAAACAAGGGTTTAATCTCACTACGTAAACTGGAATCCATTCACAAAATATTGAGGAACACCTGAAGCTGATTTGTACGAGTCCGACGAAAAGGAGAATGCATTACGGTGTGTGTGGTTACAATTTACAATGGCGCAGCCCAGTTCTTCTCATGAATCATGGATACCGATATACCATACCGATATTCAATTATTGCTTTAGTGGTGGTACTTGCCACTAAGCATTTAAAAGAGTGGACATTTAAATAATTTCAATTGAAAATCATCAATTGGCTATATGAGGAAGTATTTAATGAGTTAATCAAGATGAATATTCATCGCCACTTCTCCTCAGTGCTCGCAAATTGCATGCTTTGTATGTTATATAAATCCGTCAGCATGTGCATAACTTATTAGCCGCGCGCTATTACTTGTCCCCGTCTCATACACATTTTAACGGTGTACTCTACCGTGTTGTGGAGTGTAGAACGTGTATACTGACTGTGTTGTAGAAACCGTTAATTTGTGTATGAGACGGGGGCAAGTTAAAGCGCGCGGATAATAACTGTCGTCGGAGGCTCAATCATACTTCCGAAAGGTGTGGGCATGAAACTCTGAAATGTGACACCATGAAATACTCAATCTTTACTCGTGCATGTAGTTTTTATTCCATAATCAACAGCATTACTCACTTAAGTCAACCATTTATTAATGCAGCAGACTTTAGAAATTTGCAAAAGAGTATATTCCAGTGTTTGATATTGTTTCTTAAAATTTGCCAATATAGAAGTTACAAGTACTTATGTACCATGCTAGTGACTCTAGCACGCTGTGCTTTTAATTTAGCTTTACTTAAATTTCATTACGGGTTAGTTGAGTAAAGTTAGTTAGTTGAGCTTTACAGCGAAAACTCTGCAGTGCTTTCCAACAATTAGCTTCATAAATTTTTGTACAGGCTGCACCATCACCTTATTAGATGAATGGGCTACCTAGTCAAAGCAAAAGTACTACGAGTTCAACGCATTAGATGAACTAAATCTACGATGACATTATATACCGCAAATCTGGGTGACGTTATATGTAGAGGACTGATTAAGTTCATGGACATTGGAAAATTTAGAGTGAACTTTGAGTCATTAGTTACAACAATATGTATTCTACTCTTGCAGAGTGAACGACGACATCCCTTGTGAACAACTATGAGACATAATTTCAGTGTTATGCAGTTGGTAGGAGAGGAATTATGTGGAGGGGACTTATTCGTCTAATCCTAAGTGACCCACCGTAACGTTTACATGAAAATGAGCAATTTGAATCAATTGGGTCAAGGATAAGGGTTGAGACATACATATGCAACCTTATCTGGGTTACTACACACACTTCTGATGTCATAATGGTTCCTCAAAGAGTCGTCGTCGTAGTGGACTTGGATTGAGAAGTCGTCCCTGTTGTGTGTTGCGTACTTGCTGCACCCTGGAATCATCCCATCTCGATGAGGTGACCCTCCCTGCACTTCACCCCCTTGTTCACTTCGAGCGAGGAAAGTGGACATATTTTGTGGGGAATTTTCTGCGTTGGCTGGTGGACTAACCACTTTGTTCGCTATATGTACATATACTTATTATGTGCATACATACATATACAGCAACACTATGTACGTCCATACATGTTTATGCACGCAGAGAGCATGCAAAGTCGTGAAATTGATATGCATAGGGACAAGAATTTGCGACAGGAAATGTTGAGCAATGGGCAAGTAGGGTAACATGTATGCAGCAGCCATCAAGAAAGTACAAGTGCTCATTTAATGAGCCATATTTTGGCATCACAATAGTGCAGAGAGATCACAATAATGTGAGAGAGGTGACCAAGAGGGACACAAATTCTACACCAATTTACCAAGAGCATCCCATTCATGATTATGCAGAGTTGACCACAATGCAGCCAATTTGTGTGAACGATCCGTGGGTTTGTAAACAAGGGATGCAACATTCTGCCAACTTTTTTGGTGGTTGTGAAATATGTGATGCATTTGATCAGAAGGATTCAAAAACGCTAAAGACAATGATATGCTGTGATATGTGGCACCCACGTCGAGTCGGTGGCCACATTTTGCGTATGATACACAAACGTAATGGACTCGTACTTTAAGCGTACATACGCTGAGGGCAACGAGCAACACGTAATATTTATCTCGGCTGATATCCACTCTTTTCTCGCGAATATAGTAGGACCTGTTCTCCTCTATGACAACTTCATTTGGAAACAATGTGTGTATGTTTGTGTGTGTGTGAGAGCAAGAAATGGATTGCGGACCCAGACGTGAAGCGATGATATGAACATAACATGAATAAGCAGTTAAGCTCCTCAACTGTGGCGTTATCTGCTCATTGTTGAATCTGCGTGCAAGAAATCATGATTGAGAGTGCCCTGTTTCCCTTATTGCCATGCAACTTTTTGCCTAACTGGTCCTAGTTCATAGTTCAGTTTTTTCAACCCTCGCCACCACCATTATTCCACTTCCACAGTCAATTCGAAACTCTGTGCTGGCAATCCGCAGTTTTTTTTCCGTCTTGTTGAAAATCAAGTTTTGTGTCTCGTTGTTGGATGTTGGGGTGTGACAACCTGATCCCACTTGAGCTCACAACCACCAGGACCATCTCACCTGCCGTCATCATCATCCCCTCCCTACCACCACCACCACCAGCCCCAGGTTCAAGGTACAATCCCACACACTTTGTATTTCCAACACTTTTACCCAAACCAACGCTACTAACCCCAACTCAAAGTATACGCTCATCCTCACAAGACGACGACAGGGCCACTTCTTGTCAACGAGTGAATGGAAATCGCCAATTTTTTGAACCACCCTTCAAGTCAGTCGCCCATGGTTGTGTGCAACAAAGACAAATTGTGAGCAGGAGAATTTGGGCAAGAATGGAGACTTTGTGACGTCCACGCGTGGGTGAGAGTGCACAGTGGTGAACATACAAAAATCATCATATTCACTCATTTCGTTTTGTAAAACCACGCCACGCAAGAACAATACTTCAGAATGGAAAGGACAGAATAGTTACGTTGTGCGAGTCGTCCCTGCCAATTTCCTGCCCTCCCACTTGATTTCCTTTTCATATCTGTCGTCTAAACGGACCAATCTGCGGGAGCGTCCCATCTAGATTTCACCAATCGTAAGAACCAAGCTCTCGTCCTTGTCACGATTTATTTTTGTGCATTCGCTTCCCTTCCTGGTCACTTGGGATCCGGGGTATGTAGACGCTCCGAACGGAATCAAGCATTTTCCTCCGTTGATTTTAGAAGGATTTTTGCAATATTTCTCGAGATTGTGGGAATACTGGTTGGCAAGAATGCAGGAGTGTAGCACTGCCGGACCAAGAGTCATTGGTGACCTCAATTGTGGAAACTTGCTTGCATACTAACCAGATTATAGCCTTGAGTAGATTGGGTCAGTCTACTTTTTGATTTTCTGAAGCAGGACAGGCAGGACATTGCGTTGAGCGGATGACTCCCAGTATAAATGCCTCCCCAATACGTGCATCCACCTGAGAGCAGCAATAATAGGTACCAATTGGTGGCCCTCGTTGACTGGGTTTATGCAGATGTCTTCAGGACTGTCATCGGAGCCCCTGGTTTTTACTCCTCACTTTTTGGGATGCATTTTCATGACCACCTACGCACTCGAAATCATAAAATAATTTTACGTCTCATAACTCGGTCATGATTTTAACGCGAGTCAGAGCGATACTAAAAAATTGTGGCTAGATAAGAATGATATCATCAATGTCGTTGATAGACATCATGGAGTCACACTTGAACTCACACTTGGTGGCGCAACTGCACAATATTTTGGTGCAAAAAAGACAGTCTAAAAGAAAGGAGCACTTGCAGTGATGTTATTAGAAAAACCGATTGCACTTTAAAGTACATGAAATGTACATATTTACACGAACAACGGTGCCTAACAGTAGTTGAGGTAATAGAATCGAGAGCAGGTTCAGGAGGAGGCCTGGTTCATCCACTCTGCGTAATTGCTCCATTTGTCAATTAAAGCTCATTTGGCACAATAATGCCAACCAAACCAAGACATCTCTACATGTTTCGTGCAGTCTTCTTATAATTCTCCTGCAAAACCTGATTATGTATACTTGTTGGATTCGCAATAGTGCATCGATTTCGATATGAAAACGATGTCAAGGACTGATTCGTTGCACCATTTTGCAGATGACTGCAACCCTGATGAACCTATTTTCGGGCAACGGTTCATTCCTGATGAACCAAGAGTACGTGGAGTGGCCCTTCATGACGAACCCGACCTACCCGCCCTACTGGTTCGAGGAGTTCGACCCGGACAAGAGTCGGCGCTGGTTGTGGGACAACTGGACTCTGAGCGTCTACGCCACCGGCCTCTACTGGCTCATGATCTTCGTGGGGCAGTGGTGGATGAAGGACCGACAGCCCTTCAACCTTCGCAAGCCCCTCGCCCTCTGGAACTTCTTCCTCGCCGGATTCTCCATCTGCGGGTTCCTGCGCACGGGGCCCGACCTCTACGACGTCCTCACCGGAGAAAACGGCTTCCACAGATCCGTTTGTGTCAGGTGCGTGTCCTACACTCTGACTTTGGCCAAATAAGGCTGCTGCATAGTGGGCAGTGGTTTGTATGATTTCTTTGGTCCCCACAGAGACTCGCTCAATCCTCCCACCGCCTTTTGGGCTTATCTCTTCACTCTGTCCAAAATGCTCGAGTTGGGAGACACCGTTTTCATCGTTCTGAGGAAAACACCTCTCATATTTCTGCACTGGTAATAATCTTGTTTATGACCGTATTAAAAAATCCAGGATAATAAGATGACCAATAATTTGAACTGGCCGATGTGTAGGTACCACCATTCGACAGTTTTAGTCTTTTCGTGGCTATGCTATCCCCAAGCGGAGCCAATTTTCCGCTACGTAGGAGTGATGAACTATGCCGTCCACAGGTACTTGCACCATAATGAGCTTTTAAACATTCGTAAATAGAATTGAGTAATTGAATTCGCATTAAATCAACCTCCAATATTATTTTTGCAGTGTAATGTACTCCTACTACGGCTTCAAAGCTCTCCAGTTCAAAGTTCCACGCCAGCTATCGATGGTCATAACTACTTTGCAGCTCAGCCAAATGATCTTGGGTCTGATTGTTAACATATACGCATACACTGCCAAAAGTAAGCAGCAGCAGAAGTAGTGTAAAAAACTTGTACAGAAATAAATGGCGTAATTACAAAGATAATTAACGTGCAAATTGTGTGTATTTTAGACGTGTTGGGCTGGGAGTGTGCGCGCTCGGACGAAGGGTTGCGCGTGCTGATGCTGATGTACGCCTCCTACTTTGTCCTCTTCGCCAACTTCTTCAAGAGGACGTACTTGACCCGCAAGAGCAAGACGCAGTAGGAGACCCAAGTCCTTCCTGCGTGGTTTTATACCGTCGTGCTCGAGAGTCTCGTCCTCGTCGACGCAACCACTGACTCATTTCGCCTTCTTTAAGTTCCTTACCCATATTCACTCCCCGGACCATGTTTTACTGATCGTGGCTTTGTGAAGACCATTGACGCTGGCAGTTACACGAGCTCTAGACCACCACCTACAGTAGCAGATGACGATGCAGTATCCTCTCCTTCAGAAATTACGCTCCTCTATTTTGACCTGAGCTTGCTTAAAGATGGTCCTTCCACTACGAAAGTTATTTCCCTTTCCATTTGTAAATACTGCTCTTCCCCTTGTTTTTTTTAATCGAAATTTGTTTTCAACTGGAAATTTTCCACCATGGTTTTGGTTTTTCTCTTCTTGACTCTAGGTTACCTACATGTATGTACATATTATTATGCAAATTGTGTAAATCAAATACAAGCCAAGACTCCTGCTGAGCGAATCCTTGGGCATAAAGATGCAGGAATGCCCAGCCATGCAACATGATACAATTGTGATGCCTCAAAGAATATATATAGTTAGCAATTAAAATTAGTTAATCATTACCCATGATAATAAACTGCTTAAAAATGTATAAAAGTATGTATGTATTAAATGTAATGTCAAGATAAACGCAAAAGCGACTAGTTTTCAATGCGAGTTGGTAAAATTGTGAGATTTTGTTGAACTAAAAAATAGGAGCAGAGGAATAAAGATATAATTTTAAGAAACTCCCGAGTCTCGGATGCAATGAATATGTGAGGCATTGAATCTGCATATGGGCTATAAATCAGCAGTTAATTCCCTCTCTTTTATAATTACAAATCGCCATAAACTTGAGGAAAGGTTGAAAGTCGGATTTTACGCGATATTTTAACAAGTAAATTGCACAAACCAATTAAAATAAATCTGCATAATATTAATTTGAGATTCTTTAATGCGTTCAAAATTAGCAAATGGATGTGTGCAGTCCATCCATACAGTTCGCTCGGAGATTTTCTACGTTCTGTCAATTTTACTTCTCTCCCAACAACAAGCGAGCACACTGCAACCAACCGCACACAACTTTTTAGGAACAGCGACAACGAGGTCATGGTCATGAGTTTGCCAAATTTGGGGTGGATTCTGGACGCAGGGGCGAGGCTGAACTTGTCGGAGGATGTGGGTCTCAAGGGCTGGCATTTTGAAGACCCTCCAAAGTACATTCGACAGTTTGAGTTTGAATGCTACGACCACGACTATTGGGTCGACGTGTGTATGCAGTACTGGAAGTTGCCCTTCTACGTGGGAGCCGTCTACCTCCTCACCATCTACGTCCTCCAAAGGTACATGCGAAATAAGGCCCCCCTCAATCTCAAAACTCCCCTCTTCCTTTGGAACTTGGGGTTGGGTCTGTTTTCCATTGTAGGATTTTGTCGTATACTTCCCGCCCATGTCGATGTCCTTCTCAGACAAGAGGGCTTTTACAAGAGAATTTGTGTCAGGTATTTGACATGGCTATGGTTGGCACCAGTTGTCACTTTGGAGGTTGACTTTGCAGGGAGGGAGTTGACCGTCCCACTGCGTTCTGGTACCTCGCTTTTGGGCTGTCGAAATATGTGGAGCTGGGAGACACGATTTTTCTAATTTTAAGGAAAAAGCCCGTCGTGCTCCTGCAATGGTATCACCATTTGGTGACCCTCATATCCCAGTGGCTGGTGGGACCTCTGGTGGAACCCATTTCTCGATGGTATGTAGCTGACTCTGGTCGCCAACAAACAACTGCGAATGTCAAGACCAATTGTGTGTTGCAGGGTTGTCGTAATGAACTATGGAGTTCACAGTTTGATGTACCCTTATTTCGCCCTAACCGTGAGTGCTCTCCCTTATCTTATAAATTCAGTTGCATTTTTTACTTCATCATACATATGGATCCAAGTAAATACAATGAACACGAACTCTAATGGCTCTTCTGGTAACTATTTCAATTCGACAATTCGTAGGCCGTGGGTGTGCAAATTCACAAAACGATTGCCAACTTCATAACAACGCTGCAACTCTCTCAAATGGTGTTTGGATTGTTCATCAACCTCTACACGCTCCACCTCCTAAGTACGCGTCCCTTTCAGCACTCCTGTGAAGCGCCTTGAGGACCACACGCTTGTGGTCCTGCCCCACGTATGCAAGGAAAGGCCTCACTATTAATTTTATTGAAATTATGCATTATGTTGCAGATCAAGGCGTAAGCTGTGCGCGGCATGCTTTGAGCATCCAAATCATGGCAATGGTTTACGGGTAAAACCCTTCCTGCGATTATTTAACTTTGGTTTTTACACGAAGAAAATTATATACATACAGGTCGTTTACGCTGCTCTTTGGAAAGCTATTCTACGACTTGGTCGTCGCAGAGAAGACGAAAAAACCGAGTAGTCCTGACAGACAGGCGACGATAGACGACGGAAGGAAGATGGACTAAGAGCGCGTTTCAAAAAGGGTCAAATATTTCTCAACTGATAAGAATTGTGAATTGAGAATTGTGCAAATGTTAAGAATTAAGCATGCAACGAGGCGGAGATTAAACTAAAATGTGATGATACTGAGTACGAACGTCCTAAATATATTTTCATGTTTACACGACTGCGAATTTGTGTGCAGCGTAATGAGCGTGCAAATGTATCACTGAGGTGTCCTTGTCTGTAGTGGTCATTGTCAGTCATATATCCTCCGTTACGCAAACCTCTATCTGCATCTCTAGTACTAAATCTGGCCTCCTTCTTCTTCGTTGCTGCAGGACGCACGCAGAAATTACGTATGTATCCTCGCACGACGAGCGTGAGTAGCCGCGTTTGCATGTGTTGTACAAGTGGGATGAGGTAGTCAAAATGTCAACCAGATGCGGATTTTGTAATTAAATGCGATCCCACGCTTGGCTCACGTCTCATTCTTTTGTTCCTTCTTGGGGACTTGGTGCTTCATGACGACGGGTGTACCTGGGCGTCAAAACAAAATGGATTTGTCAAACTGGACGCGGTGGGTGTCGTCTCCCTCCTTTGAGGTCTCCGAGTTTGAGGAGATAGACGTTAAGTGATGCTGGTTTGCCAAAGAGTTTTGGCTGTTCCCCTTCTTCCTTTGGGGATCATACTACACGGGACCGGGGCTGCACGTTTGCTACAAACCGGAAGCCCATGTGTCTCAGAAATTGTCTCTTTGGAGGAGCAAATCAATTTCCATTCCCTCATATTTGTGGGGCTTACCTCGCATAACTACTTCGCATACTTGCTCAGCAGAACGGATTACATTGGAACGTTGTAAGATTACAATCCTAATTATACATTAGAAGGATGTACACGTGTAGGATAATCCTCATGTACAGAGAAGGACTGGGTAAGCCCGTTGTTCTTTATTTATTTTTGCATAGGAATGGTCAAAAGCTGCACATTTCGGAGATATTTCTCATCGTGCTGAGGAAAAAGCATTTTTTTTGGCAGACTCTGGAGGAGTCTTCTGAAGGAGGCTTCACTTGTGTGAAGCTTATCAGCACGGCTTATATGCACCCCCTTTGCCATCTTTTTGGATGGAAGGATGAGTCTGGACTATTTCCCCTCCAACAAGAAGCAAAGAAGAGATTTATCTCTTCTATATACTTTGACTTTTCAGATCTTATTAATATTGTTAGTAGGATTGTCACCAGAAGGACTGGTCCATACATATTTGGAGCAACCCAATCCAACGATGGCAATGCATATCACAACCCGTCGAAGTACAAGAGCGATGAAAAGAGTCGGCGAATGTGTGCCGTCATCGTCGTACCACAAGCGTGTATTACTACTATTATTATTATGCTAGCTTATTCTATGTCACCTCTTTTTACCTGCTAATTGAGAAGGCAGATGCCTGCGTCACACTGCCACCGCAGAAATCAATCGTGATAATTTGCTATACACTCGCTTCTTAGAAGTGGGTTGAACGAGGGTTTTTATTAAATATTTATACAGTGACATTCAAAATCAGGATTCTGCGAATGTATGCACACATTTTACACAGTGGTTCGACCCATAGTTGGACTGCTGCACGTAGTACGCTTCTTATTGCACGTACGCATTTCCAATGTCCAGGTTGACAACGGTTTCACGGTCAGGGATTGCAGTACCGTTTTCCCTGCGGGTTCACCAAACTTGTCAAAACGCAACAAAGTCGCCAGGAATAGGTTGGGTTGTGAAGGCGATGAGAAAATGCTCGTTGAAGTGAGATCCTACTGCACTGGTATCCGGCATCGACTGATGAGGCGCATCTAATCTGAGCCACCTTGGATTAGAAAGTTTGCATTTTGGGAATATGAGACGAACGAGTGGCAGTTGCTCCTCTCTCTCTCTCAGCTTTGTCAACCCACTTATTATTTATTACCACTGTGTCCACTGCTCTTGGCATATGAGTCGGGTGAATTGTATCTATTTTTAGCAACTTCCTCACGACACAGATTTCCCATTGCTCGCAGACAGGGTTGAGGAGATGCGGATACCTTGTATCGTAAGTCTGAGGGATTTTATGTTGGTCAGTGGGCAGGGGACGAGAGGTGGAGGAGAGAAATCCTTTGGAGAGAGCGTCTCTCAGATTGTTCCACCCTGTGAGACACATCAATTGTGTGGAGAAGGGGTAGAAAAACGATGCTCCGTCGTCGTCGTGGGTCTGGTCAACCAATAATAAACCTGATGGATGCTAAATCTAACCCTGTCTCTCAATCTCAATTTCGGTGGCATCATTCGCAGATATGTCAGCCTGTGTCATGCTCATTTCATAGCAGAGCCCCGTCCTTGCAGATTTAATACTTGGATTTTAACTCCACACTCAGAAGACGCCAGGAAGACTTCCATTCTCCCAAATTTCGACTCGCACGTATTTATTTCTTATCTGAAACTTTTTCCCAGGCAGCTGTGCATCGCTGAGAAAATAACTACATTTTTAATTAGATTAAATATTACAAATATTGAGGACGAATCGCGGTTTTACGCCCGCAATGACCTCCTCTGCTCCAATCTCTACCGTGACTTACTACTAACGTTGTCGTCGGCAACAGCAACGACGGGAACTCAGGAAATTTAAGTGAACTTTTCAGCAGTTTTAATCGGTTTGAACAAGAAAACCGTGTCTCAAAATGAACATTTCCAACAATTTCTTCAGTAAGTGAGGGAATTAATTTTGGGGATTGACTAATTAGGTATTCATAAGAACAACGCGTGTGTACATAGGTTCAGTAATTCCTCGAATGGAAGACGCCTACGTGGATTGGCCGTACATGGAGCCAGCCCTTTTGGAACCCTTCAGCTTTGAAATATTCGACCTGAGCAGGAGTCGGAAGTGGTTTTGGCAGAACTGGACCCTTACCCTCTACATCTCAGTGGCCTACGTGGTCCTCATTTGGCTGGGACAGCGGTGGATGATGGATCGGCAGCCCTTCAACCTCCGCCCGCTTCTCACCCTCTGGAACTTTGGACTCGCCATCTTCTCCGCTGTAGCTTTCGCCAGGATCATTCCAGAGTTCGCCCACGTGCTCCACGGACAAAACGGCTTTCATCGCAGCGTTTGCGTCAGGTTCGTGCCCTAATTTCAATATCATATTTATAAATAGATGCTCCAGTACTTTGACTGCTGCCAGTCAGTCACTCTGCATACCAAGTTACAATTTTGGTGGGTTTGTATTTGGACAGGGATGCCTTGAACCCCAGCTCGGCATGGTGGGCAATGGCTTTCTCCGTCTCAAAGCTGGTGGAACTGTTGGACACGGTGTTTATCGTGCTGAGGAAAACGCCCCTCATATTTCTCCACTGGTTCGTGCTTTCTCTCGTGCATACAATAATTATGTAGCTGAAAATGTGTCACCGTCCACTTTGTCCAATGCAGGTATCACCATATGGTATGTTCCACTTTGAAGAAAGTACGTAGATTCCGAGCAGGTGAGAATACTTACTTAATTGCAGGCGACGTTAATTGTGTGCTGGATGAGCTACCCTCAAGCTGAACCCATATTCCGCTATGTGGGCTCCATGAACTTGTTTGTGCACAGGTGCGTGGAAAATATATAAGGATCCACATAATAAATTAATAAAGAAACATAGCTTGAATGACTTTGGATGGGCTTGGCAGGTTTTAATAAATGTCTGTATTTAGCATCATGTACACGTACTATGGCTTTAAGGCCATGACGTTCAACCCCCCACGAAAGCTCGCCATGATGATAACTCTCCTCCAGCTAAGCCAGATGTTCATCGGCTTGGTGGTCAACCTCTACGCTATCTACGTCAAAAGTGAGTCTTGCATAATTGATAACATAATATGTAAATAGTTCACAATTCTCTCCATGGTTCAAGATTTGCTAATGTGCCGCCTGGTTTGTGCAGGTTCTGGGCAAGAGTGCGCGAGGTCGGATGAGAACATTCGAGTTCAAATGTGGATCTATGCGTCGTACTTGGTCCTGTTTGTCAAATATTTCTACCAGTCATATTTCTCAAGCCCCAAGAAATTCAAGTCCTCGTAATCATGCTGAACGAGATGACAGCTTATTTCCTATGCTATTTCCGTCCATGTTGTGTTACTATTAAAAGGCCGGCGTTCTCTAAATATGTATCCAGTGGCAGAAATAAATTCCACCAAGATAAAGATAAATTCAGCCAGAAATAAATTAAACTATTCTTTGTACGCATTAACGTATAAACGAGGGCGTCGAATGGCGTCGATTGGAGGGACGTACGTAAAGGAAATATTACTGGATTCCTTGTTTAATTGCGTTCTTAGGTTGCCTGATTAAGACCAAGAAGACCCTCAGCGAATGAGGTTTCCCTTCTCTCAACGGCTACAACGTATTAAACATTTATCCAGGTTACTTGAGCAGTGTATGCAAAAATAGATGAGTGATGACGGTAAGAGCTCATCATGTGTCTATATAAAAGTCTATATAGTTGACATTTCACAGTGGTGCTGGTCACATGCCGTCCATTCGAGTCTATTTTCATACGCTTTTTGCAGTCTCAACGTCGTCAGAGCTATGTAACTTGTGAGTGGACAAGTCTTTAATTAATGGGTTGTCATAAATAGTCATCGATCCGACGTTTCTTGTTGAATATAAGCAAAGTGAGCAAGCCTCGTGAGACCACATTGATTCTGGAGAGCTCTAAACTCTAAAACAACAAACAAGTAAGTACACATGAGCATTGGTGCTCATCAACAGGTCAGAAAACTCGTTGGTTGCATTGCTCTAGAAATAAAATAATGGGCAACTCGAGCGAAATTCATCCTTTTGATATCCCAAATTTTCCTCCCGAGCTGAACAACGTACCAATTTGGGAGTATGAAAAGCCTCCCTCCTTTCTACCATATTTCTGGTTTGAAAAATGGGACTTTTTGCAGTGGAGGGTTTGGCTCATGCAAAATTGGCAGTTGCCATTCTACGTATGCATCATTTATCTGCTCGTCATATTCCAACTCGAAAACTACATGAGGACAAGGAAGCCACTCAAGTTGCAGAAACCTCTCGTCCTTTGGAACTTGGTCCTCGCAGTCTTTTCCTTGGTGGGAACTTTCCGCATTGTTCCGGAAATGCTCAAGATTGTTCAAAGTCCAGGAGGTTTTCACGTCTCAGTTTGCAACAGGTTAGTGAGTTGGAGAGAAATTCATCATTTCATTTACCAACGTATTAAACGTCCTTAAACATCTGTGTCCGTTCGATTTGCTCGTACAGAGAAGGGCTCAACGCCCCAACTGCAATTTGGGGAGTGCTGTTTGTCCTCTCGAAACTGGTGGAACTGGGTGAGAAAGGGCTTCCATGTGCAATTTTAACAATAGGAGGCTTGCTAAGTGTGTAGGAATTTTGGAACAGGTGACAGCGTGTTCATCGTACTGCGGAAACAGCCGCTGATATTTCTTCACTGGTTGGTGGTCGATATTTATAACAACAATTTTCCTTGTTATTTAATGAAGAAAACTATGAAAATTCAGGTATCACCATTCGGTGGCTTTGATCCTTGCATTCGAAGTGTTCCCTTACGGTGAGCCCATTGGTCGCTACTACGCCCTCATGAACTACGCTGTTCACAGGTACACGTACACAATTTAAAAACCTTTGGAGGAGCAACCTTTACTTATAGTTAGCCCGAGTTTTTAGACCAATTTCAATAAGCAGTATGGGTCATCTTGTTGAACCTCCTGCTTCCAAATTTCTAAAAATTTCTTTTATATTCGTAAATCTTGGATAAACTTGCACCTTGGTGCAAAATTTTTTCCAACTGATTCCAAAAACCAGTGTGGGTAGCCCCCTTGGGGATTTAAGGTTGATAATATTGAAATTCGACGTCACCTTCGTTTTTTCCATGTAATTTGCAACCTGCATATCAAACAGCTCGATATGAGGAATTTGAAAAATCGGTATGGGTTGTCCAATAGAGTGTCACCAAGCGGAAATTTTTCTAATTTAAAAAGGTTAATTAATTAAATTTAAGACCTATTAGTCACCTCTGCACTAAATTTTAACTTTCTAGTACAATTTTGAAATTTCGATGCGTAATACCCCACCCACCCCTCTCGTAATAAACCACCCAGATCGGTCAACCACTTGACTGATTTCACCCATCTTCGAACTCGTTTCCTAACCTTGTCCAATATGCATATGGTAGAAATTTCAAGCCAATCGGTTCAGCGGTTTTGGCTCTATCGTGTCGGACGGACATGACGGTTCCATAAGCCCTGACCCAGGGGTCTAACTGACTAATCCTCTCCTCTACTCTGCAGTGTGATGTACTCATACTACGCTTTAAAAGCCATGAAGGTGCAGATTTCCAGGAAACTCTCGATGGTGATTACGTCCTTGCAATTGTTGCAAATGATGGTATGGCAAAATTTTACGTAACTCAAAGTATACGGAGGTCTCAGGCTGCAAGTCATATCATGAAAATACTTGAACAGGTCGGAGTCTGGGTCAACTTCTACACGCTGTATGCAATACGTGAGACATAATTTTGACATTACTTCACTCGCTATTCAAAAGCAAGTCAGCCTGGTTTTCTTGTGTGATACTCATGAATTTTGTGTGATACTCAGATGTGCTCAGCGTCCCCTGCGCCAGAGAACGTCAAAGTGTTCAACTGATCGCTGTCATTTATGGCTCCTTCACATTTCTATTTGCTGACTTTATGTACAAAGCCTACTTCAGCAGCAAGAAGGTCAAGAGGTCGTAGCTCCTCCTGGAATAAAATAGTGGTCATCATAGCAATTCCTCGCATAAAAAGCATATTATTACAAATACATACAAGTAATGTGAAAAATGTTGTGACTGAATTTTAAAAATAAAGACAAATACAAACAAACTTCTCTCCTACTCCAAAGTAGACTGTGTCGGTGTGTATTGCAAAGTGCTGTGTGTATGGTAAGTTGAGAAGCACGAGTCGGGTGAGACTGAGATGAAATGAGCAAATAACATTCTTCAACCTTGAGGATCACGCCATATTATTCTCAACTTCTCCAGCACTGCAAAATTTCCAGAGCTGAGAATATCGCAAAATCCGGCGGAGCTGGACAGTCGTCGTCTCAAGCTGAGCCAGCCAAGAACACTCGGCCCCGTATATCCCCACCAAAGCTGCATCGATTTTGCACATTGAGCTCTCGACAGTTTATTTGCAAATTAGCTACTACCAAACCAAACACTGCATGGAAGGAGGAATATATGTTGCACTTGTGGTGATCAAAGGATGACAACCGTTTTTTGCCACGTCCAGCAGCAATAGCAAAGGTGAGTTGCATTCATGTTATCAGCCTGTGGATTGCATGCATGTGGCTGTGTCCATTAATTCAATCGACAATCTTCATCAGCCAGCAGCGCAAGAAGGATTTCTCTGTATTTGCACATTTTCTACTTCTAACCCACTATAATTTATAAATAATGGTCACTAGTTTCACGCATGATGGACGATTTGAATTATTATGCAATATGGAATTACATATATTTATGATAGATATACGTAATCTATCATGATCCCACCACTCTCTGGACGAGGGGTTTTATTTAATCTGTGCATGCTTATTGCTCTCGTATGATTAAGGATGCTGATAACCAACTTTCCGGTCTTGCGTCTGACTGCTCCTTGGTTGAATCGAGAGTGATTTGCTTGAATTATTGCTGTTAGTTGTTTGAGCAGTTGCACTTTGTATACACCTACAGGTGAGAATTTACCTTTGTTGCAGTCTCCACGTGCAGGGTCTCATCAGACTGACCCTTTATTCCCCTGTAGACATTCGTAGGAGCTCACCTTGAGACTGGTGAATTCGGTGACAAGGGTCGTTTTGCAGAATTGAATGGCAAATATGGCGGTGTCGACATCCGCGGCGTCGCGAAACCTGAGTCATGGGACTCACTGGGCGTACGAGGACCCTCCTCAGTTCCAGTCCTTCTCCTTTGAGAACATTGACTACCCCCTCTGGAAGCACTTTATGGCTCTCAACTGGACCTTGCCCATCTGGGTGTCGGGCCTCTACGTCGTCGTCATCTTCTCGCTCCAACGCTGCATGAAACATCGAGCTCCCTTCAAGGTCGACTGGGCCTTGGCCTTGTGGAACCTGGGGCTTGCAATTTTTTCCATCATGGGTTTCTGCCGCATTTCGACGGAACTCTTTGCAGTCCTGACGTCCCCCAATGGGTTTCACCGATCCGTCTGCTCCAGGTACGTCAGCTCCAATTACTCATCCGTACACAATCACATGGAGTAATTACTTAATTGCTTACTCTCGACTGCAGAGAAGGACTGAATGAGCCAATGGGTTAGTTACCGTTCAATGTGATAATTTGATAACTATAATTATTGGAATTCGTGTGTCATCATAATCATGGCCATTTACACCTTCGTCCCTTACAGCTTACTGGAGTATTCTATTCGCTCTATCAAAATTCGTCGAGTTGGGTGAGTACAATTATGTATTGAAATATTTGCAATGATGGTGGTGGTGATAATTGGATCTTGAGAACAAACGAGTACCCATCTTTTTGAATACTTTTTCAGGCGACACGATCTTCATTGTTCTTCGAAAACAACCACTGATTTTGCTGCAATGGTGAGATCAAAAAATCTATTTCCAACGTAATCCGTTGCGGTTTATTTTTTAATAATTTGAATTTTACACTTGAATTTTATCTTTTACGCAGGTACCACCACTGTAAGGATTTCCAATTATTGACTTCATAGGTCAAAATACATTGAGTAATGTGATGTATAATTTTACAGGCACGGCAATGATCCTCGCCTGGCAAATCGTCCCCCGTGCTGAAGTTTGTAGCTTTTTCGTTACTACATACCTACATACAGATACTTGATCATTCAATACTTTATTGAGTAATTAATTAAATACTTTTACAGCCTATAACGAGGTATCTGGGAGCCATGAATTACGGGGTCCACAGGTTTGCATGCATTTCTACATGAACTAGTTATGTACATAGACTTTGACATTTATGGGGCATAAACTTTGTACCTTGCTTCCTTTCAGCATAATGTACCCATACTTCTTCCTCAAGTGCATGAAAATCCACATCCCCAGAAAGATCTCGCAGTTGCTGACGTTCCTCCAACTCCTCCAAATGTTGGTCGCTGTGACAATCAATGCCTACAGCCAATTTGTGATAAGTACGTACGCACGTATCAGCATTAGATACAAGCACCAATCTCCCAACCATGCATGGTGTGCATATATATGTGCTCAAATTTGTCATCATAAATGTTCACAATTCAGGCTCTGGTCAACCCTGTGCGCGTGAAGAGTCGAGCATAAGATGGATTTGGGCCATTTACGGATCCTACGTCTACCTTTTTGGAGAGTTCTTCTACAAAAGCTACTATTCCAGAAAATCCAAGAAGCTATAAGTCTCCAGCCCAATGATGCTGGTGGTTCATTCAACATCTTTGGTCTCATTCGGAGTAGGAAGACGATCCACAATAATATCAACTTCAATTTAATCTTAAGTATTTAGTGTGGTGTTTGGTAAATTTAATTATTTTTCAAATGTTAACCTTATCATTGTAATTCGATTTCAATGACTTATCACTTGCATTAAATCACAATTACGGTTTGACCAAATAGAACTGATACCATTGTAGTGGAATTTAAAGATAGCGAATTACATGTAATGGAAATTTATGCACTTCGCCACAACCATGACATAACTTTGTCACATCGTATTACGTATATTAATCGATATGGTTCACATTCATGTGCAGTGTGGTAATCTAGCTCATCAATTTATTCATGTACAACGAATTAAATAATCAGTTTGTTGAAATAAAGTGATTACTTTGGTGAGACCGACATATTAAAAATAATTCCTCCAGGCAGTGTTCATCGAATTGTTGACCCCAGCGGTGTCTTATTGCAGATTTATAATACACGTACATATTTACCTTGATGATTGTCGCAGTATGAAGACGTTGTTGGGAATAACGGTAAGCTTGCTGTGGGCGTTGGTCCTGCTGGAAGCGTCGCTACTGCAACAGGCACCACCAGATTGCTCAACCATAACCCGTAAGAAATCAGTTTAAGCTGCTCACTTTCAATTAGCTAATGAAATTCATTCATCAATTTTATGAATGTAGCTGAGGAATGTGAAGCTCAGGCCAAGGTGTTTGTAGAGGTGACGTACGAGGCTGAGATTTCGCGAATGTGTCAGCAAGCCGTTCTGGCAGATTGGGAGTACAACACTGACCTCGGAGATCCGGACAAGGAGCAGGCAGCGACGGAGGCCAATATTGCCTACTCCAAATCAATTTTTGACCATTGGGACAACGTTCTTCGTCATTACAATTACACGGATTTTATCGAAGAGAGTCTCAAACGACAGCTCAAATTCCTTAACATTGTGGGGACAGCAGCGCTCAATGATGCGGACTTAACCCAGGTATTTCCCAAACCTAATTCAGTTTCGAGTGTCTGGGGGGAAATATTTCATATCTCACTTTCTGAAATATCATATTTAGTACAACACCATTCTTGCCACCATGAGCAGGGTTTACGGAACAGGGAAGATATGTCCTTTCGCTAAGCAAGACTGTGACCTTGCAACGGAAGGCTTGAATCTAGAACCAGGTGCACATTCACATGGCTTGACGCATGCTTCACTAGATTAACAATCTTTTGCAACTCGAATGATTTTCAGAAATTGAGGCAATTTTGTCCACGTCCAGAGACCCTGCAGAGCTAGCGTACGTGTGGGAAGCCTGGCGCGACGTGTCGGGGAGACAGATCCGAGAAACTTACAAGGACTACATCGCACTCTCCAACAAAGCAGCGGAAGCCAATGGTAAGAACAATACAGAGAAAACCTTGCACAGTTCCACGTAAATACAGAAAGGGCTTCATTCTACCGTAGGGCTACCAAACAACGGTGACCTCTGGTTAGCGCGCTATGAAAGCCCAGATTTTAGGACTCAAGTCGCTGAGGTTTGGGACACCGTGAAAGGACTCTATGCTGAACTCTACGGTTACGTTCGGTTCAAGTTGAGGGAGACATACCCAGGCGAATTTGCAGACTCCACGGATCCCATTCCAGCACACATTTTGGGTATTGCCCATTCCTAAAAAGACAGTTTCTGAGAATATAGATACTTACCTATGTATATAGAAGAAATGCATAATTTTCAGGAAATATGTGGGCACAAAGTTGGGAGTCACTGTATCCGCTGATGATCCCGCACCCAGACGAACCTGGCTTCGATGTTACAGAGGCCCTCAAAAACGTACGCACAAGCCAATTTCACCACATTATAAATACCAAAATACTTCTGCATCCGATTTTTTTTTACCGCAGAAATTCAACAGCACGGAGGAAGGAGTTCGAGCCCTTTTCGAGGAGGCCAACTTCTTCTTTACTGACCTAGGTCTCGAGGATATGAGTATGTCGTACGGAGAGGACGCTGTAATTGTTCGTCCAGAAGATCGGGACGTGGGTATGTACATAAATGATGACTTTTTTATACTTAATATCCGCCAGGTATCCCGTTCTCAACTATTTATACAAATTCGTTCACATCAATTGGTCTATTTTCAGTATGCCATGCCTCAGCTTGGGACTTTTGTGATCGTCAAGATTTTAGGTATATTTTGGTCATCTTTTCCGTATCGAGATGTCAATTAAGCCATGAAAGACATTACTCTCAGGTTTTGATAGCGTAACCGAGTTCGTACCATGCATGTGTATATAAATATGTACAGAATCACAGAGTTTCACCCTCAAGTTATTGTACATCCAAAATTGCAGAATTTGTGCATACGCATAATTTGTGCATACGCTAAATGATGAGATTTCATAAAGTGCTGTGCCGTTTACTACATGAGTGGGTTCTGTTTTACAGGATAAAAATGTGCACGAACGTCAATCAAGAAGATTATGCCACAGTTCATCACGAATTAGGTAGCTTTTAAATCCAGATTCAATAACTCAATATTTGCATTCAATATTGTCTCATGTAGGTCACATCCAATATTTTCTAATGTACAAGGACAAACCAATCACATTTCGGGATGGTTCGAACCCTGGTGTGTGAAGTGTTCAGTTTTAAGTTCGCTGCATTACAAGTTCTGTATGATTGCGTATTTATTGTGATGCAGGATTTCACGAAGCCATTGGAGACGTCATCGCCTTGTCCGTTGCGACACCAAAACACATGGCCAAATTGGGATATCTCGACTCTGGCGAACTCAATGACACCGTCACAGAAAATTTTCTCATGCAAAAAGCCTTAGAAAAGGTTATTCGGCTCTCAATTTATCACGTGTACTTATTCGCTTTGTACTGAACCAAAACTCGTTGTCTGGGTGCAGATTGCGTTCTTGCCGTTTGGATACCTCATTGACGCCTACAGATGGAAACTCTTTGATGGGTCTGCATCTCTGGACCGAATGGAGTACGAGTGGCTCAAAATTCGGTGGGGTGTTTATATTCTTCTTCTTCTATTAGCCTTAATTTAATTAGATCGAAAAGACTAATCGTAGTTAATCCGAATTAATTATTCTACATTCGTCACACCTCTAGAAATGAAATACAAGGCGTTCGTCCTCCAGTGAGACGGAGCGAAGGGGATTTCGATGCTGGTGCAAAATATGTATGTATTGAAATAATAATGCAGGTCTTCGTGACCTCCGTTCATTGCAAGTGATTCATGTCGCTTACTTTAGCACGTGCCTGGAAATACGCCGTACATCCGCTACTTTGTCAGCTTTATAATTCAGTTTCAAATTCATAAAGCACTCTGCATTGCTGCGAATGAGTATGACCCCGAAGATCTCGAGAAACCTTTGTACAATTGCGACATTGGTGGAAATCCAACTGCTGGCAATATTATGAAGTTAGTAGGTCAGAAATTGGAAGCATTTTGTGCTGCTAAATATTTATTGTTTCAAATGTGCAGGACGCTTTTGCAAAAGGGATTCTCTGAGAATTGGCAGGATGTGCTCGAAGCTGCAATTGGCACGAGAGAAATGGATGGTTCGGCCATTGTGGAGTATTTCTCCCCACTGACAAGTTATCTGCAACGCCAACGAGCCCAACATGGTTACGTTCTGGAGTGGAAGGTGGATGCGTTTGAAGACTATTACACAGGTATATCATGGAAATAACAAATCTACCGGCTGCTATTTCTAAATGAGCAACACATATATATAGCTCCAACCGAGGGGACGACTACCGGAAATCCTAGCGACCCGACCACCACGACGGGAAATCCTAGCGACCCGACCACCACAACGGGAAATCCTAGCGACCCGACCACCACAACGGGAAATCCTAGCGACCCGACCACCACAACGGGAAATCCTAGCGACCCGACCACCACAACGGGAAATCCTAGCGACCCGACCACCACGACTGGTTCATCGACAACGTCAGGGGGACCAAGAGACAACAAATTGTCCACGGGCCTGATAATTATAGGGATTATTCAGGGTTGCACCATCGTGCTGGTGCATATGTTGTGGAAACCTTCATATTAAAGCGATCAACATAAACGATAAACGAGACAATTGTTGCAAATATATTTGAAAAAACGATTTAGACAAAATCATAAATTTTTAGATATGATAAAAAAGAAATGTTCTCCATCCTCTATCTATTCCATACTTTATCGGATTATAAAACTTGCATTGAGACGTATATATCATACGTCTATATCATGCGTATATTCATATATTCCCGAATGTTTCCTGGAAAGGCTACCCATTAACATATTGAGCTGGGGACACAAAAATAAATATACATGTCTAAAGTGGGAAGCGTGCGACGCTTTACTGATACAGTGTGGACAACACAGGAAGAATAGGCGCTTGTGGTAGAAATCAGTTTTACCGGGCTGGCGTAAGCTTAAAGATTACCGCAGATCTGACATTTTACCAAACTTTGACTGCCTCTCAAATTTGAACCCACCGTTGTATTGGCTTGAAATTTTGCAAAAATCAGCGTACTAGTGTGGACTACATAGAAGAAATCGGCGCTTGTGGTAGAGATCAGTCTTACGGCGCAAAACCAATGTAGATTTCGCTCAATCTGCATCTTAAATGCAGACTAACCAATCTACACATCTCAACTTAAATACATACATATTCCTACATATTAGGAATCTGAAGAAATCAAATCGGTCAGGAAGGAATCTAAGCGGTCGAGAAGAAATCAAAACCGTCAGGAAGAAATCTAAGCGGTCTGGAAGAAATCTAAACTATTATTACTGCTATTATCGTTATGAATCAGTCTTCACTGTCGACGTTGCTTGGTCCAGAACCGTTATGTTGGGAGCTTCCCGTCCAACTGATTATGAGAAACGTGCTGTATAGAGTAAATGTCTTGAAATTTTGTAGCAGGGTGTCCAATTGGGAGACCCACACTCATTTTTGAAATTGCCCAAAAAAAGTTAAGTTTTCATGCTGGATAAATGTAGCCAGCGTCGTTTAATTGTGCACTACAATTAAGGTAGTTTGGGTCATCGGACTAAAAATCCGAAATAAAAATCTGACCCTGAATTGGGCCAAATGAAGTCTGCACTTTTTTTATATTTTATCAACATCAAACTGACAATTTAATGACCAATCTATAGGTAAACCACGGTATATACATAACAAAATATATACGTAACTTCAGCCAGGAAAACCTAGTTTGCGTAAGTCTGGGTCGATGTATGGATTTGCATGGGTCGAACTGCAGGTCGAAATATGGCTAGGCTGAGGGAGACTTTTTGGGTCGATTCCAGGGCATTTCATCCGCTTTGGCGAATATTAGGTATACCAGATTCGCCACAATGTTGATCAAAGCTGGGATGAGGAACACAATTTTCCACCCGACGAGTGACGGCTGCAAGAATCCAATGAAACTACCTTTTAATGGCTGACAAGTGTAGAATTCGTAAATAATTATGTACGTTTGCATGCAGGATGAGGCCAGTCACGTACGGAGCTATGAAGCCCAAACAATTTGACAAAGAGTTGGCCACCCCCATTATCGGACCACAATGATTGGGTGCAATGTCAATATTGTTGACGATCCATGCACCAAACCCGGCTCCCATCACCCCTCCTGTTACACATACGTATTATCCACATGGTCATCGTCACCACACATTCAAACAGTTCACCTCCGATGCAAATAATCTTCAGTCCTTATTTCGCTTACCAGTGATATTTAAGCAGATTACGGCCAAGAGAGTGTTACATCCTGTAAAAATAATCCCCAAGAATGCTGCCGCAGATCCCCACACGGCTGAGTAGTCAATTCATTTGTTGAGTGAAACACATAAACCTTAAGGTTCAAGTGAAGACTTGAAAGACTAGAATTTGTTAGGTACCTAGCGTCGCGCACATTTTCCTTGTGAACAGAATGGAGGTAAGGTTTTGCACAATTAAGAAATCCGAGAGGTGTGACATGACAATGCAGACCATGAAGTTGAGGAGTTGAGGGAGGGCGGAAAACCACCCATTCTGTGTACACGCGCACAAAATATGTATTTATTACCTTTCGACATTTGGCACTAAAAGTTACAGAGATACTCAAATTGATTACGTGTTCGATTTTGAAGCCATGAACGGAATGGAGGTACTTGGGAACCTCAGTGTGGAGCAGGTAATGACCCCACGTGTGCCCCACATGGATCACGAAGATGGCAATGACTGGCATTGAGGTGAATACGGCCCTCCAAGGCGTTGGAATATGCTCCTGGGTGCGAATGAGAGGAATTCATAAGTTTCACGTCGATTAAATCATGAGAACAGTTTGGATAATTGACTTGATTGAATTCTTACTTTGTTGGTTTGTCCCTGCAAGGAGCCTTCAATGGCTTGAAGCTCGTTTTCTGAAATTCTGGGATGTTCCGAGGGTTGGCTGTAAACTAAGAAGCTCCACAGAATGAACCAAACCAAGGTGCACACCCCAACTGTGTAGAATAGGGAGGGCCAGCCCAAGTAGTGGATGAGATATCCTCCCGTCACCATCGTCAGAGCCGACCCCAGAGGAATCCCCGAAAATATCAGGTTCGTCATCCGACTTCGCTCATCGGGTGGTGCCCAATGGGCAAGCATCACATGCCTGCATGCAAATCCTCACAGTTATAACTTCTATTTCTGTACATATTATTACCATTGTTGTGTTATGTACATACATGGCTGGAAACATGACCCCCTGTTTACAAGATATATACACAGTTGAGGACAGAATTTTCTACACAAAGCCAGTATACGACTTTGTATGCAAATGAGTAGTTTGGTGCTCTGCTTACTTCTGCCAGCCCCATGATGACTCGGAGAGTGAGAATGCCATTCTTTCCCCAATGGACCGTCACGAACGGGAGGGCTGAGGACAAGGCTCCGGTGATTAAGAGGCCCACGGAGAATATCCATTTGGCTCCATACACGTGGGCCAACTTGCCGCCTGGGTACTGCGTAGAAATGTACATTTTTAGGTAAAAATTAATGCAGGAATAAGTACATACCTGCGTAAAAATGTATCCCCAAAAGAAACTGCCCAGAATTTCTCCCTGTTCCTCCTCCGTCCAGTGGAACCGTTTCTCTCCGAACCGCCTCCAGTTCATCTGCTCACCATCAGCAGATCTCGGTGCTCTAACGTTGCCACTGAGCAGCTCGGATGAGTTAACGCTGCTGCTGCCGTGTCTCAAAACCTCAATGTGATGGGGACACACTTCGAGATCTTGGCTCAAAATGGAGGACGCGTTGGCAGCAGTCTTGGACTTGAGATTGGTTATCAGGACGTGGGGCTGATCAACCATTTCGACGATAGCCAAAGACAAGTTGAATCTCATGGAGTAGGCGAGAACGAAGCCAAAAAATCCCATGAGCGTCAGCGTGTGCCTTGTGCCCCACCCTGAAAATATTTCTATAGTGTAAGTTCCAGGGGGAAGTCCAAACAATGCGACATAAAGCCCGGCGATAATTATGATAATAATTACAAACTACATGAAATGCATATATTATTATGTGTGGACGTATTTAGTTGTGTGCTTTACCGTCAGCAATGAATTTAGTCTTCCTGCCTAAATTTACAGAATCCATTGTCGTGTTGGTGCGAAATTTTCTTCTACTGTGACAAATCCCTGAGACGACGAGATGGATGTCAGTGGCATCGATGAGACAAGGTGCAACTGTCAATCCAAAAGCTATAATTGTCCTTTATGTATAGACATTATGTCGTATGCACCATTATGTTTGTATCATACTGGTCGTGATAACACGTCCCCGTGCATTAGGCAGCTACCGGTTTTAGCTAGATATGCAAAACTCACAGTAATATAATTACCCAGTGCACCTAATGCAGTTTAGCAGGAAAGTTGGATAATTGGCTTTAAGATAGTGTGCAGATGCTCTTACAAATGTGTCAGTTAGTAACAAAATACTTAATGTGTGTCCTTCTTGCAACATGAGTTTTGTTTTGCATGAGAATGAATTGTGGCAGCAGCGGGGACATGTCCACGACGGAATGGTCCACAACGACTTTGAAAATATGGTCATTAGTCGTACCTAGTAAATTGCTAGATACTGGTGTCGTTGGCAGTTATGCGATGGCTGGCAAGAAACCTGTACTGATCTCGCTCATGCATATTTTTTGTACGCATTTGCATGTACTTGTATCACTTTATTATTGTCAATACTGCTATTTTGAGTATCATGTAACATGTTGGATTCTAAGAAAACAATAACAAATTAACGCATTTACCAGAGGCAAACTGTAAAACGGATGTCTGTGGACAATGTCTGAGAAGACGACGGGGTCAGAGTTTCTGCGAATGTATGAGCATTTTCCCTTCTGCAATCAGGGTTGCTTGATTGGCCCAAATTGGAGAAGACCTTCAAGTGGTTGTGACTAGCACTCATTGTTATTGTCCTCTTTCGGCTTGTTCCATCCTTGTTCTGTACACTTTGCGTACTGGAGATAAAAGACACTGGCTGAGAAATTGGCCACTGCTCCGATCCCGAGGACAATTTGCCACCCCAAGAGTGTCGGCTATGATTAATAATCAGTAATAGTCATAAAGCAGACTTATCATCAGATGTGCTTATCTGCTACTTTGATCAATTATAAGTACGTATGAATGGAGCAGAATTCCGGTGACATAGGGGGCCAGCATTCCCAGAAAGTAAGAGGCCATGCTCCCAACTGCTAAAATCGTCCCGGCGTGATTGGGCGCAATGTCGATCATGTTGACCATCCAGCTCCCTCGCGACGCACCGCTCACAACACCTGCAACGTCAACATGCACTTTTTTAATCGTATGTAAAAAAAATAATGCTTAAATACTGAAAAAATGATAATTCACCTCCGAACAGAAGGCAGGAAAGTGCGAGGACGGTGTGACACCCACCCAAAGCCATCCCCACAAACGCTGCCGATGTTCCGCAACCAACTGATGAACCGCACAGAACCAGAATGATCAATTTAGCATGGGTAGGTGCTCGTAGATGAACCAATTGGAAAATTCACATACCGATCATAGCAGACAATTTCCTAGTAAATTCCACGGATGTGACACTTTTAATGATGAGATAATCCGACAAGGAGGACGTCAACAACCCAAACGCACAATTAAGAAATTGAGGCAAAGCTGCAATCCAGCCGATCTGTAAATGCACACGAGGTGCGTTATTAGTTATGTAATTGCGTGCTAGGAAATATTGAATTGCATGCTTGTTAATTTATATCTAATGCCAACACTACATAGTTATTAGATAGTACGCACGTACGTGTTGGATTTGCAGCCCATGGACAGCTGCCAAATACTTTGGCATCTCGATTTGAATAATATTCTTTCCCCAGAATTGCCCCACTTGAACTTTAGAAGTAATTATATTTTAATTACAAGTTATGCTATAATTAAATATATGTAATTATAACTGATTAATTACTTGCGAATATGGCCCAGACTGGGAGCGACCGTAAAATATCACGCCAAGGGGTCGGCATATCTTTCTATGCGACAAAGAAAAACAAGAAAATACACGATTGTGAGACAGAATGCAAGTTATTTTTAGGACACGAATGGAACGCGACAAGAATTCACACGCGTCGATCTTTGCTTTAACGTTTAATTGGCACCTGAACGGAATTTTCCTTCATTGATTCTTCGATGAGACGCAGTTCAGGTGCCGAGATTCTGGGATGCTGGAGAGGTGTGTTGAATACTAACAAAGTCCAGAGAACGAACCAGACGAGGGAGATACTTCCAGCGATGAAAAAAATTGAGGGCCAACCAACAACTTTGAGAAGATAACCTCCACCGATAAGCGTTACGGCAGTGCCGAAAGGATACCCGGTGTAGACCAAGTTAGTCATGCGGCTCCGTTCATGAGGTGGCGACCATTGGGCGAGCATTACTTGGATTGCAGGAAACGTTATGCCCTGGGTGGTAAAATGTAAAAATACATTAAATCAGTGGTAATTTATATCAGTGTCCCTTTTTGAAGGTACATTTTATCACTTTGAAATAAGAGCGTACTTGAGCCAAGCCTTGGAAAACTCGAACGCAGATGAGTCCCAAACGCCCAAAGTGAACGGTGGCGAATGGGAGGAGCAGGGCGAATATTCCAGAAAGAACGATTCCCAGAGAAAATACCCACTTGCCTCCGTACTTGTGGGCGCAGCGACCCCCGGGATACTGCGTAACGACGTATCCCCAGTAGAACGAGCTCAGGATAAGCCCCTGGTCCTTCTCGTGCCAGTTGAACTGAGGCCCTGCTTTCACCACCCGCTCCCCATCTCCCGACGACGACGGCGAGTTTTCCACCCCAATAATGTTCAGGACAAGTAGCTTATCCCGCCTCATGGAGTCCGTGTTCTGGTCGTCGTCCTGTCGCTGACAAATGCCAACTGGATGTGCCGTGCTGCTGGCGTTCAGGGCTTTCGAGTCCGTCGTTGCATACTCCAAAATATGCAAGTGGCCGGATTGGTGGTGGACTTGCGTCATGGGCACAATGGCCAGCGACAAGTTGTTCTGGATGGAGCAGGCGATGGCAGTGCCGAAGAAGCCAAGGATCATCATGGTGTGACGTTTCCCCCATTTTGCTACCCCTGAAAAAATCAATCAGGACATTCTTACCACTTTGGAAGCTTCTCTCTCCGGAATATTTTATTTGTAGAGGTACCAGACCAAGATTTTCAACTCTTAATTAATTATATTAAAAAATATTAACCTTTTTCCTTAGTTGGAGGCGGGGGGTGTGGTGAATGTGTTTCAAGTATTTTATTCTGCGGGGACAGGTTGCGGTTCTCAGTTTGATCACACATAATCTAGCTGTTGAACTGTTGAGCTACTGTCAACCTTTCCAGTTCTCCTCTTGGATGGCAGTAATAATTATCCATACCTCCTGGTTATCTGCTCTCTCAAGACGATGAGTCAATGCAAATCAATGATGAAATTAATCAATTTGCATGTTGAGAAGAACTGAGTGTACCGAACTTGAGGCACGTACAAATACTTCCAGACCTTACAGTTTCATGCTACGAGTAACACTGCACGACCAATATGTACATACAAACAATAAACAATAATAAACGTCAATAATAATATGATGCCCATTTAGCACCAGACCTCACAGTATTCCTGCTTTTAAAACCCTGTTCATAATACAAGTTCAGACTTTGTATTTATGCTATTTTAACTATGCCTAATACATACTTCTTATTGTTCGAGTAAGACTGGAATTGCCGAGTAGGTTGTAGATTCAACAATGCATAATCAATTAATAAGCAGTGCGGGTGTTTATTTCGACTTGCATGCGACATTAACAGCGTTTGATGTTTAATATTTGACTGACATTCGCGACTTCATAATTGCAACCGTTGCGAGCGACATTTGTTCATTTTTCGCGTTTGCGTTCATGACGCTGACAGCAGCCTGGATGTTGCGGAGACTTCTCCTCGCCGACGCCATGCTCTGCTTCTTCTTCCGGACCCACCGGCGACCATAGGTTTCCGTGTAACGCCGGAACTTGTCCGTGATCAGGGAGAGGAAGCTCGCAATCGCGTTGGCCCCCGGCAAACAGGGACCAATCGCCTGCAGCATCAAGGGATCCTCCATCACGGCGTTTTGGAAGTCGGGAAATGTGATCTGACCGTCTGCAAGGCAAGGAATACAACCGCTTCGGAATAAACAATCAACAATGTCGATGGACCAATAGTCAGCCAATGAGTTAAAAATAAGTGGTAGTGACCTCGATCCATGTCCAGTTTTTTCATGCAAATCTCGACAATGTCACGCTCGCAATCTTCGACTTCTTCCTGGTCCAAACCGTAGCCAGCTAGAATGCATCCTTTGAGACAATGGGTCAACTCCTCGCGAGCCAGCGACCCGTCCCCATTCATGTCGTACACAAAGTAGCAGTGCTCCGTGAGTTGGTCAATGTCCCCACGAATCATGGTCGAGAGACCTCGGACCCATTCAGCGTCCGAGACCTGCAAGGTTCACGAGAATACTACAAGATTTGCCCATAATTCAGAAGAAGCCACGTCGGACACTCACCACGCCGTCGTTGTCCCTGTCAAATGCTTTGTAGACGAGGTCGAGCATGACATCGTCCGTGATTTGGAACGTCGTGTGGAGAATTTCCCTCATTCGAAGCCTATCCAAGTCGCCGAAGGCCGTGATCTTGTCAAAAATGTACAGCAGCACTTTGCACTAGGTCATAAAATATGCTCTTAAAACGGTAATTATGCATGCTAAATTCACGTAAAAACTTGGCTCGTACCTCTTCGTGGTTGAAGCGGCTTTCCTTGGACAATCGCTCAGCAGACGCTTGCAGCCTATGTTGCTTAGCTAAACGCCCAACGCCTGCTCCGGATTTCTTCATTTTTATGGCAAATCTAGACTCGTCTTGTGAACGTGTATACAAACAATCGAACCCCCGGAGAAGGCGTACAAAAAATCAAAATCTTTCTATTCACACTCCTGCAACAAACAGCTTCATTCGAATTCGCAGAGAGGTTTTCGGGGCCGGCGTTTATTGGAGAGGTCTGGACGATGATTTGGCCTTAGTTACAGCTAAATATTTTAGAAAATTTTTAGCCTTTTTAGATGACGTTGTAGAATTGCCTTGGTGTCTGTCTGTCCATCTGCCTGAAATAGCGATAATTGCCACTTATTGCTTTGAAATTTTGCAAGCGTGATCGTTGGGTAAAACATAGTAGAGAAATTTTATGCCAATGTTGGAAAATCAAATGCTATGTGCAATTTTCTAAAAAAAATGTGACCTGCTGCAGTATTGTATTACATACGTTGCATTTTTGTAAAATACTGAATATTGAATTGATCGGTTAAAAATTTGATGAGGCCAATTTTCAACTTCACTTTCCAAATTCACATTATCTCTTCACCTTAAAGTTATTTTTAACATAAAATACACCAAAGTATAAAAAGCACTTTGTTTTAATTTTAATATTTCAAGGATAAAGTTTTAAATTTTCGTAATAAACTTGTTTCAAGCAGAGTAGGATTTTATTTACATACAATTCCGTGAAATAGCCTTTAAGCTATTCTATCCTTGTGACTGTGGTTCAAGAACAGTGTCGAATATTTCTTGACCCCACATTACAATAAAACCATCTTATATGGCTCTACGAAATTCTGGCATTTAGTTATCAAGCACAATAATTTTATTGTGCTTATTCAAGCAGTTATTGCTTGACGTTTCGTATCTTGGTAACTCCCCTTTGGCTACTTCAAGTCAGACAATCGTACGAAACGGATCTTTCAAGTATTGGACCCTTCATTTTCTAAATTGTTCAGCAAAATTTGCCAGAATGGCGTCTGAAATGTGGCACAACGATTACACGGTACTGATTGAGCGGCTACAGCAGCCAAGGTTCACCTTGAACCCCAGCAGTGGCAAGCTCAGATTCGAAATTTCCAGTCACAGCACAAATTTGCCCTCCGACCCGAACAACAACACCAACAACAGCACTGATGGCATTGAGAACACATCAGTCAGAAAACTCGCCTGCTTCGAATTACTGGAGGATGGGATCCGTTCAATCAGGTACATTCCTTTGGAAAATTTGAGACATATGTATATGAGGCATAGCCATTGTAAATGCGTGAAATGTGCTTACAGGGTTGTCCCCACGGGCTCCCAGCAATCCTTCAACGTGGAGTGCATCAAGTCCAACGGACCAACCGCTGAAACGTCGACATCTGTTCAAGTAATTCATGTAAGACAAGCTTCATGCATCTGAGCGTGGGACAGCAATTGTTGACACATGCGTGCGTCCTCGTAATAAATAAATTTCAGAAGCGAAATGGACAACTGCACCATTCCAACGAGAATATTTCCTTGATCTATGTGCCAACGGATAGAAACTTGGTCCGCGACCAGGTGACGCCCCTCTCAACGTTTCAAGGGGGCACGAAAAATCATGGGGCTGCAAACAACATTTCCGTCACTTCAATGGCAGATTTCGTGATTTCCGAGACCGATCTGCGTGCCTACAACCGCTTTACGTTCAAGTGCATAATATTAATTAGCACATTGAGGAGAAGAAATTAGCATCACTATTTTATCATGCGCGTGTATTTTATAAATAGATTTACATCAATTTTGGAACGAAGCCTCGATTCTCACCCTCCAATTGCAGAATCTACGAATGCGGAACTCAACGGAAATATCAGCAAGGACGATGCCACCAGAATTTATGAGAACATCAGCGACGACATTTCCGAGTATGACTATTTGAGCGATTGGTCAAAAATCAATTTGCAAGCCGTGTTCGACGACGTAATTTCAATTACGTAATGAAAATCTCCTCATTTTGATTTCTGTGATCCTAATACGGATTTTTTAGGCAACAAGGAACGATTTATGTATGACCTTCTTTCTTGCAGGCTTGAAATGCACAATTTATTTTCCCAAAACAAACCATCCAGTTCACGACTCGGGGCAACGAATGATTTTTATTTCCAAAACCAATCCATCCCTCCCACCGGATTTAGAGAGCGTAGACTCCGAGATTTCCGCGAGATTGGCAGAGCACAAGCCGTGTTTGAGCAGCACAATGCGATAAACCTCAATCAAACCGCTTTACAAAGTCCGTGGCACAAAAGTTATACCAAAGCCCATTTTGTTCGAAAGTTTGTCAAATCCATAGTCAAACATCGGCTTCAAGCCTTGGGCGTGCAACAGTTGGACTGCAACGAAATTATTGACAAGTGTACGTAATTGCTATTTGGGGACATTTGCTAGTTACTTATTAGCCGTTAGCAAATTATTAACCGGGTTGAAACAACTTGAATTCATTATTGCTCGAAAACAGGGGAGGCGAAACAAAGCAACCCGTTCTCCTTCCTCTTTCCGAAAGATGACGACCTGAACGAGGGGGAGTGGAACCACGCCGGGATGATTTCCCCGTTGATAAGCAAACCGAACAGTGACCTCTTCCACCTCAGCCCCAGTGGTCACATCACAAAGTCCATTTTCAGCACGTTCGTGAACCAAGTGGAGACTCTGAAAGGAATCCTGAACAATGCGACGTGCAATCTGGTTCACACTCAGGTGTGTCTGCTTCTCCCAGAAATCAAGCTGCTCTGGGGTCGACAGTTGGATACCAATCGCAATCCCGTCTTCATTCTGGAGTGGATGCGGCTCATAATTCTGGCAGGAGTCGAGTTGGACCCCACTTCTCCGGAACAGGTCCTCGTAATGATCAACCGTGAACTCAAAACCCTGAGAAACCTCTCCAACCAACTTTACAAATCCTCAAAGAAAGTTTTTCATAAAATTGAAAGCTTGTCAAAATTCAGTGAAGAGATTTTTCGCAAAACTTTGGCTCAACTAAATCCCAAGAGTTTAAAGAAATTGGACGCATTTAACAACGCCATGAGGAAAAAGTACTCTCCAGACGTGATACATTTTGACCCCGACCAGTTGCACAAGATCCGCATTGCTCCTGCCGACCTCTTCCAGGACCACCTCTTCCTCTCCGAGACCCACAAAGGCGAGCTCCTCGTAAAGAACGACATTGACGGGTTTTGGGGAAAGTATTTGGACTTGGAGTTTGCGGATCGAAGGACCATATTCTTGGGAATGACTGACGACCTCCAAACCACGCTTAGAGCATGTCTGCACACGGTCCAGCATTTACAAGAGATTTACACGACGGGTTATCCAGGCAGCATTAAAAATCTTTTGAAGGTTAGACAACATGAGTCTGATCTCATAAGTAGGTACATAAATACGATCAGAGAATGCAGTATTATGATTTATGTATGAGGGTTCTAAACCAGTGCAATTATGAATTCATCTACCTCATGACGCTTAAATACGATAAAAGACTAGTCTTTTTGAAAAACACGAAGCTCAAGTTGTGCGTATGATTGCAGGACGTGGTCCAGGAACTGAAGTTCACTTCGAAGCGGGACGACCTCACCCTTCTGATCAAGACGTCGATCGTGACGCACGTGAGCTGTCTTCACGAGATGCTCACTCGCCTGCTCTGCATTTCCAAGGAGGTCAAAGGCGTTACGAAGCAGTTCACCGAGTGCCTCCAACCAGCCTCCTTCGACTTGAAGAAGCTGAAACGCCAGTTCAAGAAACGGGACAAAAAGTCCTGCGAAGTTTCCGACACGGACACGACGACCTTCAGCGGCTTTTACCACTACAACAACTTTGCGGCAGGAAGTGGAAACTCGAATGCTCAGTTGGTCATCCCATTTTCCAGTCTCAGCGTCGACTTGGCCTTCAAGTCCCACACTCTCAACGACAGTGTGTGAAGAGGTCAAGCGGAAACCTGTATCGTAAATGTCCATGAAAGCAATTTGATACATTTTTGACTTTCAAACGAACAAATAAATTTCAAAATTATGTCTTTCGAACAAAAACATTTTTAATCACAAATGAGCAACGTTTCTAAAATATAGTTTACAAAATGATAAAACTATTCAACATTTATTGAGCCTTGCGCTGAATTCTAATACTCGTAATACATACATACGATAAATATACATAAGTATATACACATTATGTGCGGTAAATGCAATCACGACTTGATTTTCGATTCGGCATGCGATAAAAATCTCGGTTCGTTTTTTAAAAAGTTTTTTTTACAAATATTTGACAGTCTTGATTGGCGGATTAAACATATTCCCCTCAAAATATCACACGTCGTACTAACCCCTATTTTTTTGTGAGTGTTACCTATTTACACACACGTCACGTCGAATACATTTTAAGTAACCATCCGAGAACTACACGTTGTACGAGTAAGAACGTATTGCTAGCAATAATTAACTGTCAATATTGAACCATTTGGTTAAAACTACTTTTATTTTAAACGGATACCCCTCTTCTGTCCGGTAGTACTCACTGCTCATCCCGATGGGTTAGTTTCGTTGAGCGCTATTAAAATATTATTCCATGAAATTGCACATCAGTCCATTCTGTTAAAGTACTCGACGCAGTTGTGCGCAGACAGCAGTGATTGTAAATGTTGCAAGAAAAAGATGATTTTTTGTTGGTCAGTCCAATTTTATTTGTCCTTCGAGTCTGATGCTCCTCTTCCGTCCCTACTCTGAAGTGATTGTGGTCTGTGGTGCGTCCTCCGATGGCGGCGGCGACTGTGAATTTGAGAGAACATTGAATATTTCAGTTTACATAGGATTTGCCAATCTTCAACGCATGGTGTCATCGGGTACGTTGTTCCGAAGTGTTTACCTCATGGGGTTCCTCATAATGCGGCAACAATGGGACGACGGGTGTGGCCGGTGAATCTGCAGAACGAGAAACATACTTTCATCTAAAACAAACACTTACATACATACTCGCTGGATTTTGGGAAGAACTTTTCTGCCTCATTTTGTTTACGGCAAGTTTTTAATTAAGGATACAAGTGAGCGAGTGAAGGAATGTTTTGGCGAAGGTCACAAGTCAGAGCAACGTGCAGTATCTGCAACGTGTGAGCTTGGTTTGGGGCTGGCCAAGGGTGTTTGAAGGAAAACCAGATTTCCTTTGTTGGGATTGGCCAACTTAATCTCATCTCGCCATTCTCACAACTTTACAAACTATTTACATGCATCAGCAGAGATAGTCGTTCGTCCGTCGGACCAGACCAGTTGAGCGTGAAACCAGAAATGTAACGCCAACAAATTGTTATGCACTTTAATTCACCAGATATTATTTAATAATTATTTTGTATGCATTATGCATCGATGAGTCAGAGGCAGGAAATAAAGTGGGTTTCACTTCGCTCGTCTGTGCAAAATACATTTGTGCACATTCTGCTTTAATACCAGATCAGAAATGGAGAGCGATGATAAATATCGAAACTGTATGATACGTTCTGAGTTAAATTCAGACTGGGATTCGTACCTTGGTTGTCGTAATAGTCGTCGTACTGAGGGTCCCATCCTCCAAACCTGGAATTAATTAATACAAATTTATAGGTTTGAAAAGTAAATAATGTTTCATCTTTAGTGGGCAAGTTTTGTATTACAAGTCGAGAAGGGCTTGTCCGGTTTGTAAGAAGCCCCACAATCCGATGGGTCTGGGCGCATAGAGGCGCCGCGTCGTCCTCTCCGCCGGTCGGAACTGCTCCTTCTCGTTGACGAGGGAGTGGCGGCAGGCGGGACAGTTCATGCTCACGATGAGCCACTGTCGCAGGCAAGGGGTGTGGAAAATGTGGTGACAGGGCAACGACTTTGCCTTCTGACTAGATAGCGTGTCCCAACAAATGGCACATTTTTCCTCCTCTGACGATGGCGACGACGACGAGCCGCTCGCATCTCCAAACACAGCGTCTGGGTAGCTGCAAATTAGGTTTCTCATTATTTCCGCATTTCCGCTTCTTTTTTGTGCACTTAATCATCTGTGAAAGTACTCGTCAAGAAGTAGACGAGCAAAAAACAGTGCATGCACATTCAGGATGGAGGAAATCAGGCGATGCAAAAACGTGTGATAGTTTTTGTCAAGAGAGATAAGCAGTATGCAAATTAGTTGGTATAAGGTTTAAGCGAGTGGTTAAGTGACTGCAAGGCAATATTCGTTAGACGTGCGAAAGTGACGAATTTATGGTTTCTTGCAATAATGCTCAAGTCAGGTGTCAAGCAAAATGACGACGCGGAGATTAATCACACACAATGCTAACAGCTACATAAATATATGTGAATGTGCATATTTATGTATGTATGTACATATGCATACGTACAGGACAAACTCGCGGAAATGCACAACAGCTATTCACATAACAAACATCGTGAAAATGGCACGTATGCGAATTATTAGCGTAAAAATTAGCGACTTGTCGTGACGGCAGGGAATGTTCCTTCTTCTCACCTGTCGATATGTTCCGTGAGCCACAAGTAGCACTGGCGCTTCTTGAGGACACGATGAATCTTTCGAACTCGATTTCTCATCTGCAGTGAAACGACCAGGGAAGTCATCGACAGGAACAAATTGCAACAGACCAACATGTGCACGTGATGAACCTGGAATTAAAAAGTTCAATCGTAATTAGTCTCAAATTAAGCAACATGTTGCAAAGTGACACGTACATAGGCAAGTAAGAACATACGTTCAAGAATGTGCATTTGCATTTTTTACGCCACTTTTTTTGCATAAAATGGTTTAAGGTTTAAATGCTGAGAGACCCTAAATTACATTGGTTTACAAAGTAATTGGTTGTGCAAGTCATGGTAGCGTCCGGTGTCATATTCAAAATTTGTAGAGTCAGACGTGTCTCTGAACAAAATTGTGGCAAGGCTTATAAATTTGGAGGTTCGTATATGCATAAAATTCCTCTGCGGGGGCGTCTCCTTGGGGCGAGATGCTGAAATTGTGATAATTCATGTGATGCATGCACTCTCAGGAGTGACACTCAAGGTATGAATCCCAACCAAAATTTGGTAATGCCCCATTATTCCTGTGTGAAACAACCCTTGTTTGTTGTCTTTGGATTACATATGTACATGACACACATGTATGTTCACTGCATCTAATAAGTCAGCATTCATCCCAGGTTGCAGTTTCAACTCGAGTAATGATTGTTGTAGATATTGCAAAACAGTCCCATTCCGTGACTTTGCTTTGTTCTATCTCAATTTGTGCAAATTATGTAGTTGGGCGAGTGGTGAGAATGCATTATCATTGCATCGTCGTCGCAATCGCTGTGACAAAGGGAGCACACACCTTGAGCCTTATCCCAGCTTCATCTCCTGAGATGAGACAAAGTGAAAAGAAATTCATTTTACTCCCAAATTCACCTCTTCGTCGTCGATTCACAATGAAGCTTATGTGCATACACACAAATTTGAATGTGTTAAATGACATGGAGCATGTGAGTCATGGCAAAGCTGCTACGATTCCCTCTCTCTCTCAACAATTGCAGTTTTTTATGATCACCATTTATTTATTTATAAAATTATTCTCAAGTGCAGTGGACTTTGACGAAACGAGAGATTTTCATCTACACAATTAATCCAATGGGTACCTCTTTTGTGGTTTAAGGAAGTCAAGGAAGGAGTGCCTTCGCTGGTAGATATGAGGGAATTAATTGTTCAGCCGCACATGCAGTGAGACGTATCCATCATGTGCACCAACCGTCAGAGTTTTCAAATTCAACTAAACTCGCTTTGGTCATGACATTTTGTGTATCGAAGCATTTTACAACACCATTAATTACAAGCGGAAGGGAAGGTTGGTCGTTATCATCGTTCGCGCTTGCTTGTTGCGTTCGTTCAATCAAGGAGTATTTTTATTCAGCCGGTAAATGATTATGATTGACGTATTATTATCGTCTTTGTGTTGAGTATGCTAAATTGTGTCAGATAAGTGATCCTGATAACACTCATTATTTGCTTCCGACCATCTCTACCATTTGTACAAATCGGGAAGGATGATCTGTGACCTAGCCTTCGTTGTAATAATAATGTCTCCTTTATCTACTCCAATGAATGACCATACAAATATTTGGATCCACGCTTTAACCACTGCGCACAACTTTGTCGTCTTTATCCTGAAGCCAAGTTTAGTGGATATTTAGTAAAAATACTTCACCAGCGTTGCAAGTAAACAAATCTATTTTTTGTTCTTACTACGGAATACGACATGTCAGAGTATTCTACCTGCTACTATTTGCCCACTTTATTCAGAAGCCGTAAAAAACTTGTTTCATGCACACAGAAGTATTTAAGTAGTAAACAAGTGCCGCAGTCTACGATACGATAGTACAAATATGACAAAAAGAGATCTCCTCCACTAGCAGATTCTTATTTGTACACACGCTGAACGCCGTGGTGGGTTTAAATTGCCTTGGCATTGACATTGAGCCTCTAGATGAAAGGCGGAGGAGATGGTTGGCAACGAACTTTGGCAATAGAAGTGTCGACTCATGATATCAAAGAGCCAACAGTTCAATTCTGCACACGGAGGGGGACACAAAGAAATAAATAATAAAAACAGCCACGCGTCGCCCAACTGATGATAATGTAAATGATAAATATGATCAAAGTTGATCCAAACATTTGCTCTCTCCAAAACTATTTGTGCAGTTAGCGTCGTGATGACAAAGACCTTGCACAATTAACACAGCCGATTATGTCATGGCGTTCGTATTATGCAAACTTTGCATAATAAGTATTTATAATAATACATAATAGATGACAAGGCGGAATAATTGTGGATAAATATCTACCAAATTTGCACTCACCAAATCAAAGAGCAAGGAGATCAAGTCGAATTTGAAGTTGATGGAGTGGCTGATGTTGGAGTAGGTCTCGTCACTGATTTGCTTCCCTTTGTACCATTTCGTCCGAACTTGCTCAAAGATGCAGATGATGAGGACGTGCAAAGTCTGGATGACCAGCAGCCCGAGCTCGCACAGCATAAAGATCACACTGTGGAGGCCCAGATTGAAATCTAAGGGAGCGCCTGGCGACGCCGACGCCGACGACGACTCTTGCGACGACCTAGCCGAGGCGCCGCTGCTGCTGCTTGAAGTGGTGGTTGCGAAGCCATGGCCATAGTAAACGGGTTTGATGTCCAGCGAGTCTGTCTCTTTGCTTCCTGCTCCTGAAGCGTAGCAAAAGTACCAGCCACCGACTCCAACGAAAAGGAGGATGGATGACACAAAGATGAAGCAGAGGAGGCCAAGAATCCGGTGTCGGCGACACTGCCCACGACGACTCCAGTCGTTCATTAGAATCAACTGCAAAGGCAAAACATTCAACCATTCAATGCAAAGTACATTCGAGCATAGTTTTCATTTTCATTACCACACAGAGAGACATGCATCAGCTTGAAATAGGCAGCAGCATATGCAACACGCCTTCAAGCACTTTTGACATTAACCTTGAATTCCAAATCATCAAATCTCCAGACCATATTTGCCATGAGTTTGTCGACACTGGAGTGTAAGATGTATGAATTTTGACAGGAAAACAAGAGGGTTGGACTAGAGCTAAGAATGGACATGCTAGAGAAGGGGGAAGTTGAGGATTTACATAATTGTGACGTTCCTGACAGAGTTGGCGTGCGAGTTGGAGACATCCGATGAGAAAGACGAAGAAACACCAGCCAACCGCGTCTTCCACGTCTTGCACGTTGACGACGCCAAACACGAAGACGACTTTGTAGAACACCAAGTTCCAAAACTGTTCCTTCATGTTGTCCTGCTCGGATGCTCGCAAGACGCCAAAGACCCTCCTCTGCACCGAGTGGCCCAGCAGAATCAGCAAACAGTAGCTCATGTTCAGCAGCGGCTGAAAATAAAACAAGACGTGATCAGTATTAAGAGACACATTTCAATTTAATTGCATTCTACTTAGAGACGAGTGGAAGACGGTAAAATTCTTATTTCTTATTAACAATAATAATGGAGATTCAATCGAATGTTGGTGGAGTGGACGTGAAGAAGCACCAGCTCGATTGTCGTACTTTTCCATGCGTACCCTTTGTGCAAAGGTACATTTGTACGTGTGCATGTATGTAAACTCAGATGGTGTTCGTGTAAATTCCAGGAAACTGAGCAGCAACAATGTGGACCAACCAGTTTTACACATTTTATGGTTTTCTTCTAGCATCACGACTACGCGTCATCCTACTCTAATACCAAAACGACGAGACGAATGTTCATGCGTGCCCTTGAACTGGACATGACCGAATATCCTTGTGTTGTATCTATTAGGCACATCTAAATGCCAACCAATTTGAAACTTACCCTTACGATTGTCAATACCGAAATAACATAAAATACACTATTTTTCCTCTCTCCTCTCATTTTCCCCTGCAATAAATGCCGACACATTCATTGTTGTTAGCAGCAAGCTGTTTATTCCCCCATCAACTGGGAGATGGGAATGGTTGGTAGTAAAATTAGCCATAAAATTACGGCAGATTATTTAACTAGGTATTTAATTTTATCTCGTGGTGGCTGATACTAGCTCCAATGCATCAAATTATAGTACTACTTATAATATTTATTTCAACTTTAAGCACATATTCCACGCAACTCACTCAATGCAAATCTGTAAGCAAGTTAGAAATGAAGAAAGTGATTTATACGAATGTTAATAGTAATTGGTGTGACAGAGACAAAAAAGGTCGTCTCATAATGAACAGGGTGCACGCTGAACTTGATTTTTCGCATTACTGCATTCCCATAAAACGCGGAGATCACAGGTAAAGCAGTTAGCCATAGGATCGTGCCCTTCAGTCAGTGTTTGCCACAGAGAAGAATAACGCTACGTGTTCCGCCCAACGAACGAGTGTCCATCCGCTCTCTTGTCCACGCTCAAGTCAAAACGACAGCCACGCAGTCCTGTGCGGAAAGATGCTCTGTACGAACAAATTGGCGACTCTGTCCCTAATGAATCTTCCCAAGGCCTAGACGAGCAGCCACCACAGCCGCCATGAGACGAGACCACCATTCCATCACTTTTACCATGCACGATCTCTTGACTCGATTCCATAAACTCTTGTAACGCGTCCAATGTCATCACAGCGCATGGAATAATATCTCTCCATCGGCTTTCCTCCTTCCAATTAAGTGCCCCTTAACCCAATCTTACTGCCAAAATATCTATTACATGCAATCCCATTACAGGAATTTCATCACGTGGTCTTTAACAACTGTTTGAACCCACGTAAATATGTGTACAGTGGATGAAATGGAAAGTGTCAGACTGAAAATGAACTGAAATTTGTTTAATTCAAGTGTTGTTGTTAATTTGGTTTAGATTTTTTTGTGGTTATGTTTAGCCGAGTGTTTATTTATGTACAACTGATCCTCCGTAATCAGAGAGTGGTCACTTAACATGGCGAATTAGCACTTGACATGCTATTCTTGTCCACACTGACATGAAATCAGTCCTTTGAAGTGTACATAGTTTCCAATTGCAAATTCAATTAGCGACTCCGCCTGTCCGCCAGTATGAAGTCGAGCATTGTGAATAAAATATGTGTCAAAGCTAATTGACTGCACGTCTGACATAAGTCCACAGAACGCGAGACCAAGGACCCCCATCTTCTCCTAAATATCTGCATGTAAACTAACGACTGATTTATGCACTATTTCAGAAAGAAGCATCGTGGCATAAAAAAAGTCTGCCCCGTATGCATACTTCTTAACGCCACTTCAATAATGGGATGCAATTTTAACTAGTGTAAAGTTAACTTGAACACTTTTAATAATTGTTAAGTGACCAGTTAAACGAGACGTGACTGACAATGCTGACTTGTGGCATAACGGGATATTAGTGTGGGAATTAGTACACGATACATGTATTTATTTACAACAGCAGCGGATTTCCTGAAATACTTTATCATATGAATTTCGCATAAATATCTGCACGCGTTTTTTCATGTTGCACACACCACATTAGTGTACTTAGGTAAATGTGGGATGCAAATCGTGGTGATGAAACAGGTGCAAAAGCCACACGGCATTCATTCTCCTTACGTGCTGATACATATGTGCAACCCCTCCGGGAAATTGTTTGCGTGGAACGTGGACATGGAAAATCACCACTTGCAGAAAATAGCATAGTAAATGGCCATCCATCGCCACGACGAGTATATTTAGCCACCTATCCCCGAGCTTTATTGCTAAATACCTCCTTACAACGTATGCCGACTTACTAGTTGCTATCAACCAATTCCCCGTCCTGTTATTTGTTTCTCATCGTACACTAGTAATGAATATACGCAAAGAAAACCTGTTGACTTTGGTTGACCAGCCTCTCAAAAATAGCTGAATAACAGATGAATGGATGCTCATTGAGAAGAACCGGATTATACATCTTGTTGTACACTTCTTTCGTCTTACAGTTTCAAGGTTTCTCACCCGACCCTCAACTTTGAGGAGATGTTGTTTGACTAATCCTTCAACCTCTCGAATCCCTAAAGATCGAATCCCTCCTTACTTTTACAACCCGGAAAATAGTATGGAATATTTTGAAGGAGGAAGGAGGTGAACGTACCCAAACACAATGAGGTTGTTGGCTCGCCATGTGAACAACGTTCCAACTCATATGAAAATAGGCGTCGAGGGCAGAGTTGCCGGGAGCTTGAGGGAGGGAGGCGTTGCTCATTGTTGGGTGAATCAGGTTGTTGGCGTCGTCGGGAATGAGGTGGTCCAACAACTTGGTTCCCTTCGGAGGATGGTGTGCCGGGGTCAGGTGGGGGTTCGTGTAGTACTCCTTGAAGGTCTCGTAATTCGCACTGAAAATCCCCTCCTCAGGCTGGTACAGGTGCTCCATTTCGCCTCAAAAGTTTCACTCTCGAACTGTGTCACCACTGATATTTTTTGGACGATATTCACTAATGGATAGTTGGAAGATTGGCGACGGTGCAAGTGTGGAGCAGATAAGTGATGTGAGCAGTAGTATAAAAAATCACAAACGAGGGAGCAATGAAAAGGGTTAAACCACAAGGCCACCACGTGGATGTACAAAAATAGAACAGGGATAATAATATGTATGCGGGCGTTATTAAGGGTCCAGTCACACTTACATATATTTTGACACCACACTACACTCGCTTAATATTTGGATATTTTTTTACGTTTTGCCTGCGAGAACAAAGTGCATTTCTTGTCGCGCAATGAGAACCCTGAAAGTTCACGCCAATGCAAAAACAAAACACTGTTTCATATTGCGACTTGTTGACGCTTTTTTAAATGGAGAGATAATAAAATACACCAAAAAAGTCAATTGCGCTGAATACGTGTCTCCTCCGCATGCTCGCTCAAGTCATTTTGTACTAAAGTCAGATAAGCTGCACTCCATACGCGAGATGTTGGTAAACAAAACTGCGATAAATATAAAACACATCAATCCACCCGAGTGAACTTTCTATCAAAGTTGTTGAAATAACAACGCAGTTCTAATTCCAGCAGCTTTTCCTTCAGTGAAGCAAATTATCGTTTCATCACAACAAGTGGAGCAAAACCTCTCCGTGCTTACAAATTGCAAGGATACGCAAACTTATGTAGAGCAAACATACGCCGAGTGTTATTAACAACGGTGTTCATGTCCTGTTTTGTGCGACTTTTAGGAGCAGTAGTCACAAGCGTCGAGTTGTTGAACCCAGGAGTTGTCGGAGCAAAAATAAAAATAATAACACGCACTGCAAAAACACCCTGCACAAACGGATATCAATATTTAACATGAACTTTCCTCCGACCACTGACTTGAACAAATTCGAAACCTGATCAACTTGCGGTTTCACTGGTGCGAGAGAGGAGAGGATGAAACGACGCTTCATGCAGTTCGAGTGGCGAATGACTCCAACGCAGCAGCAGCGTTGTCGGACAACGAGTTACTGCTTATTATTCTTACGTGCAATGGCATTACCTAACTTCACCATTCGCGTTGAATGTATGTACATGTGGACATACAAACGTGCACAAGATGAGGGGAGCACAACCATCGCATTGTATTCATCTTCTTCCTATGTATCCATCCAGCTCTTTATCTATCATCATCCCGTGGCAGTAGTACATCTGCACTTAGACCCATATCCAATCCAAGCAGAGTCTAGCAAACAGATTCACTTCAAGTTCTACTATGTATTTACAACAACGCCAGTGAATTGGACCTGCATGGAGGAGTTTGGGCAGGCAAAAAATTGGCAATAAGCCTTCATCTTGGTCTTTGATACACACAACTATGAGATATGATCCCACCTAAAAATGTGGTTTTGGGCAGCTACACACAAAAGAGCGGATTCTTCTGGCGTGACATGGGTGATATTATATTGGATTGAATTAAAAGGATTTTTATATACTTTTTATACACCTGTGCTCCCATGATGTTGGTATAGTTTCCATCCGTAGCACGGTATTCTTCTTGTCTGTACAAATCTTTTAAAACTGGGCATTGAATCCACTCCTCCCCTCATTCCAATTCCACTAATGTCCATTTCACCAGAAAAACATCGCGCATCGATCAGGTATGAAAACGCCCGTTCAACCGCATGAAATGTTCGATGATAACCATTTTCACTCTCCGGTTGACAACCAACCACGTATCAAAACTCTCGCTCTCTTCAAAAACAGAGGTTTTGGCTGACACTATGTATTATTTATGTACATGCGAGGAGGGCATATATATAAATATGCGTGTATATGCCTCAAAGTGCGACGAGACTTCTTGCTGGCATGCATAATGAATTATGTATTTGAGTCGATTATTTAGTTATTGATGAGCCGAGCCCACTTCCGTGCTGTACGAGAAGAAGGGAAAGTTATAGCATGGTGGTGCAGATAACAGCGGAGAGACGACACTGAGTCACCGAGTTGAACTCTCCCAACAAGCCACATTTGGATATGATCAACACAGACATTTGACATTTTGAGTAATAAGTCACTGCAATAAAAATACGTACTTATTTTTGTACTGATGCCAATACGGCTTTCCAAAAGCTTTTATGAGTTCATGTAATCCGGTGGTATATAGTACTCAATACTCACAAATAAATACAACGATTTGCTAACTGTGGACAGTACGATCTGGGCGAACAGTAACTACACCATGGATCTTTAGATTATTACTACACTGACTGAACTGGGCCAGTTTATGAACTAGTTGATTGACACTTTTGACTCGACTTGTCTTGACAATTTGTAAGTATGAAAAATGATGTTGGGATGTAACGATAACGAACCAATTCCGATATGGAGCATTTCCAGCTGAATTTGAAATTTTACGAGCAGCGCGAAGAAACTTCTCACTCCAATGCAGAAGTTTCCTGGAAAAGCTGGAGAAACCAATCTGCATGTTCTCCACAAAATGTTGCATATGCATTTATGTGAGAACTATTACTGGTAATTTGGACGACTCCTGTGAGTACATTGAAGCTACCCCATGCTCACATAAGTACATATGCTATGTGCATAAAAATAATCACCCTGATTTATTTGTACGTATGTAGGAAAATGCATGCATGCTTGTTGTATTTGTATTTTTGTATTTTTGAAGAATAGTAAAGTAAAATTTATTTATTGAGTTGCTTATGATTAGTTTTACACGGTGGTGTTCCCGCAATGCAAATTTCTGAGAACTTTAAGCTCCTCTTCAATTTTCACGTTCAACTCCTCAACGGCTTCGTCTGTGGGCAAGATGTTCTTGTCGGCGCTGGCTATGATTCGCATTCCGTGGGCATAACTCATCATGCAGAATCCTACGCCTAGGAATGAATGAAAGCACTTAAAATCAGTTCTATACTTGAAATATATGTAGCGATGTATAATTAATTTTGCGTACCAACATTGCCCGTACCCATTCCGGCAGAAAAGTTGATGTCCAAAACTTTGTTGTTGTTTCCACCCGCAATGAAATGCATGCTTTCTGCGGGTCCTGGAAAGTTGGATGTGAGAACGGTAGAGAAATGGTTGAAGGAAAACCAGTCAATCATCCACGTGAAGAGTCCTCCGAATACGGGGATCATTAGGAAACTGAATAGGTTCACTGATGATTGTTTCAGTTTCTTGTAATTTTTCTCAATCTTCATCAATCTCTTTTTCGGATCGGATACTCCAACAGGCAGCGACATGAAGGAGAAGATACTAAAAAAGAAGACAAACCTGCCTGTAATCACCTTCTCACAATTGTCGCCCTTCTTTTAAATTGTGTAACGCACAAGTGGTTCCTTAGTTTGTCTGGATGGCCTGGCATTGGCACTGCTACAGCCGTGGTCATTTTTCTCGGCACTTTCGCACCTCTCTCAATCATGGAATTCCTTATACCTGTGGTCGAAAGCATACAATTTTACCATCAATTTTACCTACAATGGAATTCACAGAGCACAATTAATTTACTCGCAGTGAGCGCCGCCATGATGACGCTTGTGAAGCTCACGTTGTTCCCGTTTTTGATTTCTTTGATGTACTTTAAAGGAATTCGTGGGGTGAAGGCGGTGTTGAATGGTCTCTCCAACGTCTCCTGGGACAAATGCCACTCGTTCTTGTCCTTACTTTCCACCATGAGCGTCATAAAGTCGTAGGGAGCACGGAGCCAAGAGAATATTCTGTTCAAAAGTACTCGCCACGTGCGACCTCGCCCCTTCGGCAACTTGGCAGGTTTTGCCACACGTTCCAACCCCACCTTGTTAAGTCGTTTAAGCAGTAGCCACAATATTGCGTAACCGTCACAAAATCCGTGATGCACTCTGAAAATCAAGACCGATTTGTTCGATTCTGTAGTGGGGGCAGGAGCAGAGTGGTCATCTTCCTCTCTGAAGTTGGGAATGAACAAGAATTCCCAAGGGCTTTTTTCGTGTCCGAACGGTTCTGATGTCAACCCTTTGATAATTTGACGTAGCTCTTTGTTAGTCGTCACTTTTTCGAGATAACTTCCTCCCTTAAGGTTTTCAAAGTAGTATTTCATGTGTTCTCGGATGTCGAATGCTTTCTCCCACTTCCAGAAGAGAAACCCAAGCCATTTGGCGTAGTATTGCTGGTACTCTGGGTTCACCAGCTCCCCTTTGGAGTTCGTCTCCAAAACTATGTCGTGTAAGAAGGTTTGTCGAAACTGAACAAAATCCAGATTGCCATCCAGGGTAATCCACACGCAGAGGTTCCACTTTGGGTTGTCACTGGCATTATCCGTGGCTATCACTGCGCTCCGAGTGTTGATCAGGTTCCCGAGGTCGCGTCGAAATACTTTGCGAGCCATCGTCACAATGAATCGAAACAAGTAAATGGGAACGCATATTGAGAAACAAATTGGAAACAGCGCAAGGAAAAGTAGAAAGAAAATTAGAATGTAGAATTGAGCCTTTAGTTTTTTGAAGATTGACTTGCGGCGTTCCATTGTTGAATTAGCGAATCTCGCAGGTGAGAGGTTGACGATCGAATGAGTGCATAAATTAAACAAAGAGCTTGAGTCTGAATATTTTTGACATGATGTTTCGTCCAGCGGTGACAGAATACATTCTTCTTGACCTGACGACATGTGAGAGAGTGCCAGCATGCAATGCCAACTTTGCACGTTACATATGTCAGAAAGACGTCGATCTTTCCATCGGAATGGCTGCATGCGATGCCACTCTTACAACAATGCATAATTTTCGTCCTCAAGAGGGGAAGCTATGAAAATAATCTACCAATTGTATATCTGACTGATTTTAAGGTTTAATCAACGTGTTGTAGCACTGTATGTTTTATGAATGATATCTGAGTTCACGACATCTTTTTTAGTTTCAGATTTAGATTTACCCATGGATGTATAGGATTTACCTTAATATTCGTCCATACTAAATATGCACATAATGCATAATATTCATCACACCACAGTTATAACATAGCTCAACTACTTACCTGTTAGTAGAGTAATGATGATCCTTAATTTTTCATACTGATTTGCATATACAAGTACTATTCGTTGGCATAAAATCAACTAATACCGAGTTGGTATGTTTCCTCGTGCCCTGCTGAAAACCCCGGCAATGAAAATGGCAACAAATCCACCTCAGCAAATCCAGTTGTCAATTTTGTCACACTTTTGCACTGGCAATACTTCAAATCAAAGATCGGGGTCAAATATTTTGCACTAAAAATAAAGCAGTAACGTTTCCCGTGCCGTTTTTTGCTTTCGTTGCTGTTCGGAACATGGAATTTGCAAAATTATAGCAAAAATGGCGTGTGATATATGAAAGATAGTCTTTTTAGTTTTTGAAGTCCGAATTAGATAATTCATATTTATTTATCAGAATATTAGAATGTTCAAGTTTTCCTGGTCTCTGTTATTTAGTGGCATATTCACCGCCTATGTATTACACTCAATTTATTCCATTGTCGGGATTTACATTCCACCAACATGTGGGGACGGAAGTCATTGTCTCAAATCGTTCCTGGCGAACAAGCCCAAACTTCAACTTATCCTAGGGACCACTCACAAGTCAGAGTTAAGGTCATGGAAAGAACTCACCCTCGTGGACAGATGGACACCCTTCGACTACACCAAAGACTTAATTATCAAGTATTTATATCGTTGTTAAATTTACTAATGGTTTACTAATGGTTTACAGATGGTTTCGAATTTGAATTATGTACAAATTACTTTGTTTCAGAAACATCACCATTCCACTGCCGAGACAAACGAGAAAAAATGGGACCCTTCATATTTATGCGTTTGCTGCGCCCATGCCACGTTCTGCGGATGAAACTGAATATTGGGATAAGAGTTTACAGAGCCCTACAACAATCATGGCATATTTCCAGTTGACCCAATATCTTGTCCCGGAAGCTGCAACTTTCAATCTTCTCAAGGACTCTGATGTAACGATAAGTTATACTTACTGGCATACGGCATTCTTTTTTAATGTAAACAATATTATTCTGTCATTACTATGCTGCAGACAAAGGACCAGAAAGCCAAAGAAACTCTACAACCAAAGAAAGGTCAAGAAAAACCGATTGTTCACATCGCCAAAAAACTAAGGCTGACAATGCTGACCGATCCGCTTGTTTTACCTTCGAGAGATTTGCCGCAGGATTTTTCTGGCTTGATTCGGTACGTCGCCAATTAAAGAAATTTACAATAAAAGACTTGCATAATTATTATGCGCACTGTGCACATACTATGATTGATTTTATATTTTATGCAATTTTATTTTCTCTCGGCAGACTAGTTTCATCGGACACCTACCTACCTCCCATGAGATTCGACAGATTTAACAGTAGGCTGAGAGATTTCTATAAAATTAATGACACGGATACATCTTACGAAATGGAATTTGAGTTTGCTCCAGCTTCTATTGGCAGTATCAGGTAATTAATCATCTTCTCAGGAAAATAAAGACTATAATAGTTGACGTTACTAGGTTCTTATGTCTTATGTCAACAGAATGGCTGCACAATTTCAAGCCGCCATGGACGCTATGAATGTTATTGGGTTCACATCGAAAGACATGGACGAGATCAAGGGGGTTTTCGCAGACACAAATGTGTATCTTTTAGCACTTACACTGTTTGTAGCGTCTATGCACGTGCGTAATTTTGATGTTTGTCAATTCCATTCATAATTAATTGTAATTATTTTTTTTCAAAATTACAGCTGTTGTTTGACTTTTTGGCTTTCAAAAATGACGTCATTTACTGGAAGCAACGAAAAACAACTGCAGGATTGTCGTTCCGAACCATAATCTGGAGATGTTTTAGTCAAACAGTTGTTTTCCTCTACCTATTGGAGGAAAAGTCGAGCATGCTCGTTATATTACCTGCTGCAATAGGATCCGTCATTGAGGTCAGTTAATACATATCATTCATCATTGTTCGTCCTGGATTGATTTATACAAAATTGACTGCAGATGTGGAAGGTGTCAAAAGCACTGAAGGTTACCATCGAGTGGAAGAAGGGGAGCTTACCTCGTTTATGTTTCGGCAAGTTTACAGAATCCGAAATGGCCACTGCAAAGCATGACGTAGAGAGCATGCAGTACCTTTCATACATCATGTATCCGCTATGCCTGGGGGGCGCAGTCTACTCCTTGTTGTACACTCCTCACAAAAGGTACAGAAACCATAGATGGCTGAACCTTTTGTCCAGCTACCTCTCCCCTGTACACATTTTACATTATTTTACCCATTTATGTTTTACGTTCAAATAATCTCTTATTGTTTTAGCTGGTACTCGTGGACAATCCAGAGCATGGTGAATGGGGTATACGCTTTTGGATTCCTGTTTATGCTACCTCAATTATTTATCAACTACCGGCTCAAGTCAGTGGCGCACTTACCCTGGCGTGCTTTCATGTACAAGGTAAGTCAACAACGGCCTTTCTTATGTGCTATAGTTTATTCATCATCTCATTGCCACAAAGGTCTAAAATTTGTTGTCTCTCTTGAAAATGACAGGCTTTTAATACTTTCATTGACGATATATTTGCGTTCATCATAACAATGCCGACCGCACATCGGGTCGCTTGCTTCAGGGATGATATAGTCTTTATAATCTACCTGTATCAGAGATGGTATGGTTTTTTGTGCTCCTTAATTTAATAAACCAAGAGTATTCTGATGAAAGTATGTCTATTCATTTATAAAATATGCAGGCTGTATCCAGTAGACAACACTCGAATTGATGCTGGAGGAAGTGTCGAATATGAGGCTGAGGAGTCGGATAAGAAGACGAAGTAGTCCTGTTTTAAACCTGCGGACACAACAAACTTAAATTTTACCCCGTGGCAATTGTGTCTTGTGCTCTATTGTTGATGTTATCTCGACACTTTTCTTATCATGAATTATCACGCTGCAGAGTAAATGCAACCTTTGTCAAAAGTAATCATAAATAAATACGTACATTTAAAATATGGCTGTGTAACGTCGGTTTTTTATTCGAAAGATAACTTTCCAACGGTGTTTATAATTTAATAATATTTATTTACATCTTATGCGTTCGGAACAGGTATCACTCAGGTTCATCCATATTGCACTAGTTGTACATACATATAACTAACAAAATTATCCACATTTAACAATACTCCGTTAATTCTGTAGTTATATTTATTACTTAGCTGCTTGTAAGTAGTGGGTAGTGATTTATTTATTTGTTTGTTTGTTCTTAGCAATTATGACTGGATAAATAATCCACCCGTCGATTATATATGCTTCTATGGTACGAAGAGGTCAGCTAAATGGGCAAACTACGTGGGTTTTGCTTGCCATTCAATGAAAATACATCCTAAGTCCGCATTTATGCTAATAATTGTCATCTTTGGAATTGCGACAAGAATTAAGATTCACACTTGTGTATGTCGTAAGAGCTCTCTCATAAATATGTGGAAAAGGTAGAGTTGTACTGTATCTGCACATAGATTATATCAGATTGAGACCTACGTAGGAAATATTGTGATTGGTGCCCTGTTAATTTTTGAAGGACTTGTTTTTGTATAGAGTCAGTTTGCTCCAAAAAGGGATAAAGCTAGGAGAATAAGTCGATATTGATACGTTTAGGTTTCCTTTGTTTGTGGATAAGCTTCTTGGCATCAGTACCGCAGTTCGCTACCCAACGACCAACGAACTGCGATTGAAAAAAGGGTTAAAATTTGGTAGTGGACCAATACTACATAGTGGTGAAAAAAGGTTAATTTCTCGAGTCAACCTACATATATGCAGACAGGCATATGGATAACTTTGGTCTATTTTCAATAGTAATAAAACTGGGAAATGTATTGAAATTGAGATTACACGATATAAATTGGATTCAAATTCGAGTACACATAATCAGAATTAAGAAATGGGTATCCATATTTAGGACAAGAAGGTTTGGAAATGTGTTTCTTGGTTTCGTTTCATAAGGGGATTGCAATGCAGGCATTCTGCGAGTCGTGTAATATTTCTAGTTCTTTGCAATCCTATCACAAATTGGTAACTTTTTCATCCATCTGACGAACATGTTGAATCACACGCATATCGACGTATTAAGGTATTTGACACTCTTACCAATCAACATACGCCATCCAGTCAGACTCAACGACATCCTCTTCTACACGTGCGTACTTTAACTAACTACAGATAATATATTTGCATACGTATGTATGTAGTGAATACTTTCTAATTATTATATACTCCATTGCATTTGAATAAACCTTTTCATTTATATTTTCTTCCCTGCATGATAATACGCAGTTAAACATTGCTTTCTCTAATATCGATTCGCTATAGTACACACACTAAAATACATATGTAGATCTGCTTAAAAGGTATTCGTCAACATTTGCATTCATTGCTTGGTTTCTGTGTGCAGCTTTGTGTGACACTCAAGTCCCGTCCGGGTGCCCTTAACATTACGCTTCTTGTCCTACAGCTTATTGTGTGAATTAGTTGATTGTAACGACACGTTGTTGCAGGAAGGTCACAAATAGGTTTCAACGCGTGGAGTGCTCCAGTTTCAGCATTCCTCCGTCGCCGGTGGTTCTTCCGTCGATGGGGAGCTTTTGGATTTGGCATTTTCTGCAAATTCGACAAAAAATGTGTTCACTGTTCATCAACATCATGGTTAAACAATGAGTTTGTTTAATACTCGCGTTGGGAAAATGGGGGTCTTTTCAGGATTTAGGAAAAGTATCTATGTGTACGACGTAGAAGATAAGGGAGCACGGAAAACTCCATCAAAGTTGGTGGAACTCTGTCCATGTGAGTATTTCATTACAACTCTTTTGCGTCATTTGTCAAGTACTTGTTTAAAGGGCAGAACTTTGGCCTCTTGAAAAATCAGGACGCTGCGCAATCCCTGCGAAAACTCCTTTTTCTCTCCCTTTGAAGAAAACAATACAAAGTGAAGCATGGAATAACTCTGCAGGGGGAAAAGTGGACAACGAAGGAGAAATAATTTCTTTTTCACCACTTCCACCATCGGCAGAGAGAGTGAGTGAGAGAGTGAGGGAGAGAAAGTAGAAAGTAAAACATTTTGCCATCATTCAGTGAGAGTCAATCGGATTTCCGTTCTATTGACTGGCTCATAGTCGAGAAGTGGGAGGAGGAGGTGGGGAAAATGAATGGCTTTTGGTCAGAAATTGGCATGTATGAGTTCCACCACCACGACGACGACGACCAAAAGGAAGAGGAAAGTGAAAGCACTTCATCCAACAAAGCAATTTCTTCAACCCACCGACCAATATCCTTCCCGGCCCCAAGGGAGTGGATGGAATGGAGCGACATGGAGTGAACCGAGTAAGCCACGAGATTTATATGGATAGAAATGTGTGTGGTCTAATGCAATAATGGTCTCAAAACCTCAACCATGGATTCATTTTCCACCAATATCACACACAAACAACGAATGACTCAACTATATCAATTCCAACTGCCAGCGATGAAACGTTAAGCTAAAATAATGCTTTTTTCCATTGATCCGCCACGAAGAAAGAGAGAATAAGAGGCTAATTTGTAAACGGAATGGCATGGCGTGACGACGAATCTGGCGGTGAAAGCATAAATAAACCAGCGGACGAGAAGATCTCTCTCTCTCCTGTGCGTTTCCTTCACCACCCTCCTGCCCTATCGTCCTCAGTTCATGCTGATGGGGAGTTGAAAAACCAAGAATGGTCAATAATCCGTACTTGCTGCCATTTAATTTAGTCCCCACAGACTGTAGAATATCTTTTCTTGCAAATCCACACGCATAAAATATAACCAAGGGTTTTCACATCACTTTTGTGGTTTGGTTTGCTTGCGTGCATTGTTCATACTCGTGCATTTTGCTGAAATTATTTTGTTTCATTGTGCTCACTTTATTTATGATGATGCCCTTTTCACTTGTTCCAGGTTGGGAGTACCACCCGCCTTTTCCGTTGACCACCCATCTCCCACATGCTGATCGATAATTACCAACAGTGTGTCTATTAACCAAAGTCATGAGGCAAAACATGTCACGAACACACGACGTTATGCAGAAATATGTCTACCGCTCACCAATCTGAATTGAGAGAAATGGAGAAAGCAGCAGAAGAAGGAGCCATCGCTGCTGGGTGGGCACGTGTGTGGGCAGGTTAACAAGGACTGATGACGGTTAATTATATGCTTAAGTAGAGACGCTGCTTGGATGTACAGGATTCAAACGTCAGAATATGTTTCTTAGTATGGGAGAGATTCAAAGGAGACTCGCACGTCGATTTATACCCTGTCACCAAGATTTGCAAGATACAATATCTCGGCCCTCTAAACATCGTCATAAATGAAGGAGGAGATGTTTGGTCTCGCTATGGCTAATCCATGGGTGCGGAATTGTCCTCATCATCAGTAACGAATTGCGATGTAGTTTGAGAATAAAGTGAGTGAGCAGGTGCTTTCTCCCCTCCCTGGCCGTGCCAAATTTTGAGAACGAAACGAAATGTATCTTGTGCGGAGATTGCGAATGACAATTATTTATTTACTTTGTAAGCGAGTGGGCAGGTAATGCTTCGTGGTGACGTCGACTCCTTAATAATCTTCAACTCACTTCACTGGAACGTGGAAAATGTCGGTGAATGAGATATTAATTTCTGTACGCATGCAACATCTAAATATTTACTAATCCGCTTATCATGCTTCACTGAATCCTCTCGCAATACAGGATCACACAAATTATGCTAAATCAGATCGTACGCTCTGCACACGAATTGTTGAATTGACAACAAAGCATCACAACTGTGTGGGAACAACACGCGCAGCTCGAAAGCTCGGTTTGAGTGAGAGAACGATTCGAAGGACCAAGAGTCGAAAAGCGTAGAGATTATTCCAATGTCGCCTTGGTTCTGGTGGCGTGGCGTTATTGGCGTTATTGGCGTCATCGCGTCATTCGCTAAACCAAATTATGTGTGGTGGTGGGATCAGAGGAGCACATCCATTCAACCAGCGAACGAGAGATGAGAATGGAAAGGAAGGAAATGAGAGGAAGCCGTCCAATGCCACACACCGTCCCTCCGACCTCGAAAGATGGATGCTTGGAGTGAAAGGAGGCAGCTTTCCCCTTTCATCCTCCTTCGCCAACAACCTGGGTGGCGTGTGTGTGGGCTGCATCCAATCTTAAGCAACGCCTGACCCGGTGCGGTAACCATCCAATTAGTCCCTTAGAAAAGTCAGGGCACAAAGACACCTTTGTGGAAATATTAAATATTGAGAAAATTATTAAGGGATGAATTGAGGCTGGGATTTCATCCTTCTAATCATCACTCACTCCCACTTTGTCACCCAGTCGGAAATCGTCATCCTCATTCATTCCTCATCATCATCATCATCTCTTCTCAATGCCAGGTTTATTCTCCAAAATAGCACAATTTGAAAAGGAGCCGAGCAGGAGTACAGTACCCTTGCCTGCCCAATTAGGCCCACTACACGTATTTATTATGCACGTATTTATTATGCACGTATTTATCAAGTATTATAATCTTGGCCAATTTTGCAAATACGTCCGCATGCTCCTCAGCCGCTGGATGGATGGAGAGGAATAGTAATAAATGTGTTCAGACTGGCTCACGCTACCCCGAAACGAGTCTGGTCAACCTATTACCTGATTATTATTGTGCGGCGTTGACTTGACTTCCATAAATCTTCTGGGATCGACATCCCCACACCTTTTGGCACTGCTTTGCACATCTTGGGACTAATGCAAGGAACACGTCTTCATGTTTCCGGCCTTGCACGGAGCAATTGAGGAAATGAGAATTTTACTGCCGTGTGTCACGTAATTCCGTGTGAAGAAATGTGGGTGCAAAAGTATGTATACTATCCAAGTCTGTGTGTGCAAATAACACGAGCTTCTTGGAAAATCTTACGATAAAATGTGGAGAATTGGAGAAGGCAATATAATAATATTAGCCAACAACTTGGTCCACGAACGACTACCTATTTCGTCTCAAAGTTTTGCAGCTTTCGACAAAGCAAAAAAGTTTACATGGAAAGAGGAAAAATTGTTGAACTTCGTTTTAAATGTAATTGAATAATTGTTCGTTCTCAAAATTGGAATAAAAAACTCATTGTTCAAAAGGTCCTACTCCCCGTTCAATTCGGGAGCATTTCATGCATGACTGACTTGACAATTCACAAAGAATTCAAAAATCAATCAGAGCTGAATCAGTTAACGCAGGTAACTGTTTTAAAACTCTTTTTGTAAGAGTGAGATTGACGCAGAGATGTCAATGAAAAGTGGGATGAGTGACTTTATTCAAGTCGAGTCTGCCTGCCTGCCTGCCTCTTATCCGCTATCATCCATTCCCATCTCATCGACGTCGTGATCAGCAGCAGAAAAAGACTCAATTCCGTCGTTCCTCTTGCTCACACTTGAACACTTTTGATAAGAAACAATCCATGCTCCCCTCAGGAGAAATTGACAAGGACGACGACGACGTCTCTGACTGGTAAATATGTACGCAAATGAGTCAGTCTCGTCCCCAGTTTCTCGGAAAATCACAATTGTTTTCATCCTACTCAAATGTGACGTGAGGCAAGTTTCTGACATGTTCCAATAAATATACATATATCAAAAGGAGAAGAAGTGAATCTCCTCTCGCGTTGGGTTTCAGATTCCTGGGATTTGGATGAAGGGAAGACAGGTCGCGAGGAGAGAGAGAGGGACGACGAAAGTCTCTCATCTTCCTCTCAGAGGACGGAACGGAACCATTATTGGATTGCATCAAGTCAGTCGGATGAAAGTTTTATCAGATCACATAAAAAGAAATGGCGATGAATGAGTGAGTGCCGAGTGAACAAGTTTTATTAAATCTTACCCACGAGGGTGCATATGAATTCTGGGTCATATTGCTATTACACACACAGAAATTCAGCCATTGCTCAACCCACTACACTTTCACCACTTGCTCTCGTTAAGGAGATCCTACACGTCCACCACCACAAACAGACCTCCATCCACCAGAGAGACTATAACAACGCACACATTGAGTCAGCATCTCCTGGCATGGCTTTCTTTTAGACTTTTCTCGCCCAACCCAACCTTCGTCATGATATGGAGACGCGTCTGCAGGTACCTAGTACCCACACATATACGGCTTCCTCACTAATAGTTGATCTGGGTCGGGGAGGTTATGTTACGAAAGATCCGTAGGAATGGAGCAGGGAGATGAAAGAGGAGGAATTTCGTCATGGAAGGAATTTCATGGGGATGGAGAAATTAGATAAAGAAAATCACCACCACCAGGGCAGCAGCAGTGGAGTCTTTCTCTATTTGATTAGGACAGCAGCCTTACCTGCAGCAATCATCCTCCACTTTGCTTTGTTCTCCACGAGGTGGTTGAGCCAAGGTCGCAGAATTGGGCCATAGTTATGGTTGGGGCCGCCTTGGAGGGGGAAGCTGGGCGTTCGGGAGCTGAGCGGCAACTTGGTACAGGAGGAAGAGGACGATGCGGCGGTGGCGGCGGAGGAGCTGTCCATCTTGATGTTGTTCTCAGACTCCGTCCGCCTCGTCGTCGTCGAGTTGGAGGAGGTTTGGAATGGTTTGGCGGGCGTCTTGGTGGTGGGAGGAATCTTGCCCCCAGCAGCCCGAAAGTTGGGGTTGGGCGTGGGGGGAACGGTGGAGGATCCGCCCGGGTGAGCGGAGGAGACTGGTCCCTCGTCCGATTTGAGGAAAAAGTCAATCAAATCACTCAAAATGCTCAAGCTTGGCTCCACGATGAACTCAATAAAACTGATTTGAGACTCGGGGATGAGAACCGTGTTTCGGTCGCAGAGGGGACTGAAGGGCAGTCCTACGTACACAAAACAAAAATGTCACTCTCATTTTTCTCAATAAGATCAGTACCTTGAATTCTTATCGAAATATTTATTGACTCGAATATATCTCCCTTTGCGTTGTGTCTACGTATATATTTGCATATTTTATTGGAACCTTACCCAATTTGGCTTCTTCGTCCCCTTGCAGGAAAAATTCGTCCAAAATGGTGTCTGCGAATTTCTTGTGCATTCGCCAGGGTTTACCGGGATGGCTGATGTCCGCCGCGTGGAGAAGCAGCGACATGAGGGACATTGTAACGGAAGGGGACGATCTGTAAGATTTGGGAACATGAGAATCAATGGGCATGTGAATTCCACTTCCACCTATTACAATAAGCTCAATAATAAGAATGCTTTGAAAGAATGTATCATCGCACAATCTGGGTCGTCATGTCCTTTCTTAATTCAAAATATTTTGTTTTCCCAACGGAGGTGGTCCAGCAAGAGCTAAAAATATCCGAATTTGTCTTATTCTCACCCACGTAAGTTTCGTACCTGGAACAAAAAGAGCTAAATCTAGGCACAAGAGGGAAAGTTGTCGCTGCCCTGTAAATGCATATTTTCCGGAAGAAGGTGAAAGTACAAATTGTTGACCGAAAAGCGGGAGAGTAAACTCTCCGTATATTCGCACAAGCCTATAATATCTAAGTGTGTAGGAGAATACGAGTGGAGCCATCAGTCCTAAACCCAGTCGTCGTCGTTTTAATTGGGAGGGAGTTGTGCATATCGAAATAATCGTGGGCTGTCTATCTGTCGCTGCTCCTCGTCTCGTCCGGTAACTCAATTTATTTATGATATGAAAACGACTGCTGCCTGACTCAAAATTTAATCACAAACATTCCTTCGCCCGAAAAGACCATAATTGAGCCGAGTGCGTCATCCCCCAAATTATGATTTCTCCCAAGTGCTCTCACCCAAGAAAGATTTAATGTATTATGCCACCCATTTATTTCTGCACACACCCCGACCACCACCGCGACGACGACGACGAATTACTACAATATAAAACCGCCAACTTCTGGAAAAGAACAAGTATGTGGGCGCCTTATCCAAAAGTAGAACTCTGAACGACAGGTAAATAATAATATGTTTTGACAACCCAGAAGAATTGACATTGACACATCCATCTGAAATTTCCCGTCCAATTTTCCCCACTTATCCATGATCTATGAGCCAATATTAATAATTGTCTGACTGCCTGCGCTGACTAATAGTGCTGTGCTGACCAAAATGCTGAGGGAAACAAGCGCCAACAACCTTCTTGAGAAAGCAACAACTCCCAAACAACTTTCTCCCCATTTAGCTGCTCGAGCTACACATTTGTTGTTCCGCTGGGTTCCACACACACGCAGATATGTATAGATAGCTCGATGGAGAGGGCTTTATTTGTGTGTGCTATGAGCGATTAGAATAATGGAGGTGAAGGAAAGGGGTCATCCTTGTCCATCCAATTAGACATGTTTAATTCATCTCAATAGCGCCGAATGACGTAAGCAGGTCGCCATAAAATGAGCGTCCCCTTCTCAAGAGAGCAGCAAGACGATGTGACGGGATGAACGGAGAGCTACATTTATGACCACTCTGCATCTCATGATTCTTGGACAATCTTTGGGGAAATCAGTGTCCTGACTTTGTCGACATAATTGTTTATCGAAATCTTGCACGACCCTTTCGAGGATGGCCAGGAGTACACATCATCACACGATGACTGACCATCTCCCTCTGCAAATTAAGGATGGAGGATGATGCATTGGACAGCCACGAAGCACCTGCCTGCCTGCTTGTCCGGTGACTTTCTCCTCGTAGTCTTTTCCCCCGACAAACCCAGGGCGAGATTTGATCGAGAGATTGCATGGATGCGTATGTGTGTGCATGTGAAGGTGGTGGGGATAGGGACAGTATGGGACTCACTTGTCAGAAACTCCATTGAGGAGAGACCGGACGTGCTTAATTTGTGCGAAGTGAGTGGACATGTCGGTAAAGAGCACCATTTCGATGACCAAACTCCGGAACTCTCGAAATTCCTCTGGTTTCAGGTTGGCCAATATACTTTTGTCATCTTCCTTGAGTAATCTGAAATACACCAAAAAAAAGTTGATGAGTTCTCTTTTCGCACACAATTATTTTTTCCAGCGAGATTTTCTCCGCTGTGGGATGAAAGCTTTCTCCTTCAACATGTCCTCGTCAAAAGTAAACCTCAAAGTGCAAAACTTATCAGCCCTCCTCTCCAAAACTCTTTCCATTATCACAAATCTCCTCACTCGCATCCAGGACGGAGCAGGGACGAGTAAGCAGGAGCAGAAACATTAAACAAAGCAAATACGGAGCGAGAGGGGGGAAACGGTGGAGAGGACAAAGTAAATTAGTGGGGAGACGAATCTTCAAAGATGGCAGAAAACGAGGGATGATGGGAAAGAGAGTCACTTTCTAATAAATATAAATAAGCTGTGTAAAATATACTCTCAACATTTCCAAAGCCTGACGAAAGTTCAGAGTGGTTACTTAAGAGTGGATATAAAACCTTCCAAAAGCTTTCAAAATATCAAATATCAACAATTTCTTCCAACTTGCTCATCATTTGGGGAAAGAAGGTCACAAAATATTCGAATCGAAGCGTTCCTTCTTTCCAATTCCGTGGGTTCAGCAATATTAATAATTTTCCTCAAAGTCTCGCATTTCTTTCCGACTTTTAAACTCAATGTCGTCAGTCAATCTTTGAAGAACCGCATCAAACGTTGCTAACTACTTAGTCAGTCAGTCAGGCAGCACAGTTATTAAGCTGTTCCTTTGTTATTAGTTGTATGTAATGTCCATATTATTAATATTATTATTATTATAGTTCCTATTATTGCCATCCATGCAAAAATTTGTCGTCCACAACCAGCAGTAAGTATCACTTACAAAATCAAACGAGAGATTACTTGTAAATGGATAATAGCAAAAATAATGAATACATAAAACGAGGTCTGGCTAACGACGCAGTTTGGTTTTGCTGATGGGAGCCAACCACAAGATACAAATGAAGGAGGAGGACAATAAGCGTGGGTATTTACAAATATATAGCAGTTAATAAAATGGAAAGTGACTGCGTAGAAACTTTTATCAAAGGTCACCCTCCATTTTGAACTTTGATGCTTGATATCATTCCTCCCAGGGAATGAGAAAAATGGAAAAATTCCGTTTCACATCACGTCAGCCTCTTCACTGGTTGGAATTCAGAGACGTCCGGGTCGTAGGTACGCGAAGGTAAGAAGGCAGAAGCATGGCAGAAGCAGCACAAGTGTATGAAACATCATGATTTAATTTCTCATGTAGTTGAGGTTCTGTCGAGATTTTGGTGACGCAGGAGTAGGAGAAAGGGATGCATGTGTGTAGCATATTGTGGGGCTTGAAGAATGAGAGCGTGTCTGGTGGATTTGGTGGACTCAAAGAAGTGACATTTCCATCTGCTTTCATAAACAAATAAAATCTCGTAATGTAAATCCTCGTGGAATCTTTTATACTCACTTCACCACACACACTGGCTTTGATGGAGTTCCAGGAAAGTGAAATCAGAAAACAACCAAATTCCACTTTTTCTCCAAATAACAGGCTTTCACATATTTATGCGGATGAAAGCATACAAGTAACGAGCTCCCTGTTCTTATGAAACCCACTCACCAGAAAAACTATGTCTGAGTTACCTATACTAGGACGGAAGATGTATCAAGCCAGTATTTCTCAGGATAATAATAATCAACTCTCTTTCACTGACTGTTCTGGATAACTAATAATCACAGAAGGCCAACTTAATAAAATCAAGAATAACTTGAAGCAAAGTGACAATTATTGACAATAGCTGGAGGTGGGATGGATGGCAAATTAAATTGGACGGTTCACACGAGCGAGAGCAGGCAAATTGACACTTGGGGAGGGACATCAAACTTGCTGATGTGTTGATAATAAAGAGAAAAAGTTTGCGAAAAAGTTTCGTCAAAAGTTTCATTTTCTCATTTTGCATCTCTGCTGGATATCCATAGGTCGAGAACAAAGGCGACTGACTGCACTTTTTCCTCCTCGGGTTGGGAATTTGCAAAGGGCGGATGAAGCTCGTGTGCACTTATTAAAGTCGAGTCGTCCCATATGGTAAGCTAAAAGTGTGTGCAACCTTTTCGACACCTGGACCTGAAAACTTTGACGAGGAAAGAAAACTCTTTTGATGAGATCAGTTCAAGTCGTAGTACGAAATGTTGTTGCCAATTATTTGCATTAAAACCCAGAAAATTAAAGTTTCCAAACCAGATGACTCTTGTACTCATCTTTTCTCCACTGCTCGCCTACCCATTTTTGGAGAATTTCAGTTGATCCTCCTCAAACTACTTGAAACTTTTAGAAACTTTTAACAAGTTGCAACTTGAAATCTTCAACAAAAACACAAGAAAGCTGTTTATAAATTTCAGCTCAACGTGGGCACATGCAACCCAGGAAAATCGGATCAGGACAAGTTTATTGTTTGTCTTAAAAAGAAAGTCAATTGGAAATAAGTTTCCCAATTTTGAAATACTTTTACCGATACTCTCCAAACACTCTGCTTAGATACGTAGTAGGATTCGTATTAATGCGTGTATGCAGAACGGAGAAAGCGATATGTGCAATTTATGCATATGGCGACGTGTATGTACATACAAACGAGGGGCAGTAAATAAGTAAGCAACGGAACGATAACACTCACGTAGCTGTGAGTGCATAATGGAAATACAAACTGTCACAAAGTTGTAGTGACAAATGAATGAAAATTGCGATTCAATGGTCGCCTCAGCCGGAGCTTGAGGTTTATGAGGAAGGATGGGAAATTATTAAAGCCAGCTCGCCAACCTGGTGAGGGAGACAGCAATACTTGCATTATATTCTCTCTCTTATCGTCGTCTTCCCCTGGCAGCAAGCATCGCCGCCGTCGACGTCGTCGTCGTATTTCTGTAGTAAATAGTACGTGCAGGAAGACGAGAGAGAGCAAGTCTGACAGTGGGACAAGGAAACTCAATTACTGTAATTATTTTATGACGAGTAACCATTTAGGCGGTTATGCTGGAGAAAGGGGCAGATAATAGATATGGTAATTTCATAATTTGAAAGTCAAACGTTGAGCGAGGAATTCAAATAAAGTCGCAGCGACCGAGCGAGCATGTCGTCTAAGCAGGTAAGCACGAACGCCTATCAACCAACGACTCACTCCCTGCATGCTGATGACTCCCTCGCCCTCGTAATAACCCAAGAATGTCATCGTCGTCCTCCTCTCACTGGCTTCATTTCTTCTTCACCATGGGCCAAATTCCCACCATGTCAGGACGAACGCGTATATTTATTAGGACGTGAGCATTGCAGGAAGAAGACGAGTCATGATGTCGAAGGTTATACAACGAAATTCTACTTCAAAAGCTCCCTGCTTCGTCAACCTGAAGGCAAATATCAAGAAATGTGTCCGATACAAAACTAATCAAAGGACACGCTGCTCCGTTTTCCTTCCTTGTTTGTCCTTCCTTCCGACCATGTAGGAACGAAGAGCAGCATGACAGACATAAATCACACATTGCTCGCAGAAACATTAAATATTTACACAACGGAACAATTTTTAGTGACAGTTTTCACTCTTGAATGAAGCTTCCTTAAACACACAGGTTGACTTGTGAGTCAACTCATTTTCATGCCAACATTACCGAGGCGAGTAGGACGAGGAGGGCGAGAAAGAGAAAGTTGACTCATTTTGAAAGCATTGCGAGGAAATGGAAATGGAAGAACCTTGGCTTACCTAAAGGCGGCACTAACATGGTGATTTTCAAGCACGGATCTATCGTTGTATCTGTAAATCAAGTCACACAGTTATCACCTGGCTGGATGGCCAGCACCGAGAAAATCACAATGTGACAAATCATACAAATGCGCAAATATTGTATACTTACAAAAGAGCGAGGTCTGTTTGTGTATTCACGTGGAAATTATTCGTGCGACCTGCAATACAAAAATGCGAGGATCACATAAACTGGTGGGCACGGGAAATAGATGGTCACATTGTTGGGTTTACATCATGAGCACGACGAACATGTTCTACTACTCACCTGTGTGCTCCAGGTCGTGAATTAGGGCGGCGAAGAGAAGAGCAAAAATTTCCAGGTCGGTGAGATTATTCTGCAAGAAAAACCGAGTATGTTTTCTTAGAATGATTAGGAGAAAGGGAAAGAGTTCCAACGCTTTAATTGCTCCTAGAGAACGGACCAACTCGTCCACTTCAACACAACCAAACCATAAATGCAGGCCTCCAATCAATGGGAATTATGTGTGGCAATCGTCCTAATTATAAATCGGGACGTGAAGAACCATTGATTTTTTTATCCACTCCGCCATCACGCCACGCCTTCAGAAGTGTGCAGGCTTCTCGGAAGGAGAAAGTCTTTGTCGAGGAGCTGGTGGAATAAACGGTCTCATTATCGATGTTCCTCGTGGACATTGATTCAACTCCTCAGTCCGCTCACTCTTCACCACCAAAAAACTTTCGACTTAATTCCTTCCCAGTTAAGTCCAGTCACTCATTCATTAACGGTCGTAGGACGAACGAACGGACGTCCACAGCGTGGCGTGACGTGGCTGGATTAGGATTTGTTGCCAATAATGTGTGTCCAATAATGCGTACACCGTTTGCTCAATTCTCCTACGACATTTGCGTCACTTGTCTGACCAACAACAAGCCCAAAATGGACGCCTTAAATAGGAAACTGTCATGGTGGCAATGAGGCCTTCACTCTGAATCCTTTTCTCCTGCTCGCAAAAAAATCTCAGCCCATTGACACTGCAATTCTCACTGCAGAGAGACACCAGTACTAGTGCACCATACTAATTTCGATTCAGGCATGATGCGTCCACTTCCGATAAGTTTAATTAGTGTTCTACTGTACGAGAGCACAATTTAGTGTCTGCTGTGGTAGAAAGCTGTGTCGAGCACGCTATTATTTCATAATTTGGAACTAATTGAGTCTGTCCAATGCATGCAGTATGCATCGTCCCGCTGACAAACTCGTTCATAATTAGGCTTTAGCACATGCACATCCCAAGTGGAAACTTGAATTTGAAATTAATGGGTTTACAAAGGCGACGGGAAATTGGACTTGAAACTCGTCCACATGTGTGTCCAGTGTGTATTTAGTGTCGCCTTCCATAGAAATGCCACCCATTTGCCTGGCTCGCAAAAGTACTTGGCCAAAAAGCACAAGATGCTGACGTCAGGACAGTTATATAAATTTGAGAGGTGGAAGCAAACAAAGCAAGAAGGTGCTCCATCCAGCAGTGACACGGTGAGGAGGAACATGACGCGTGTGTTACCCATGGTGGTGGACTTTTTAGGAGGAGGAGAGGAGGATGAAGTGGAGAGGAATCTGATGTAGATAAGACACATCCTAATTTCCTTCGTCTCGGAACTGACAAAACTATGAGAACAGACAGTCACATTTTCCTTGCAAAGTGGAGTACGGAGAGGGAGAGAGAATGGAAGATTGAATTGCTAGATTGGTTTTCGGTCGATGTGGTTGACTGGGCTTTCTTATCTTTGAGTCACTGACAACTCAACTGTACACAGAAATAAAAATAAATAAAATAAGAATGGAAGGAGGACGGAGAAAGAATTCTGTGCCGTCAAGATTGCGATGAAAATAGGCTCCCCTTTTGTAGATGAATGCATGGAAGGATGCCCTCCCTCCCTCTCTCCAAAATCGCCTGACAAATATATGCAGTTGACATTTATAACACTGTTTACACTGCTAAACTCTGCTGAATAGGCTCTCATTCTGCAATTTCACTCGGTTGCACGGTCCCTTGGATTTGTTTTCGCGGAATACTTGCTCAGGTGTGCACACACATGTCATCAAAACCCTTTTGACGCCGTGAGTAAGTAAACGTAAGTCAGGGGAACAGTTCAGGACACATTATTGAGTTTTTAGCATCAGGAAATGACGACCATTTCGTTCGAGTTGCAATTTAACGTTTGGTCAAATCTCTTTTTTATATGGCGAACATAAATACTCCAACTTTGTTGCCTGTTACGGGAACAAAGTTCTCGAAATCGAGAATCGAGAAATTGAGAATTAATGGACTGTTGTTTCCTACTCGTCGTGAGCCCATGCTAATAATGACTGCTACGCCTTAATTGTGCGAACTGAGTGGGTTGGATTGGATCCAATAAGTGATCGTGTTGGGAACTTTCTTGTGGAGAAAGCGGAGTAAATGATGTTTATCTGCATCTTGTTTTACGAGTGGTTCAGGTGCATGGGTTCAGTTGCAGGTGCATTGTGCGTTCCCTACGGAAGAATCCTTCGGTAGCATCTTTTATGCAGATGAGCATGCAAACTTTCACTACTGCTCGTGAGTGAGTATCAAAGACTCAGGAAATCCTAGTGATCAGGAATTATTTTCTCGTAAAATTTATACCCGGTGGGACAAATGAATGGACATTTTCATTCATACGACGTTGGTTAGGTAGCGGCGAGGCGTCGTTATATTGAAAATAATTATGCAAACGGGGGAGAAAGTCGAAAAATAGATCTTACCGCAATTCCGGAAGAGCCGATAAAGTAGTGGAGCGTTTGTGTAACCTGTAATATTTATTTCACGGATTCAATGTACAAGTCGGCTGAAAACGTTCGTCAGACGGTGATAATTAAAAATCTCTTGGCATGATTAGATTGTGTATGTTTAGTTAGACATGCAGATCATGTGTATAGATAAGTACGAAAATATTTCTGCATGATAAGCAAATCGCTTTACATTGTCAATCGTTGGCTAAGTACTTACGTCGGCAGCATGGATGTCGTTGTGGTATGGATTCTTCAGTTTCGTGTATCCGTATTCCACGGCAGACAGCCTTAAAGTCACAGGTTATAGCATACTCTATGCGGATTAAACATTTTAACACGAGTCGGGACTTACCAGCCGTCCAACTTGTCGAGGTTTACGCGGAATCGGCTGACGAGGCCATAACGACTGAAGAGCTCTTTGGCGACAAACTGCAAAAGAGTGGTCATGCATTTTTACTATGTATTGGCGGACTGACGATAGAAAGCAAATTGAGCAGAGGAGAGTGTTGACAAACCTTGAGAGAATGGCCGTTCGACTTGTCCTGCAGTTTGAAAATGTCGAAATGCCAATTGTTGATTTCCTGTAATGAGTAACTTGGTAATTAGATTGGCATCGTTCAAAGTCAGACAATTAGTTATCGGCGACACTTTTGGAGCTTCACCCAAACTGTCGTATATATTATCATGCATAGTGAATTCATAGGAGGATGCCGATCTTACAGCAGAGTGACCATGCCAAACTCGTCATGCTGCCTGAAACGACCCATTTGGCGAAGGAGATGCATGTCTTTCCAACTAATCTCCTGCCAACAAGAAATTTGCGAATTGCTGGAGGTAGTGAGGAGACGATGCCTCCAGTGCCCGTGGGTGAGTGAGTGGGTAATTGCGATTTGATAAAGCGACTGAAAATCTCATCTGACAGAAGGAGCTGGAATCCAATCTAGCCACATCTCTTAGGAATTCGGATTATGGTTACGACGAGAGATGAGGATTCTTCTTGTCTGGCTTTTCTTTGCGTGTTCACTTCCTCCTCCGCATAATGATGACGTGATTCCTACCGTGAAAAAACCTACTCTCCATCCTGCACAAATCCTCCCGTGGAAAAGTGTGCATTCCACTTCATGTATGTAGCAGAGTGAAATTAGACTAAAATTATACTACATCGAGCCCTATGTAGTAGTCGCCCCAACCCATGCGATTCGTTTTCATGATGATAAAAACATGTGTACGAGAGAGACGACGACAATTATAATAATAATGATTCGCCGACTCATTATGCAGCCTGTGACGACCACTGACTGATTTGAACTGAAAAGGAAATATTGTATTTTATATTATATTTCCCATTTCAATTCAATAATTCGAATCATCAGAGGGCGGCGCCACTGAAGCATTTTATTGGAAGGCACACAGGAACTCTTTTCATCCACATCCGATTCGCGACTCAATCAAACCAGTCTTGCGGAGAAAGCCTTGTCGATTGATTGATGCAAACACGAATGGAAATATGACCGTCCTCCACCACCACCAAAAAAAAACTTGACTTCTCCACTTTCCATTTCTTGAATCCCTCATTCCAGCTCTGCCTCGATGCATCAATTTGCACAAGGCACACAAACAAATCATCTATTACTCGAGACGGGATGTATGTGTGAGAAGCGATCAAGGTCTCCATACTCATTCGCCAACAATAACACGAGCAAATACATAATATGCAACCATGTTACTTCCGATTCGTTGTGCACAACTCGTTCTCCTAGGCATGTACGTAGGCATATATGTTCCTCATCAGGACATGGTTGTGCGCATCAAAAGTAGGAAAAAACGGTCTGGGGCGAATCATTGCTGAAAATATGGAAACTTTCTCTTTCTTATTTTCACTTTTGCCTGATGCTGACTGACTGAGGATGGGGAAGCACTTGTTAATTTTCACTTTGCACGAGTCTGTTGTGTAAAACGGTGTTACATAGAGTTTTGTGGCGAGGTTTGTTCCACTCTAATGGCTCTTGTTCTGCTTAAGCGGGGAGGATAACAAGCGCGCGTTAACTCGCTCACTGGCAACAACTTTATCTCCACGGATTTCCCAAGAGGGCCAATTTGTTAGTCCTCGTGTTACCATCTCTCTCGCTCCCCCCAAAACCCTGCCAAACCAACTAACTAACTTCCGCTCCTCTCGATTACTGCCACTTGCAAATTCTCAGCTTACTCACACCGCGTTAGTATGCACGCTTGCCTATGCTCAATAAGCATTGCTTATCAGGTTTGTCCATGGCCTACAATGGACGATCATGAGTATTTGATTCTCTCCTGTCCCATGACTATGAACCACTGCTCGAAGAAAAGCAATGGAGACTTCCGACGTTTGCTCCATTAAACACGATCAAGCAGTTTTGTGTAAATTGTGTAAATCGCAATTGCATGAACTCACCTTGAGCAGTTGCTGAAGTTCGGCAGGGATTTCCAGTGCATTGGAGGAAAGTTGTCGGTAAAACCGATCGACGAAGAGTCCGACGCGGATTGCGTTTGCCACCGAGCGAAATCTGCGATACAGCGGACAATACGGGTGTCAGAAGTTAGTCAAATCCGCAAATAAAAGTCAAACAAGTCTGCCTGAGGAGGTGGAGCTGACTCGTTTATTATCTGGCTAAAAGCTCATTTGTAGCTTGGTGCAGAAAATGTGGCACTTTGCTCCCGATTTTGTTGAGAAGGCCATGTTCAGAGGATAATTTTAAATTTAGCCAGAGAAAATTGGTGGGTAATGAGACTCGGGAACGAGATTAGATTGCGAAATAACAATTTGACATGTCAGATTAGAGTAAGAATGGTCCCTCAGTCCTACATTCTCGAAAAGTTGGTGGGCGAAATTGAAATTGAATTCAAAGTGATGCACTACTATCTTGCTAAATAAATGATTTTGAAGTATGGGAGCTTGAATCTGGCTGCCAGTCTATGACGATGGCCCATGTACATATCCTAGTGCGAAACCTTACCTGGGTCTTGGTTCTGTCCGAGGCTTGGCTACCACGCTTTTGGTGAAAGTTGCAGCCAACCATTTGCCTGAAAATAGTCACGTGTGGAATTTAGCTTGTCTTGAATGTTCATGAAATGAATGTCGTCCAAAAATCGGATTTAAAAGGGTACAATCCATTTCAAGCTGAACCACGTCGTGTTCTCTAATTGACAAAAAATCAACTTATCCACTTACGAACTTCTTCTGGAATGACTTCCTCGTCCACCTCCGAGAGCTCGTTGTCCGACTCCTCCTTCCTGTGGGAACATATTCAATTAGCACTTCCATTTCGACCCCTCAATTCCAGACTCTGTCGCTGGTCCAATATAAAAATGCGAGGGTGATGGTTCAGGGATAAATAAATAATTCCAAATTGCACAACTATTGCACAAACTACACATTCCGCACACCACTACACTACGCTATGTGTAATAATATCCACGTCATAGTACTTCCGCGGTTCATAGTGGCATCCAAGGAAATTGATAAGTTGTTCGGTGCACTACAAACTTGGGGCAGAAAGGAAGGTGCACTACAGCTGCGGATAACTTATTCAGGTAAGAACTAGGCACAACTACAACAAGGTCTCAACAAATGTGTCAGCATTGCAAAAATTGAATTGCTTGGTTGCACATAACGGAACACAATAAAATGGGACAATTTCTGGATATTGCAGTCATCCAGGTTTTTAGCTCTGCTGGAAGAGGTTGCTCCGTGCCGCAATAAGTATCAGATGCCCTCTTTGCTATAAATATTTACAATTCATGAGCAGGATGAACTTACCTCTCTACATTTATCAGATGGGTTTAATGACTTGCTTTGTATGCAGGGGGGAAATCACATGCAGCAGCGAAATTGAATTAAATGTCCAGACTATTTTTTCAGGCAATGCATCACGGAAAAACTACGGAACACTGTGTACGTCAAACATCTTTTTCGCAACTAGAATCTAGCGGAGAGTGCACACCTTTCGCATAAAATATTTATTTTTAGAGGATTGCAATCTGTGAATTGCTTTCACTGGATAGAGTGAACTTAATGGTTGTCGTGCATATGTTTCAAAATGGGTACTCGTTAGTAGTACATTCCATTTATAAGTAGCTCGCAACGTTAGCATGAATTAGTTGATAAGACTACAAAATAAACCCGTCGTTTGCGGGGTTCTTCTGTTAGAATAGTTGGAATAGAGATTAGTATATGCCAAAGTGTTAAATATTTAGAGTTAGTCAAATTTTGTTAGATTTAAGTAGCTCTCACTCAATATCAGCAGTTATATTTTTGCGTTTGTGGATGTGCGTGCGTGGAAAGAATGCAGTACATATTTACGATGATACAAGTGTAGACGTGTGTTTTTGTATCATCATCACTATAATATTAGCATACGGATATGTCTCATAGATTAATAACCTCAATAAACACACAAGAATTAAGCATAAATACGACACATTCACAAAGTCTACCAACAAGCGAACAAACACTATCCTCGCTCAACCACAGAGGGAAATGAGACAGAAAATGCGAGTGAAAGCGAAAAGTTGGAAAGCCTTGGCTAATTCCTGTTCCTGTCATGATCCAATCTATCAAATCCTCCTCCCCAGCATTGTGCGCGCTCCTCCATGGGCTCCCAAGTCCACATTTATTTCATTTCCATCCATCACTCCGGATTCGAATCCGCTGTTTGAAAACACGGCCAATCCGCTAATAACCTCCCGGTTTCCGTCCTTGTCTTCCTTTACCGCCATCGGACTGGTGGTTCCAGACATGTACGAGAGCTGGGCATAACCCTCAAGGGCAACAAACAATCAAACGGGATGTTCCGTTCCAATACAATCTTGTAGAAAACTGCTTTGTATCCAAGTACAAAAGTATGAACCGAGCATGTATCCATCCCATTGTGTATGTGCGTGCGAAACACATGTCTTTCCGAGGATACCAGAGATGATCAAGCTGATGGAACGGCCCTGCTGTTCTAACGCAGGAAGCTTAAAACGTCATCATCTTGAGCCAACTTATTTTAAGGAAGAAATCAAATTTAGGAGCTGAATAAGGTGACTGAGGAACCGGATGTGAGTCGTGAACTCGGTGAATCAAGCAAACCAACTCCTCCAAAGTACACATCATTCCTCGCCACGTTATTCGGTTGAGGCAGTTCCTCCAGAAGGGCGACTCAGGCCGTGTCCGCACTGAACACGATCTAGTCTGCCCAACCAATCGAGGGAGAAGAGGCTCTTGGTAAGTGAGAGTGAACAAACAGATTTCCTCTCCAACTTCCAGCCGGTGAAAGTGAACGGAATCGACTCTCCACTCCAGATAGAGATTCATTTCATTGCATTAGATTAGATTACCATGCACCGAGCTCAGCACCAGCACCCGTGCGAATGAGCCACGGATAAAAAGGATGTTGGGACAGGATATTGATGCCAAATATCCAAGTTACACACGCCGTGCGTGGTGATACGGTGAGAATTTTGGGAATGACGCCAGCCATGTCATCCTTGTTGTGCGATGGCTACGATAACTCGAGCTATCTTAATCTCCTCTCGTACTACGACTACTATGAACGACGGACGGACGGACGAATGAACGAACGAGCGAACGGGGGGTCAAACCTAATAGTGTTTATTATTATCCTCGCACTGATGTTCCACTTCTTTTCTCGACCACCACGACTCCAAACTGCCCAGCGTCTAGCTTCCCACCCAGAAAAAAGGTCAGGGGTTGGTGATGAGCAAAGCATTGACAAGTGGGTCGTAATGGGTCGACACGGCCAGTGATTTTAAATGATGAAGCAGATGTCGAGCCACAAACAAACACCAATCAATAACACCAACCCGCAGGGATCTCTTGAGCTACACGAAAGAAAAGTGACATTTCCCACCCAACCCAAATCTAAATCAATAGCCCCAACAAAGATCTATCCTCCATCCATCCAGGCAAGGCGAGAAGGAAGAAAAAGGGGACAACAGAAGACGACGACGACGACGAGCCACTTTTTAGTCCGAAATCTCACAAACCCAGGACGCGAGAAGACAGCCAAGGAAAAGAAGATTGTACAAACACATTGTACACATTTTGCTCCATGGGGACTTTGTTTACAAGATTCATGGTGTGTGCTGGATGGGTGGATCGTGGATGAGCCTTAATTCTCTGCCAGGGCTGCTTATGTGTGTAAGTAGGTGGGTGAGTGGTGGAGAGATATCTGCTCGTCCTGGTCGTAATGATGGGGAGGAAGAGAGCGAGTGGCAAAAATATGGAGAACATTGCATCGAGTGTTTTTATTTTTCTTGCTCTGGAGCTATTATTAGTCGAAGAGTACGTGCTTGCTGCTCCTGATGGAGAGAGAGCGAGAGAGAGAGAAAGTTTCCTGGAAGCCAACAGCCACTCCATGCCAGAGACTGAAGCCTCTCTCCCTCTCTCTCTGCAGGGGAAGAAGCAGTTCGGATGATTTCACCATCGTCATTATATTTACGACGGATTTGGCTCATTCACGACGGCAGAGAGATAGTTTATTATCATTATTATTTCACTAGAGTAGAGGCCCGTTCAAGAACGGGTTCTAGGCTCCCAGAGGGGGTGTGCCCATAGCGCAAAATCCCCTACGCTACACTTCAAATAATTCCCAGTGGAGACTTTGTCCATTGTCATAATACATATGTACGTGCATCAAATCATACATTTCAATTTCCCTGATCACGGAACAATTTGACTTCCCCCTCTTGTAGTGGCTGCATAGGTAACTACTTAAATTCCCGTCGCGTGAGGGTGGCTGCATAGCTAAACACTTAAATTCCCATCGCGTGGGGGTGGCTGCATAGGTAAACACTTAAATTCCCATCGCGTGGGGGTGGCTGCATAGCTAACTACTTAAATTCCCATCGCGTGGGGGTGGCTGCATAGGTAAACACTTAAATTCCCATCGCGTGGGGGTGGCTGCATAGCTAACTACTTAAATTCCCGTCGCGTGGGGGTGGCTGCATAGCTAACTACTTAAATTCCCGTCGCGTGGGGGTGGCTGCATAGCTAACTACTTAAATTCCCGTCGCGTGAGGGTGGCTGCATAGCTAAACACTTAAATTCCCATCGCGTGGGGGTGGCTGCATAGGTAAACACTTAAATTCCCATCGCGTGGGGGTGGCTGCATAGCTAACTACTTAAATTCCCATCGCGTGGGGGTGGCTGCATAGCTAACTACTTAAATTCCCATCGCGTGGGGGTGGCTGCATAGGTAAACACTTAAATTCCCATCGCGTGGGGGTGGCTGCATAGCTAACTACTTAAATTCCCGTCGCGTGGGGGTGGCTGCATAGCTAACTACTTAAATTCCCGTCGCGTGGGGGTGGCTGCATAGCTAACTACTTAAATTCCCGTCGCGTGGGGGTGGCTACATAGCTAAACGTTTAAATTTCCACAGGATGTGGTGGCCGAATGACAAAAACCTTAAATTTCCAGAGAGGGGGTGACTAAAAAACAAAACACTTAAATTTCCAGAGAGAGGGGTGATTAACTAACAAAAAACTCAAATTTCCAGAGGGAGGGGTGACTGCATAGCAAAAAAGTTAAAATTCCAGAGAATAGGATATGAATTTTATGTTGCTGGTATGTTTACAATTCTACTGCAAGAAGATAGAGACAAAGCGTCGCGGCAGAGTCATCATGGGTACGCTCAATGGTGTAGCGGAGCACACGCTGGTTGCGTAAACTCCATTCAATAGTAGTGGGGCGAGTTGCATTGAGAGCCACAGGGACCCAGCCAGCCAGGCAGCCAGAACTTAACAATAGCTCTTTATGTATATAGATAATGTATGTATGTATGTAGTTATTTATTTTGTTGGGTTGTGGTTGGTTTTAAGTGGGAGGAGGAGGTGGGCGTGAAACTTGGAGGACTTGTGGATAAATGTGTTGTTGTCGGTCTGTTGATCAGATCCGACTGAGCGAGAAGAAGAGAGTACCGCCAGTCACGATGGTTCAGTGGTGGGGCGAGTTGCATTGCTGGAAGACGGACCCAGGGACCCAGGGATCATACTAACACTTTATTATTAGTGATTCCTCGTCCTTCGCCAGACAAGTTTACGCACCTGCTGCGTCGTATTTTTACCCTTCGCAAATGTACGGATTTTTATGGAAGCATCTCCTCTCCGACTGGACAGCATTTTGAACTTGAGTTTACAACTCGTGCAGAGCATGCCATACGTCCGTCGAGGCAGTCACCCACTTAATTTGGATGGCAGGAAGGAGCACAGAGCAAGAAATGTTTTCC